TCCAATTTATTATTTTTTCTTCATGCTGATACCGAGAGTACATTGAATGCCCCTCGTACAAAAGGAAATATATTGAATGGAGCAGGCTATCAAAAGGAGCAGAAACTTTTATGATCTAAGAATGTCACACTGTTCTTGCAATCTCCATGCCCACAGCCTGATACTAAAATGTCTATGTGAAAACGAGCACTTCTGGGTTAACTATAACTTGTTTCCTTGTAGGATGTTGAGGACATGTGCTGCCTCTTGCTTCATCTTTCCATTCACAGCTTTTAAAGCCAGTCTTCCAATTTTCTGTTTTTCTTTCTATATTGGCCTTATTGCATGGAAGACAATCAATGCATGTTGAGAGAAGCTCCAGCCCATGAAGAAATCCCTCATATCCCACATTCATATTCAAATCAACAATACATTTTGAGGCATCAATCAACTGCAGGTGGAATATTTGTTTCTCCAGGCAGAAGTTGATTAGCTGGCTGCTTATTTTATACAGGCAAATAGTGACAGACTAAATTTAGCAAGCTAGAATGAAAATAATAATGATGCTCAAACATCTACTTAGAAATGGTTTTCTGGCACATGCTGAGATGACAGCTAGCTGGTATTTATTTTAAAACATAACATTTAAGCAAGAAGACAGCTATATTTTCAGACATTCTGAGTACACTGTTTTTGCCACTTGGTGGTGCTTTGATCATGACTTTTATTTAGAAAAAGCAAAACAAATCAAAGCAAATGATTTTACTTCCTCTTGAGGAAGTAAAGGGAATTTTGCATATTACATTAAATCATGTTTTGCTCTTCTGTGTTCTGTAATGCAATTTGTAAATTCAGTCCAGATGCAATACATTTAACATGGCTTCCTTCCATCTTTTAAAATATATCATGAAAAATATTCACATGAGATACACTGAACTAAAACAGAGTATCAGTTCTCTTTTCCTTATTTTTATTTATTTATTGGACAACTTGTATGCCACCCCATTCGCATAAGCCTCAGGGCGGCTTCCAATACATAAATACATTTCTATACAAAATACATAAAAAGGTGTATTGTTTTATTGAAAGCTGGTAGATCTTTCAACAGGTGGTCTCCTTCTCACTGTAAAAACAACCTCAGAATTGATTCCTACTGTCATGGAAGGCTTAGAACAGGAACAGGCCAAACACAGATTGGGATTTAATTAAAGATCTCTGAAAGATTTACAGAAGATCAACATACCATTCTGACTCTGAGTCCTAGTTCACATGTAACAGAAGCCCAGAGGACAGGTTCAGTATGGGTTGTTGTTACATGCAAACCCTGCAGTATGGTTTAGCTGTGGGCCATTAAACCCTTCAACAAATCATAAAATCACATGAATTGTCTGTGTGGTTTCTTTGTGGCTGTTGTGTATCAGCTGCAGGACCTGATGCAATTTCTGGCAAGATGGCAGAAGGTATAAGAAAGAGTGAGACTATAAAGAGCAAGTGCTTTCTGGTTTCACAATTTTAGCCCATCAAAGAGCAGTTTATGAGTTCTGTTGAATGGAGAACAGGGAAGAGTCCAGTTTCTATATTGTGTGTCAATTTTCTCCCAATTTTTCAATGTTTAGAATCTTGCTACTTCTTTAATCAATATTTCTGGTTCTAGACCTTTTGTTTTGTAGTCTTGCACTGTTTCTTCATGATATTCTCCTTGGTTGAGGAGTTCTTTGAAGTGTTCTCCCCACCGTTCTATTACTTCTGATGGTTCTATTAGTGGTCTTCAAAAATAGCAGCATATTTTAGCTTAGCTCTTGTAACCAAAGATAGGAATACCAACTTTTCAGAATGGAGAAAAACTGCACAAAAGCTGGGAAAACATCCAAGAATCCAAGTGAGAGGAAGGCCACCAGGGGAAAGCGGCATGGCCTTCAGAGGCTGGATTTGGCCTTCAGGCCCAAAGCTCTGCACCTCTGGTGTGCACGGAAACTTCAGCATATCCACTTAGCACCCACAGCACTAAGCAGCCTGAACCAATCTCATGAGTCTATTGAGGCCGATTCATAAAAGGCTGCAATGAGTTTGTTGGACACAAGGAGTCCGTACCTTGGTGAGCCCAATAAAGTATGATGAGGGCGAGAGACTAAAAACTTGGTTTTTATCCCCGAGAATAACTTCCATCACAGCACAGGGAATTGATCAGGAACACATGGTGAAGCTCCCTTTTATACCCTGGATAACCAGTTAGCAAAGACAGTAGCTTATTGGGTTGGAATTCCTGCTGGGAATCCTGATTGGCCTGTTTGAATCCACATGGTCTCCTGGGCAGCTGGGTCACCTTAGGGCTGTGATGAAGGATTTTAGGTGGGAGATTGAGCAATCTCCACCCATTGGGGATTCTCTGTTGTTGCATAGCTGCCTTGGAATTTCTCTATTGTTGTGTAGATGCTCGGGACGTGACCAGCTAGCCCATGCCTTATGCCCGCTAGCCGGAATGTCCTACAACAGGGGTGTCCAACCTTTTGGCTTCTCTGGGCTGCATTGGAAGGAAAAAATGTCCTGTTCCACACATTAAATACACAAACACTAACAAAAGCTGATAAGCAGTAAAAAAGAAAAGTCTGTGGATAATTTTCATGGTATTTGCCACCACAGATAAGCAAAAAAGCCCTCACATAATCCTAACTATGTGGTGCCCTGTTCGGAGAGGCTTCTAAAATCATCAAGCAAGTCCAACGTTTGTGATCACTAATAGAGAAAATGAACATATCTAAGTAATAAAACTTTGTTGTTTTTTATTTTTATTATAAAAGAAAAGAGGGAAACATAAAACTAGTGGGATATTTGACATTGTATTTAAGAAACTAATGGATCAAAATCTGGTTCAATGGAAGTAGTTGCAATTCTCAGTGAGTTCTCAAGGTGCTCATCAAATATTCTGGTTCTAATTTTACTCTTCCTGTGCTTCGTTCTTGGAAATAGTTGCTCACAAATATAGGTGCTTCCAGAAAGCAAAGACATGAATAAGGCATGATTGTGAAACAAGCGATATTTATCTCTGGGACAATAGGGCCTATAAAAGTCCATGATCAAATTTTTCTTTAAGCTGAATGTCAGATTGCAGCTCTATACATTCCTTTTGAAAATTGGCAGGTAACATATACTAAAATAGTGCTTATTTCCCCAGAAATCTTGAAATCTGTTTTCAAATTCTTGTATCAAATGGAAAAGCAAGGCAGCATACTTTGGCTGTCCACAGGACTGTGTTTAGGAAAAGGGTGGGGGAGGTGATTTGGAACAAGGGGAATGAAAAGAGAAAGAAAGGAGGAGCCAGAAAACTCCCTTTTCAGCAAGAAAAGAAGGGAGGGGCACGCAGAGTGCGAGAGAGCCGGCAAAGGCAGGAGGGCCAAATACTTCATGATTGTTTATCGACGAGCTGGGCAGAACAAAATGAGCCTATTGTAGCCCACCAGGGGCAGGGCTGGATTGGGAAGAAGGGCCGGTGTTGGGGCAGTGCGGAAAGAATGTAACTCTCAGTACCCTATTAGCCAATTAGGGGAAAGGAACAGGGAACAAGCGGCTGGGAGCAGGGTTCAAAAGGGGGGTGTGAACATGTGCTCAGGTGAACAGAAGAATGGGAAGGAAACCATTCCTTTCTGTTCCCTTCATTGCAATAAATAAAGTTTTAGAAAGAACTCTGCATGCCTGGAATATTTTTCTCTTCTGATGGAAAGGAAAGAGTGTTTTTTAACAGCCAACATGTCAAAATGTGTAAAATTGTTTGCAATGGTAGGTATTTTTTCAACCTCGTTTCACTCGCGAGCACATGTAACGTCTGATGGTATCAATTCAACCGTTTGCACTTGGAAAATAACACACTGGAAGCCACACACAGCTGCAAGACTGAAGCCATGCATGTGTACAAATAGTGAGAGCATAGGTACGTTTATTTTACATGATGTTGCAACATGGCATTGTCATCTACAATGTACTCACTGGAGAACTGCGATTGAGTTACAAGAAAAATTGCAAAAAAAATCTCATGTTTTTAAGTAAGCTTACGATTTTGTGTTGGGCTGCATGGGTTGGACGCCCCTGTCCTACAAGATCCTCTTTTCTTTCAGTGGCAAAATAACGTGTAGAGGCAACTTTAAAAGGGGCCAAGCGAAATTCCAAGAGGGTAAGGCAAGCAATGACTAGTAGTCCTGATGCAATATTTTGGGGGACGCCCTTCCTTCCGGCTTCCAGCAGATGGCTGGCAGGCCTCTGTCAGAACACAAGGAATAGACCGACTCTTGCGTTTTCAGAGAGGCTGCGAGGTTCACGGCAGTCCCTTCCTTTCCCAGTGGAACAGACGGTAGGACTGGAAAAGTAGCATTAGGCTATCCTGGGACGAGTTTTGTTTTACTAATTAACAACCGCTGTGGAGGTGCTTTGACGATGGGAAAGGAGCACTCTGTTTCTTCGGGAGGGGGGAGAAGGGCTGGCACAAGGGACAAATTTAACTTGCAGGGCACAAAACGACTCTGCAACAGGAAAAGCGAGGCAAGCAACAGGCGAGGAAAAGAGAGCGCGGATACATCCACCCTGATCGTGCGTCTGTTCCACTCAACAAGTTTTCAGCATTAAGAGAAAAGACAGGAGAGGCAGGGTGGGGGAGCACGGGAGGATTACGATGCGGTACGGAGCCCTGTAACATTCTGACTCCTGATGCTTGGGGCGCCCGCTCCCCCCACGACGGCAGCGGCTTCTGGGGGCCAAAGCCCCGAGCATTTGGAGAGCCGCCTTCCCTCCACGCGCGCGGGCGCCCCGCCGTGGGTGTTGCCCTCCAACTCTAGGCAACCCGCGCAGCCCAACCCATGCGGGGGCGCCCCTGCGCAGAAGGACGCCTTGAGCCTTGGCAGTCCCTCTGATTTCGCAAACCCAACGCAGGAAGGCATTGCGCTATCCGGGAAATTCAGTGGGCGGAGGGAGGAAACGAAATCGAAAGCGGCCGGAGCGGTGCGCGGGAGTGGCCTCAGGGTAAGCTAGAAGGTGCGAGTGAAGGCGTGCAAGTAGCCATGGCGCAAGAGAGCCAGGCAATCCGGTGAGAGTCTTTTAACTTTCCGTGTTTTCCTGGCGGGACTCTGCGCTCTTCACGCCACGAGGGAAGCCAGGAAGTGGGCCTGTGCGCAGGTAGGCTTCCCGCTAGAACCGCGCCTCGACGGCAGCCAGGCCTGCCCTGCTTTTTTTCTCCCGGGTCCTTTTCCCGAGGATCCCAGGAGGCGGCATCGCGCCTCGCCCGCTGGCGTGAACCGGGTGGAACTTGCTCGCGAGGGGCGGCCAGCTTGGGCGTGACGTCCGTGGAGCTCGGCACGGACTGCGCCAGCCTTCCTCAGGGGTTTCCAAGCTGTTGCACTACAGTTACCATCAGCCCCCGCCAGCAGGGCCATCGCCCCAGCCTATCGACTGGGAGATGACAGGAGGAGTAGTCCGACTAGTGCAAGTCATTTGGAGGCCGCCACGTAGTTGAAGACTGGTCCACTCTGCCTGTCTGTGCCTGTTCAAAGTTTCAGGGAGGGGGTCATTCCCTTAACTACAGGGAGATGGTAAGGGGCCGTGTGTGCGCTATTGCTCCTGGTTCAACAAGGAAGACCCAGTCCTTGCCTGGTGTGTTGAAACGGAATACCCGTTCCCAAAACATGGTTCCAGGTGGATGTCCCTGAGAACCCTTTCAGTCATCCCCATGACCCTTGGTGCAAGCTTAAATCAGTTACGCAGTGAGCATCACCTAATCAGCTCAAGCCAGAATGTGGTCCCTTGCATGCCATTGTAAGGCCGTTCCAAAATGCAGACATCTTGAGCTACTAGACATTGTCCAGGGCTCTTATTTTCTCCCCTCTTGTTGCACTTAGTGTTCCATTTGAAAATATTCTGGAAACTCAAACTCCTGCCCATTGCTTTATGGTAGAACAGTAATGTTCATGTGAATTCAGCCCTGATTAGATTTAATTTAACATGGCCATTTCCCCTAAAATGTTAATGTTCTTTGAATATCTTATATTTATTTATTTAGAATTTTTGTATGCCGTCCCATTGCTTTAGCCTCGGGACAGAACTTCCATAACAAATATTTACCATAACAAAAACAGATGCTTGTTCACAGCTGCAGTCTTTAAAAGTTCCTGTTTCATAATTTCACAGCATTTGCCCTTGTCCCCATGGCTGTATTGAAATTAATTTGTTCATTTATATATAAATATATCTGTTGTTATTGTCTGGCATTCATATTATTTTTCTGTCACCCATTCTCCTACCAGAGTATCAGCTCATCCAACTTACGGAGCTATTGACCAGATACCTGCTGAAAGTGCATTTGGTATGAAAATTAAATCAATACAAGTCTTCCCAGACAAAGTTTAGTCTTTTTGCATCAGTTTATTCATTCGGATGCATCAGTTGTGTGTGTGTTTACTCAAAAGCCCTCAGCTTGCTTTCAGGAAGCCATAGGTAGGATTGCAGCCATCCAGTTCAAATTTGCTACAGAGTAGGTAGCAAGTAGTAGCCTCAGTCCTACTTAGAGTAGGCCCATTGAAATGAATGGGACTTAAATTAGTCATAACTACCTAAGTCTCGTTCATTTCATTTATTTTTTTTAAATCAATCTAAAATACAACTAAATACAGCTACAATGAAAATATATAAGACTAAATGTGCAATTATATCTTAAAGATACCGTGCCCCCCACCACTAGGACCATAGAATACATGTTACAGATAGAATCTTTGAATGAGTTTTTCTATCAGAGCATTTTCCCCTTCCAAAATGGCAATGATTTTTTTGATGGTTCAGATCCTTTCCCTTTTTTAAAAAACATAATAAATGAATCCCAAATCTCATTAATGTTTTTATATTCCCCTTTCAAACTTTAATATCACAAGTTAATTTATCATTAATAGCTATATTCCAAACTTCTCTGTACCAATCACACAATTGATAATATTTTACTTTCCAGTTCTTAGCTATGATTAATCTCGCAGCAGTTATTAAATTTGTTATTAATTCTTTATTCAACTTCATTCATCCTTACCAGATATTGAATGTTATATGATCTCAGGGCATATTTCAATATTTAAACTTAATATATTGCTACTCTATTTTTTCAAAACATCTTTCCAAACTTCATTATATATTCACATTCCCAACACACATGAAAATATCTACCCACTCCACAACCACATGTCCAACATAAAGTGGAATATTATCTATACAGTTTAACTTCACAGGAGTAAGGTACCACTTCCATACAATTCTATAAACGTTTTCCTTTATTTTTACTGACATATTTTAATATCATTTTTGTCCAGATATCTTCTGGTCTTCATTACTGATGTTCTTCAGATCTGTTTTCCATGTTGCATTAAGTGGATCACATTGATCCTGTTGTTCAAACAATATCTTATAAATTTATTTATATTATTAAGATTGTACTGTACTGTAAACCTGTTAAAAACAAACAAACCAAAGCATTGTAAGCAAAATTGCTTGTAAGGACCATTTTGCTTTAATACTTAATACTCTGGAATTTAATTTAATTCTACACTGCTAACCAAAACTAGCCAAACATCTGTTTTCAGTGTACATACAAGATTACACCTTTGAATTCTGTGCTAAAATGGAGTAATTATCAGTTTTTGTTTGCCTCAGAATCATTTGTGAAGACTAGAATTCCCTACTTTTCTGCAACAGATATGGTATAATTAAAGAGTGTGGGAAAAGCACTCTAAAACCTCAACTTAGCAGGAAGAGCTGATGAAATTCTAGCATCCTTTTTATTTTATTACATTTTTATCCACTCTTTCTCTAAGGAATTTCAATATCACATACGATGCAACTCCCCTTTTATTCTCACAAGAAATCTGAGACTTATGATAGTCTGAAAGACAGTAATTGATGAAAGAACGTGTGTGTTTTATGGCAAAGCAGGAGTTCTAAGATTCGTTACCCTTTTTGCTTCACCACAGTGGTTTTTTGTTGTTGCTGTTGTTAGTCGCGAAGTCGTTTCCGACACATTGCGATCCCTTGGACAACATTTCTCCAGGCCTTCCTGTCCTCTACCATCCCCCAGAGTCCACTTAAGCTCACACCAACTGCTTCAGTGACTCCATCTAGCCACCTCATTCTCTGCCACCCCCTTCTTCTTTTGCCATCTATTGTTCCCAGCATTAGGCTCTTCTCCAGGGAGTCCTTCTTTCTTATTAGGTGGCCAAAGTATTTGAGTTTCATCTTCAGTATCTGGCCTTCTAAAGAGCAGTCAGGGTTGATCTCCTCTAGGACTGACCGGTTTGATCGCCTTGCAGTCCAAGAGACTCGCAGGAGTCTCCTCCAGCACCACAATTCAAAGGCCTCAATCCTTTTGCGCTCAGCCTTCCTTATGGTCCAGCTTTCACAGCCATACATTGCAACTGGGAAAACCATAGCCTTGACTATACGCACTTTTGTTGGCAGGGTGATGTCTCTGCTTTTTAGTATGCTGTCTAGATTTGCCATAGCTTTCCTCCCCAGGAGCAAGCATCTTTTAATTTCTTGGCTGCAGTCCCCATCTGTGGTGATATTGGGAGCCCAGGAAAATAAAATCGGTCACTACCTCCATTTCTTCCCCATCTATTTGCCAGGAAGAGAGAGGACCGGATGCCATGATCTTAGTTTTCTTAATGTTGAGTTTCAAGCCAACTTTTGCGCTCTCCTCCTTCACCCTCATCAAGAGGTTCTTTAGTTCCTCTTCACTTTCTGCCGTGAGAGTGGTATCATCTGTATATCTGAGGTTGTTGATATTTCTCCCGGCAATCTTAATTCCAACTGGTGATTCATCTAGGCCCGCCTTTCTCATGATGTGCTCTGCATATAAGTTAAATAGGCAGGTGACAGTATACAGCCTTGCCGAACTCCTTTCTCAATTTTGAACCAATCAGTGGTTCTGTGTCCAGTTCTCACTGTTGCTTCTTGTCCTGCATATAGGTTTCTCAAGAGACAAATAAGATGGTCTGGTATTCCCATCTCTTTAAGAACGTGCCACAATTTGTTGTGATCCACACAATCGAAGGCTTTAGCATAGTCAATGAAGCAGAAGTAGATGTTTTTCTGGAACTCCCTAGCTTTCTCCATGATCCAGCGTATGTTGGCAGTTTGATCTCTAGTTCCTCTCCCTCTTCGAAATCCTGCCTGTACTTCTGGTAGTTCTCAGTCCACATACTGCTGGAGCCTAGCTTGTAGGATTTTGAGCATCACTTTGCTAGCATGTGAAATGAGTGCAATGATGCGGTAGTTCAAACATTCCTTGGCATTACCCTTCTTTGGAATTGGAAACTGACCTTTTCCAATCCTGTGGCCACTGCTGAGTCTTCCAAATTTGCTGGCAAATTGAGTGTAGCACTTTTACTGCATCGTCTTTTAAGATTTTGAATAGTTCAGCTGGAATACTGTCATCTCCACTAGCTTTGTTGTTGTTCAGACTTCCTCAGGCCCATTTGACTTCACATTCCAGGATGTCTGGCTCGAGGTCAGTGACCACCCCATCATGTTTATCAGGGATGTTAAGCTCTTTCTTGTATAGTTCCTCTGTGTAATCTTGCCACCTCTTAATCTCTTCTGCCTCTGTTAGGTCCCTGCCATTTTGGTCCTTTGCATGAAATGTTCTCTTCATATCTCCAATTTTCTTGAAGAGATCTCTGGTCCTCCCTATTCTGTTGTTTTCTTCTATTTCTTTGCACTGTTCATTTAAGAAGGCATTCTTATCTCTTCTAGCTATCTTCTGGAATTCTGCATTCAATTGGGTGTATCTTTCTCTTTCTCCCTTGCCTTTCGCTTCCCTTCTTTCCTCAGCTATTTGTAAAGCTTCCTCAGACAGCCATTTTGCTTTCTTGCATTTTTTTTTCTTTGGGATGGTTTTAGTTGCTACCTCTTGTACAATGTTGCGAACCTCCGTCCATAGTTCTTCAGGCACTCTGTCTATCAGATCTAATTCCTTAAATCTATTTGTCACCTCTACTGTGTATTCATCAGGGATATGATTTAGGTCATACCTGAGTGGCCTAGTGCTTTTTCCTACTTTCTTCAGTTTAAGCCTACATTTTGCAACAAGAAGCTCATGATCTGAGCTTAAACACTGGTATAGGTATAGATAAGTGAATTGCTGATAACGGCAGGGGTAATTCTGAAGCATGGCTAGATCAACATTTCAGGGTGAATACGTTGTTGATTTAACAACAAAGTTGTTGATTTAATAAGTAGCTTCCTGAAGGACATTATGAGGAAATATAAAGCAAAAGCACTGCCAAGTGTCCATTTAAAGATGCTTTGGTGCAGATGTAGCTCTGTTTTAGCCATCAAGAGAAAGCAGTCAGTCTTAGAGATTACATGCGTTACTGTCCAGCACATTTGTTACATCTTTATTTTAATAATTTGCATAAGAGATGAAGCTAGAATTACAGGTATTTCTATAGTACATTGAACCTGTCATGGTTTCAGCATTGCTCATAGTAGGCACAGTTCTGGCCGCACATTGTCACATGTGGCTAAATTATGCTAAATCACAGAATCATAGTAATAGTGATTCATAAATGTTCCCATCTGCATTCGATACATATCCTAAAAGTTCTTTTGTGACCATGTGACCACTGATTCAAAACTGTATCAACTGCATGAAGTGGGTTTTTTTTTTTTTTGATGGGGCTATTGTGTGTATTTCTCCTAATGTCACCTTTTCACTTACATAAAAAAGAAAACCAACCCTGTATTCAGGATTCCATATGGCTGATTAGATGCTTGTGTGATGAAAGTATTTAATGCTCCCCTTTCACCTGTCTTGGTGTTGCAGATCTCCCTTCTGAGGCCATGAGTCAAGTCCCTTCTGCTCCTCCTGTCTATGATGTGAACAATATTGCTGGATATGAAGGCACAACAGATGGAGATGGTGGCAAGTAGAAAACAGAAGTGATGCAGTGGTTGATGGTTGATGGAATCTCTAGTTCACAAAAGCTTATATCGTAATAAGTGTGTTAGTCTTTAAAGGGCTAACTTTTTGATTTTTCAGCAAAAAAACCCCCAGGTGTTATGTCTTGGGAGAAAAAGCCAACCTTGATGAAAGGCACTGGCAGCATGGGCGATGGCTATGTTTGGACAGTAATAATAAACTACAATTTAGGGCTACAGGAGTGAACGCCTCACTCATTTAGTACCATATCTTCTCTGGTGAGGCTGTGAAGAAGAGATCAGAAGTTACAAATGTTTAAGACTATTCATAGTTCAGTGTTTTATCTGAACCCTAAACTGGTTCACTTAGCTATAATTAAAGATTTATAAAGTATTACTTGAAGTTGGCCTTTTCAGCAAAATACGGTTAAGGTGAATTAACTGCAGTTTGCCTGCAGTTGGATAACCCAGAATCTCAGATTTTGTGGGTAATCCTAGATGCTTATTCAGTTCATTCTCAGAGCATTAAACCACATTTTAGTGTTACATTGGAAAGCAACCATTGTATTTGGTTGTGTGTGCATCTAATCCAAACCCAAATGGCTTTGCTTAGAGTATCTTTCACTTTACCATTAAGCAGAATAGATAAGAAATTCTTGCTGCATTTTCTTCAGAGCATCATGCAGGGAGAAGTGAAAGAGCACTTTCGAGCATTTGCTGCTAACATCACAGAACAGTTATGATGAATAGAATAACAGTGGAGTTGGAAGGGGTTGATAAAGCCATCAAGTCCAATCCTCTGCCCTGCTTCCACAAGAGGTCACCCATCCTGCTCTTTCTGGCTTAGCAACTGGGACTCAATATTCTAGCTCAGTGTATAGCAATGCAGGCAGGGTAATTTGATAGTAGCTTTGTTATAACAATGGCTTTTCTTACCCTTACCCTATTCCTTTACAGGCGGAAGGTATTTCCCTCCTCCACCTAATTCAGTTCCAGATCGTGGAGATGAGCCACCACCAGCTCTGAGAAATTGGACGTAAGATGGGTGCTCTTCTGTCTAATGTTCTGACTATATTACATTTTTTGTTCGGTCTTTGCCTTGAACTAGGTGGAATATGTTGCTCATATCTGGGAAAGGAAAGTGAACATTATTGGAAAATAGATGAGGAAAATAGATAAGTGTTGCCTTAAGAAAAAAAAGAGTGGACTTTCTTTATCAACCATGGTTGTGCTCCTTTTGGCCCTAAGGGCCAGCTGAGGGCTACCGTGTGCACTCATGCACACAAGTATCCGTGTGCACAGAAACACAGAGGAATCCTTGGCTTTTCCTTGCTAATGCTAGTAAGGCAGTGTTTCTGCTGTGCGAGATGCTGAAGGAGCTGCTGGGCTCCCAGAACTGGCTTGGTCAGCCCCATGTGGCCCATGGACACAATTTGTGAATCTCTGTTGCAAAGTTAAGCTTAATGAAACACTGCTCTTGAGGCCCTAGAGGAGCATGAGAGGATTGTGTTCCTATTCCTGCTTATTCCCTATGCTATTTTTCTTGTTTCCTGCAGCATTCCTGCCATTTCAGAAGATGAAGCGCAAGAAGCTTTGATCCAGTATGTTGCAAGCAAATGTTGCTATGGCAAAGCACCAGCCAAAGAGATGATGTTTCAGGATCTACAGTCATTCAATACCTACAGAGTAAGCAGTGTACATGTTGTTGGAGTAGTAATATATATTGTTTATTCTCATGTATTTAGAAACATTTGTATACCTCCTGCCAAACAGAGCATTTTAAAGCAGTCTGCAACAGTAAAACCATAAGATAAATATGAAGAAAACATAGCAAACCCAAGAGGCAAGAGCTAACACTTAAAGTGACAAACATTTCAAATCGTCAGGCATCGGGGCAAGTAAAGTGAACTTGTTACCATGAATTAAACTGCCTTAAGGGCATTTCAGAGTATGGGAGCCACCACAGTGAATGTCCTGCTTGTTCCCTGGTGGACATTTGCAAAACGTGGCACAAGCAGGAAGGCTGCTGAAGTGCCTAGGCAGGTCTGCATTATAGGCTGAGGACAAAGTTTTAAACCTGGCCTGGTCACAAATGGGCAGCCAGTGAAAAGTGGTTGCATTTGGATAGCTAGTTGCATTTACTGCCTGATGTACTTAAATCTTGGGTGTTAGGTTTCTTAGAAGCCATGGGTAGAAAGGTAGGTGACAAATTCAAATAACAAGCAAACAAGAGATAGTGTCACTCACTTCTAATTCTTCCCACTTTGCTGTGCAGTTTGCATCCAAGGAGCAAGCAGTTGTACACATTTTATTCAGAAAATCTTACTGCACTGAGTGAGTCTTACTCAAGTAAGAGGGTATAATGTTCCTAGGGGCCATAGGATTAGTCTTTAAATTGATTATCAGTATTTTTATATTTCATTCAGATATTAACTTTTTTGTTTGTTACATTTCTGATCTTCTTTTGGTTCTTTTCATTCTTCTTGTTAAAGTTCCAGCAGGAGAAACGGTTCGTCTGGGTGAAAATAGGGCCAAGCAAAAGTGCCTGGCTACCCACTAAAGCTGCAGCTTTACCTGGGGCAAAGCAAACTGCAGTGAAAAAAATTTCCTTTTCCTTATTTTTCTGTGGGGACATTTTTTTTGTGTTAGTTCATTAGTAAAAACGTATGTTAATTAGAAATACAGTATTGGACAAACTTGGCAAGTTGTAGTTATGTTTTTCAGGTGGCTATCCATAGCATTGCCTATGTCAATGAGCAGCTTTGTATGACTGAAACAACCCACTGTGGGTTGCTTTAATAGATAGTGACTTATGTAGTTTGCTGTGTTGTGCAAACCTAGGAATCATGGCTTGTTTGATGGGGAACCCTCAAATAGCTCATGGCTTATTGGAGAGTTACTGTATTTTTCCGTGTATAAGACGATACTTTTTCTTAAAAATACTTACCTAAAAATGGAGGGGCGTCTTATGCACAGGGGGCCGAGAGGAGAACCGCGGGTGTGATTGCGGACGCCATTGGGCGGAGGCGGGCGCGGGCGCAATCAGGGCAGGTGCGATAGGGGTGTGGGTGCGATTGGGGGAGACTGGTGCGGGCGCAGGCGTGTGTGGGGAGGCAGCGCGTGCGCACACGGACAACAGCAGCTCGCTCGCACAGAGATCGGTAAAAGTGGGGGACATCCTATACATGGGGGTGTCTTATAGTCAAAAAATACGGTATGTCCCCCTCAAACAATCTAGGCCGCCTGCGTTCAGATGTGCCTGTGTGGGAAATTATGTTCCTGGCCACCAGCACCCGTCACTGATTAAAACAAGCATGGAAAAGCCAGGGTGGCTTCTTTTGATTGTGTGAGTGCACCTGTTGAAATTAAAAGATGCTTCAGAGAGAAAGGGAACTCTTGAACAGTGACTGAGAAACTGAAGGTGCCTCAAGAACCTTCAAGGAGGAACACTGAACTCTGTTGACATGGATGCACGGTTCTTTGGGAGGCTAAAATCCATGAGTGTGTCAGCTGTGTTCCGCACCTTTTTCTTAAATTTTTGCAAGTATTTAAATCAGGTTAAATACCTCTGGTGTCCTCTGAAAAAAAATGACATGGACATTTTAAATATGTGTAACATAAAACTGTTTAATTAGGTCTGTCTAGGGCAGGAATGGACAACTTGTGGCCATCCAGATATTTTGGCCTATGGCTCCCTTCATCCCGAGTCAGCATAGCCAGTACTGAGGATGATGGGAGTTGTAGGCCAAAACATCTGGAGAGACGCGAATCCCCACCCCCCACCCCCAGTTCTGGGCTATCAGATATTTTCTGATGCTGCCCGGCAATGTTCTGATGCAAAAGATGCTAAGCAAACAAACGTAATCTGCACTGAAAAATTTTCAGAAAAAATCTGGAAAATACATATCACTGATGCCCACTTGGACTGAGAATGTCAGACAAGGTTGGAAGTCATGTTGTGCAGTTGCCGTGTAGCAGCAAGTTGCCCATTAAGCCTGCTTTTCAGGCTTGGAGCCCTCCAGGTTTGTGGGATTGCATCTACCACAATTTCTAGCCAGTTGGCTGAGGCTTACGAGACTTGTAACCCAACACACCTGGAGGGCACCAGGTTAGGAAGGATGGATTAAGGGACTTGAAGAAAAGATCAGCTGGGTAGAATATCGTAGAATGTGAGGCTTTTTTTCTTAACTGGTGCCAAACACTTTCTGACCTAAATCCTTTAAATGATTCCTTAGTATCGTCTGGAGACTTTCACTGAATCAAGGTCCACTGTATGGAAAACAGAACCATATAATGGTAGGTTCCATTATATTGCATTAGAAGTTTGTAGTCTTCATGTAAGTTGTTCCAGTGCATACTTCTATTAGAATATAATAAAGGAATTATTCTTCCCAGATAGCAAGAGACAATTATTCAAAGGCAGGCAATATAATAAAGCAATATGTACATCATTCTGTTATTCAGTGGTAGCAGTAGTCAGGAAGAGGGAAGTACTGCATGCTAAAAAACCTCCAGTGTGCAGTTCTAGTTAACTTTTTTGTATTAATTCACTAAATTCATATTAAGGAGCGCTTGCGTCCATATATGCTCTCCCGCCCCTTGAGATCAGCAACAGATGCCCTTCTCCAGGAACTCTCTGTGAATGAGATTAGGAGGGTGAGTACCCGGAGGAGGGCTTTCTCTGCGGTGGCACCCCACCTATGGAATGCGCTCCCCAGGAAGGTCCGCCTGGTGCCGTCGTTATTTGTTTTTTGGCGCCAGGCTAAGACCTTTTTATTTAAAACTTATTTTAATTGTTAATTTGTTATATATTTATAGGATTTTAAATTTTTAGTCAAGATGTTACCGGGCTTTTTAATCTTTATTGTATTTAGTGTTATTTATATGTTTTTAATTATGTTGTGAGCCGCCCCAAGGCTTTGTTGCGATGGGGGCAGCATAGAAATGTTTTGAATGAATGAATGAATGGATTGGAGTCAACCTAGATATGACATTGAGCAGCTGATTTTTTCAAAACTTAATAGTTGTATTAATGACAGCCAGTTAACTATCTGAGGCCGGCCCAGTTTGTGACATGGCATAAGTTCAGCTCTTGGAAAATTTTCCGCCCTCCTTTCTTATGCCTCAGGTGAAATAGTAGATTCCTACCTGTGTGGTGCACCTCCTTTGCCTTGGGATATAATAGTGGACATTCCCGTCATGTTCACCGATCAGAAGAAGAAAATCAAAGTGCCACACACATCATCAGTAAAGGTACTAATGTATGAATGTGTGATACTTCACAGAAGGCTTTCAAGCTTACCCGGGTGCAGAATTCAAGGAGCAAATTTCATGGGCAGGATTACAATGGGGGTATAACAATGTAAGAGGAAAAAGTGAATGTTGTTGAAAACGGTGCAGGATCTTTATGGTCAGGACCAGTTGTTTGTACTGGATGCAGAAATGGATGTGAAGCCAACCTGAAAGTTTGCTGCCTTCTGTCTGGGCCTGCCTGGGTTTTGTGATCACTGGAGAATGCCCTTCTCTTGGTGGAGGGTGGGTGGTGTCTGAGCTCTCTTCTGACCTTGGCACTGGGAAACCAAAGAAACTTACAACCTCTTAGGTGCCATAGGATCACTGTGCCCATGTATTTGTTTTGTTACTGCTTTAGCCAAGCACTTAGTTTTTTTTCATTCCTTTGATTCTTATTGATGGAAATGTATTCTTGGTAAAAGATGGGGTGCAAATAAAAGAAATCAACAAATTGATAAATAGAGACTTTAGAAGAAGAACACATGGCCTAAACAGCACAATGATACAATAAAATTGGTAGAAGAGTTCTGGATAGAATTGAGAGGACAGAAGGAAGACCAGACAGATTATGGTTAAAGAAAATAAAGATGGAAAATCAGTGTGCTTAAAGTCAATGGCTTGTTCTCATGCTGAGTAAATTAGATATTTTATCTTGAAAACCACTTAAGGCTTAATTGATGCACCTTTAAACAGAAAAAATAGCTGGGCTATGTGTCTTTTAGTACTTTTTTCTGTCTAGACAGGTATAGAATTGTGTACTTAGAGATTTACTTCTATTAAGTAGTATAGAACTCTTATGAGTAATAAACCAACTTGGTATCTCTTGGCACTCCATTTTATTGTTCTTCTTTTCTTGGGTTTGAAGGGATGCCCATGCTGTGGATGTTCAGGGAGACGTCCTTGCCAAAAATGCCGCGGTCTAACTAGGGTGAGTAGTTGAGCAGAAGGAAAATGTCTTGGTTCAGTGTCTTTTGAAGAACATGCACAATATAGATGAAATAAATGAAAGTCAGATTCTCTTGCAAGGCCTGGGGAAAACAGTGACATTTCTTGTAATATTTTATTCCTGAGTTGAATTGATACCAGTAATTTTGCAATGGTTGTTTTGATCTTCATTAGTAGGATTGAAATGGAGCCCTGGAATACGCTCTACAAGTCAGTTCAGTTTTCTGGTCATACAGATTTATATTCTATATCTCCTTCCATACATGGGATCATAAAATATGTTACTACATAGACAAGATGATTATTTGGGATTGATCCTGTCCTCCTACCTTGAATTAGTGCTGTATTTCCTCAGTTGCGAGCATTAGTGTTACCCCCTTTCTTTTGTCCAAAGGCCCTGAAGTAGCAGTGGTGATCAAGCCTTGGGTTCATCCTTTCCCCTCCCTCCTTCCCCCCTCCATCTGGGCTGCTTGGAGGACAACTTGGCAGGGTTTCCTTTTAATCTTCCTTAAATTGGCTTGTCATTTTGTCTCTGCTTTGAAGTTGAGCTACTTTGCAATGAAGCCCAGTTTGTGCTACGCTACAGTCCCTCTCATGGATGAAGCAGAGACTGAGTTAAGTAAACCAGGAAGCAAAAGCTCCTGGGTTGGCCTTGCAGGGCCTGCTTACTGCAGTTGCCTGTTCTAGGACCCAGGGGACCCTGAATCAGTGATACCTTTTTATTACAGTCCTTCTGGCTGATGGAGAAGAGGGCAGACATGTGTAAGCTTGTGGCTTGCAGTGTTAGACCATTCTAGCATGCTGGGCAAACGTGGCCCAAGAGTCCTCCTTTGTTTCTTTCAGGCCGGAGCAGCAGTGACATAGAGCTGATGTACGTAGGGCATAGAAAACATAGTGGGAAAAGGCAGGAGCCCAGCTCCAAACCAAGGGGTTCTTCTTTGTTTCCTGTAAGCATGTGGACTTGGGCCCTCATGTTTTGAGATCCAGGATGAGCAAGTGGATTTGTGGGTGTAGGCAGGTCTGCAGTTTCAGGAGATTCTGGTTTGCACGCTGATGCACTGTATGGAAGCACACGCAAGGCAGGTGTCCAAGCTGCTCTGCTCACTTTCCCAGTGAATGCAAGATTGTTATCCCCATTTGGGCAAGTGGCACCTTCAGAAGACCAATTCTGCCGAAGTTCTGAAATTTGCAGTGGATCATTAGCTCTGATCCCTGGATTTGATGTGCACAGCAAATCCCTTTCGTTTCTGCTTTTCCTGCTACTGAACAGGAAAGGAAAGTTGATCTCATTATGACAAATATAAACCTGTGTGCATGGTGGAAAAAGAAAGAGAAAGCTCTTTGATAGGATGGTGAACCTGCAGTACTGCTAAGGTGATGAGTCTGGGATCATTTAGAGTTCCTGTTTCTTATGCAGTTCACTTTAATATATGTAGCTGTTTGATATATATGTTGTCATCTAATTTCTCCATACAGTAAGGAAAAGCCAGTCACTTAAGTGATTTTCAAGAACGGGGTGGATTGTTTTTTCTAGTTCGAAATATAAAATGCTATAGCAAACATATTCATAGAATAACGGTAGAAATTCATAGTGAAGACAGCAAGGGTTAGAGTTAGGGTGGGCTGAAGGCATTTTGGATTTCAAACCCCATAAGCCGATGCCAGTAGGGCCTGGTCAGGAAGGCTGTGAGACGAAATCTGAAATACCTGGAGACCTTCCTTCTGATAGCACCTTAGGGCAGGACTTGGCAGGATGATCCCCCACCCCACCCCAAGCCTGCATGCCTAACTTAAAGGTAGAACCACATTTATGTCTGACTTTCCATTTAAAATTGCTTCTCAACAGCAACAGTGTTGGGTATGTCATGGTAAGGGATACCGGATGAACAATGAGAGGTGCACAGAATGTCTTGGAACTGGAACTAGCATGTGAGTGAGTCATTACTCGTTTCCATTTGCTGTGTGGGCCTTGGATGTTGCATGATGTGGGAAAACGGCCGTACTCACTTGTCCTCTATAGTCATGCCGGGGTGAGATACCAGTGGTGTCATTCCCAAACTCAAATAGCCCTAATGGAGTTTGGCCAGATCTTTCAGTTGTGCTCGTGCTGGTACTCGCTGAGCGCACGGCACTTGTCCAGTGGCTTGCATAACGTTAGAGGGATTTCCCCTTGTTGGACCGTCATTTCCACAAGTGCAGCGTCATTTGTGCTAGTGGAGTGGCACCAATGGATACTGCTCACGATGAGCACTCTGAAGATGGCTCGTCATGCTACACTTTGTACTCAAGTGCAGGTATCGGAGTACAACCTGCATGTCGTGCTTGTGTGACTTGCTGCTTTCCTGAGTTGCTTTAGTGCAGTAGCTCAGAAACTGAGCCATAAGCAGGGACGTCTCTGGTTTAAATTTCAGCTTTGTTATGAATTTGCTAGGTGGCCTTAGGCAAAGTCCATTATCATCAGACATTCAGTCCAGTATATCTTCCCATAACTGAAGTGATTCACATGTATTTTGTACTAGGGAACTTGTATCCAATGACAAAATGTGCCACGACACATGACCCTCATTTGGATGTATGGATATGGCAGTGGAGTGACTTACAAAATATGAACAGAAATATGTGTCATCTGTTCCACGTTTTTGCATTTCAGAAAGGCATTGTATCAGTATGCAAAATGAGTGAGTCAAGAAAATAGTTGTCAAGAATGTAAACATCTCTCATTCATGGAACTGAAATGATGGAAGAATATGCATAGCATAGAGAGCTGTGTATGATACAACTGTCATTCCATCCACCCATCCAGTGGCGTCTGTAGGGGGTATGCCTGCCAAATTGTATATGTGTCTGCTTTTCTATGGGATACCTGTTAAATGTCAGCGAATGGCAACAAGACACTTGCCATCTCTGACATTCACCGTTCCTGCTATCTGAGAGAAGCCCCTCTTGTTATATGCATCCAGGTCCAGGAGATGGTGCCATTACCCAACAGAAAAGCTAAACAAGCAGGCAGCTCTGGAGCCAAGATTCCTGTCTCCTGCCCAGAGCTGGAGGGCTGTAGTAGGAGACTTACTGTTCTTCCTCCTCCTCATGCTGTAAGAAAAAAGTGGGAATGAACATTTCCCTTCAAGGGATCTAAATCTTTTCACAAATTATACTTTAGACACATGGCTCTCTTCTTTTACATGTCCTGTTTACTTATTCCTCCTTCTGAAATGGGAGAGAGAATTAATACACAGGCAGTACCTGGGTTATGAATGCCCAAGTGATGAGCGTCCTGTATTTACCATTGAATTGCCACAAAAGCTATTTAAAAATTCAAATTAAAGGCAAATGGTTCATAGTAATGAATGCAGGAACTAGTTTGATATGCTTGTGAAACTTCCCCAAGTTTTGTGGCCATCTGCAGAAAATCATCCGTCACCGTAGAGAGAGAGGAAGTGAAAGGAGAGAGAGGGAGAGTTTGAAGTATGCCTTCTTGCCCCACCCATCTGGCATTTCCTTGGTGCAAAGTGGAGGTGCTGGTGAGTGAAAGGCAGGGCAAATGTGCAGGACTGCATGTACGTGGAAGTGTTCCTTAGGTGTTTTATATATGTGATCTGACTTGCATACAAATTTGACTTAAAGGCACTTTCAGGAATGGAACTTGTTTATAATTTGGGGACTGCATGTATTACTAGCTATGTGCTTTCTTCTGTCTGTCTTGGCTATCTAGGGACTTCAGCTTCGTTAGATCACAGTGAGAGGTTATTTCTCAATACAATTAATTCAGCACTGCCACTGGTTACTGGAGAGTGAAAGTAAGGGAAAGAAATGGTCAAACCTGAATACTACTCACTTATATTCACTTTCAGGAATATGGTGCAAAAAGCAAACTCCACGAAACACAAGAAGCTGTTCTAGGACCATCAATGCATGCGTGCCTACTGTGCCCTTCCAGAATAATCTTTACACTAGCTGAGTGGGTATGAAGCTCATGGAACACTTCAGTAAACCTCCTTGTCTTGCCACATTAAATCAGGGCTTAGCAAATCCTTGTGAGCATTTTTGGCCAGCTTGCAGAGCAGAAATAGCTGCCAGCTTTCCTTATTTGCACCCATGTTTCACATGTGTGCGCATGTAACAGTGAAGATGGGACCAAGGGACTCTTAGCAGATTGATGCTGTGTGGCCTAGCAAAGTAGAGAATGGTCAAAGTGGGAAAATGGCTCAAACTGCATCAGCAAAGTGGGCTTAAAGGTCTTCAGGATGGCTCAGGAGAGCCAACTTTAAGCCAAATAGTAAATGTGTTATGCTGCCTTCCCTTGTGCTGATGGGGGATTGAGGAAGTTGCACTCTGCGATACCTAGAGAACACGGGAAAAGTTGGGAAAAGATTCTTTATGGATTTCTTCTTCTCTCAATGCTGAAGATCATGCTGGGGTCCTTGCCATGTTTTATCATACTTTCTCCACAGGTGTGATAAGTGTTCTGGTCTGGGAACAACTGCATGCAGCGACTGTGGAGGAAGAGGACAGTTGCTGTCTTACATTGAGCTGCAAGTTGTATGGTAAGGCTTGACAAAATACAGTGTAGTGGAAGAGAGGCCAGTTAGGAATGTCTGAAAAGCTGACTTTGTTTTCTGCTTTGCAAACATAAGTTTATCTTCCGAAACCAAAGATGCTAGGAAAGATAGTTTGATCTTGAAAAGCTGAGACCTCTTGTCAATTCACTTGGCTTTATGGGTCAAGAGAAGCCAAAGGCTGGAGTGATTCTCTTGACAGTTCGGAAAACAGGTGTTTTTCTTGCACCTTGACTGTTAATGGTGGGAGCATGCACACAATTGCTGGGGGCCCAGTGCAGCCATGCTGGGCCTTCCTGGCAGGTTTTCCCTGCCCTGGGGCTTTGTGGAGCAAAATGGATTCTCAAGCCAAGGTGTCCATATAATGTCAGCAAGAATACAGAGCAAAACTGTCTGTGCACAGAGACCTAGCATGTCTGATTTGGAATTCCTGTCAAGCCACAACGCCACTGAATGTGTCTCTCTCTTGGCCAGCTGATCAATAGATACTGGAGGTTGCAGAAGAAGGCTTGACCCTGTGTTGCACAGTGGAGCCTTTGGAAAGCTTGGTTTCAGAGTGCTGTTAATATGCTATGAAAATAAGACCTGCCATTGCAAAATGCCCACCTTTTTTTTCCTTCCTAGGAAGAATAATGTGTTTGAATACCTGGCAGATCAAAGAACTGGGTTTCCTACTGAGCTTTTTAAAGAAGTTAGTGGACAGAAGCTGTTTGTCGATGAGCAGTACATGGTAATGAAGCGCTTTCCACAAAAGCAGGATACTCAGATGGGCAGGGATGAAAAGGAGACACCTTGCAAATATTTCCCTTCCCCAAAGGATCAGTGGGCTTCAGTGCCCTCTCCCATTCATATCTCATACGTCCTATTCTTTCTGAGAGTAAAAGTCCTTCATTCAACCAAACATGCATAGGTTTAAATATAGCAATTTTTGTATGGCACTCAGACATGATAGTTTAGATATGATAGGAAAGCAATTGGTCCAGAGAAGCTTGGCCCAAGAGAGGAAGGGGCTTCCTTTGTTGGAGGGAGCGCTAGTTGCAGCCCCCTGGGCCAGCTATCCACACCCTTGGTGTTCTCCACGTTTTAGACTGTAAAACCAAACATTCCTGACCTTTATCCATGCTGGCAGCAGCTGATGGGAGTTGAAGTTCAAAACTTCAGATTGGGACGTTATGCTCTGGGTCTACTGCTATCCTTTCTCATATCTAAGAAAGAAGTGGAAATAAAGAAGTTTCCTCCTAGAGATCCAAATTCCTAGAAGGGAATTTCTGCAGCACCTTCTTTTTAGCTGCTTCCTCTTCTGTAGTCTATACAAAATACATGTGCAAGCATTTCAAGGCAACTGGAAATACAAGTCCACTGAAGAATAACTGTGTCCATTCACCTATTGAAGACCAGGAATTGCAGACCAGATGTTGCCCCATAAACATCAATCACATTTACAGAACTGGATATTTGAAAAAAGGGGGGAAGGAATAGCTTAAAGAGCAATCCTGTGGCTGCTGGGCGGCATCTAGATGGCCACGGGATTGCTCGGATCCCCAGCTGCAAGCTCCAGGCTATGTTCAGATTCCTCTACCACTCACTGTTGCAGCTGGAACTCAGAGAATCATGCTGCCTTTGTCATGAAGGTCATAAGAGCAATCTCAGACAAGGGGCATTGTCTGGGTTTGGGGGCATTCCTTGGTGCAGGGAAGAGAGGAGACGGCACTGCCAAGATAGAGTGCATCCTGGTGCCACCAAAGCTTCTTTCTCCCTCCGAGTCACCTCCTTTAGATAGCTAAAATCTCCATCTAACTCCTTTGCAAGGTGAGAGCAGTGCAGAGGTGTACTCCTGCAGGTAAAGATTACTCAGCACATATTAAAGACAGCACACGCCAAAACCTTTTCCCAGCACAAAACAGCTTTGGATTTTGCTGGACTGATTTTCGGAAGATTTCTTTTGCTTCAGTTAATCCAGAGTATTCTCTGAAAAGCAAGGCGTATATTTTCTGGAGCAGCTTCATCCTGACAGCCCACAGATTCTGGCTGGCCTCGGGAGCCAGAACGAGTCTTCTGGAAGACAGGATCGCCTGACCCTTCCATGGCTCCAGACCACGGGGTCAGAGGCCATTTCCCACTCTCCTCCCCGGAGCTGGAGGAGGCTGGTCATCCCATGTGTGCAGGGCAGATTGGATCTAGATGTAGTAATTGGTGAAGTAGAGCCACTGAAATAAGCGAGGCTTAAATTAGTCATCACAAGTGGTACTGTGAAGCTCCTTGGGGACCATGCCCTTAGCGCTCAGGGGACTTCCTTTCATGCTTGACCCTGTCTTGGGAAGCAAGCCGGGCCAAGAGGAATTCCTCAAATGCTCGTGCACTGAGGAACCTGCAGCCTCCTCCCGGGTCATGTACAGCGTAAACAGAGGCTGCCACACGCGCTGTGCAAGGGGGATGCCACTGGTGCCGTGCTCTGTTCCCGGCAGTGCTTTGTGGACCCTGAGTGTGCTTGCCAGGAACTGCAGACTCGGCGCTGCAACAGAGTGGACCAGGCAGGGAACCAAGCCCAACAAATCAGATGGATTCTGGCCCCTAAAACAGATTCGTTGTGCCTCCCTAGGGGTGGCTTCTTTTTTTTGCTGCTAAACTTGGAACTAGAGGAGGAGATGGTTGTGATGCGAGGCTCATCTATGCAGCCCAGTTTCCAAATGGCAACTCCTCGAGGCTTCCTTTCCAGCTCTAGGGGGAAACACAAGCATTTGTTTTGGTCCACGTGCTGCTGGGGAATTGGGAATACCCCGGCAGTCCAGCACCAAAATGGCAACCCTCCCCTTGAACCCGGGCAACTTCTCAAGCTAGAATTCAACGTAATGCTTGAATCCTGGGCTGCTGTTAATAGCAAGCTGGCAAAGCTTGCTTTATTTAAATGAGATGGGATGGTTTGGAGTAAACCCAGTAGTCTAGACACAGTTTGGCTTTCATTATCCAGTATTTTTGCACCAGTGGTTTCTTTCTATTTTATTTGCCTGGCTAGACTGCAAACAGAGACCTTTTTTCAACCCTATGTAATTGCATTGTAGGAATCAGCCATAGTTTCATGTTTACAGAGTATAATTCACTGAAATAAACTCATCCTTTTTCATTAGCCTGGACTTGTGTTTCTGTTTAACAATGTTTAACAATGTATATTTTCACAGGTATATCCAGTGACTGGTTTCCCGGAAGGTTCCATCAATCAGGCCTCCCGGAATGCCATTGAACAACATAAAACTCAGTTTGGATCCACTGCTCGGATATTGAGGGAGGTGGGTGCACTGAAGATAAATAAAATTCTCAGGGCCCTGTGCTGAGATTAAAGTTTACATAGACCATGTAACAATTCCAGTACCTAGTTGTTAACAAATAGGTATTAAAGTTGATACTCAGGACTTATTTCTGTTTTATTTAAAATATTGATGCCCAGTTTCTCTGGTGATTCAAAGCAGCATATAAAGAAGCAAAAATAAAATTAAAACTGAAAGTATTAGAAACCATCCTGGTCACTATACCTAAAAATTATACTGTTTAGATAAAAATAAAGAGGAACTGGATGATCCTTTGCAGTTGTAGACTGGAGTAAGTCTCATGTAAAGAAAAGTTATAGCATTTGGGATTGTTTTGCTTAGAAAGAACATGGGGGGGCATTGTAGAGGTATACAAGAGTATAGAAAAATTGGAAAGGGAGAGATTTTTCTTCCTCTTGGAGAATACTAGACCTGAGATGCATTTCCCATGAGTGGCAGGTGAACTTCAGTTGTCAGGTCTCATTTGATACTGTTGGGCAGTTGAATAGATGTTTTGCTGCTGCTCCTATTCTTGCTTCTTACTCATTGCCTTCATATCCTGCCTTTTTCCTCTTGCAAAAAGCCCAAGTCATCCTCCTCTGCTACATTTGTCTTTACAGTGATATTACAGCAACCCTACAAAGTAGGTTATGCTGCCAGACGGTGACCCAGTGAGCTTTATGGATTGAGTGGGGACTAGAACCTGGCTCTCCTAAGCCCTTGTCCAGCACTAACCACCACACCACTCTGACTCTCTATGATGCTGTCTAGAGATCACACAAAGTTGCTGGTTCTGCACAAAATAACCATGGGACATTTCATGCCGGTTTCAGCTGCTCCTATCCCAGTTATCCCATCGGTTTGCCATACATTTGGACTCCCATTTTCCCGGTCCATTGAAGTAGAGCAGCAAGGAAATGAAAAGCAACCAGTGTGTTGTGAATGTGGCCTTGTGTCCAGCAAGTGGCCTTTTCCCTCCACTGTTGTCCTGTCTGTGGTCTAGAATCTAACTAGTCTGTGTCTGTTGTGGCAAAGAAAGGTGAATTGACCTGAAGAGCCTGAGAGTCTTACCAGCCACTGACAGCATGTGGCATTTCTCAAGTGTAAAAATCAAGCACATGGTGAGACGAATTCCAGCTGCAGCAGCTCCCTGAGGGAGCAACAGGCCATGCTGTGACGCAGGACTATCCATGCAATTGGATGCTGCACATGACCAAGTGCGGTGATCCTTCTGTGACATAAATGGGATAGAAGGATTAAAAAAGAGAGAGTCACTTTGAAGTAGGTCTTGATTGGTAGTTCACTGAAGCTGTAGATCTGGGTGGAAAACTAATCTAGGTTGGAATGTTTTCATAAATCAGCTGTTTCTGTGTACAGCCTAACTTTAATCTCCTTTGTCTCTCTGCAGAGGCAAACGATCGAGCTGTTATTTCTTACCCGGGTGGAATATGAATGGCATCGAAAATCCTACTCCTATTTCGTGTATGGAAATGAGCACAAGGTGTACGCGGAGAATTACCCTCGAAAGTGTTGCTGCGCTATCCTATAGATCATTCCAACCCTGCTGGGGACACCTGCTGGGTTGGGTAGGTGCCCTGCCCCCTTGCTTTAAAGAAGTGCATTGACCTGCATTAGAAGGATAACAGAAGATGATGTCTTTTAACACTTCCAACAGTGCACAGGTTGCACAGCTTCTAGATTATGGATCATATGTATCGATTTCTGGGCAATTGACATCTAGGGGTGTTTCTGGACAGGGCTCCTAATGCTATCAATTTGAAGGCAGTGCAGAATAATTCCATCTTGGATTTTTTGCAACAAGACAAAAAGAGGGAAGAAGTAGTGGGAGGGTTACTAGTGGAAGATGCTGTCATCGAATCCCCTGCCCAGTTGCACTGAGACACAGGCATGGAGCTCGCCTTGATGCGCCCGCACTTGCTGATCAGTTGCAGTGCAGAAGACATTAACTCTGCAGTACAATCAATGCCTGTTGCTTTAAGGGCCCTGCAAACCTCTTTAGGTCACTTGCTCAGCATTTCCATTCATTCTGATTTTGGTGTGATGCCTGCAGCATTGTGTAGGAGTAAGACGAGCTGACTCCTTCATTTTAATTTTCATAAATGGAAAGGTTTTTAGATTCTAAGGGGAAAATCTACTTTTTAAAATAATAGTTCAGAAATTCTTGGCCTAATAGTAACTGAGCTTGTGCATTGAAGCATTAAACACGATCATTTTTTCTAATAGCATGCTGGTTGGTGCCATGCCAACAAATATAGCAGCACAGCAGGATGATCTCAAGAGAAAGCTTCTGCAAACACGGAATACCTGGTATGCAGGGAAACATTTTGAGTTGGGGAGAACGTAGGAGGACAAAAGAAATCACAAAATTCCTTGAACTGACCCCACTTTCCAGTGCAGTCAAGGTCCTTTAAATTGTAGGATGATCTCATTCTTAGCTTAAACAATCCTTTTAGGGAGAAGCTAATTAGCATCTGCAGAAAAATGCTACTGCTGATCAAAATTATGGATGGAACTGTTTGAGCAGAGCATTCTTGTCCATTCCGGAAATGGATTGCAGAATCCAGAGGGGCTTCCATAATCCATTCCTGAGTTTGTGTGGAGTGAGTGATGCGTTCGTCTCCATCAAGACTTTGCGGAGTGGAAGTACCTCTCCCTCTTCATTTCGAACCGGAAACCCGCCAAACAGTTCTCCCTCAGCACCCCAGCCTCTCAGCATTCACAGTAGAGCAGGAAAGCAGACAGGTGGCTAACAGCATCCCAGCCCATTCTTTCTGTGCTGCCCATCTTGTTTACTGGCTGCCAATCTTCTTTGCAGTAGCAGAGAAGCAGGCCTGAGTTGGTCCTCTCCCCTGAGCGCGTGGCGTGTTCCACATGGAGCAATGTCTCTGTGCGAGGACAACCAGTGGCACTGTTTTCCCTCCCCTTTCTGAGAGGAAAGTACTGTGCAGACTGAGTTTCCGTGAGCAGACTGTGTTTTGGACACTTGTGTTTCGGACACTTAGGGGCACCAGCCATTCCCATTAAAGCGATCTGGCTGCTGCTTTGCTCTGAAAGCAAATGGTGCTGGAAACACAGAGATGCAATCTGACCAGGAAAGGAGCTGTGGCTGGGACTGTTCCTCCGTCAAAGGGCTGAGTGGCCCCTGCTAGAATTAGTGCTCCTGTAGGGACAGTGCTGAAAGCTTAGAGGCACAAATTGGATTGGCTTTGCTGTTGCCTGGAAGAACATAATGGGTGGCCTCATTCGAATTAGCTGCAGTTGCTATTAAGCTGGGGTGATTTGAGTTACAATAGCTTCTTGCACTGCAGTTTATATTGGTTGAAATTCCACGTGGTTGGTTTCTGCTAGCTGGGATCTGGTTTTTTCCTCCTGTGGATGAATTTGGGACCATAAAGAGCTACAGGTCCTTTTTTGGTGCCACCTTCCGGTTATGTATTTTAATACACTTGGAGTGGTGCTATGCACTAGTTTTCCTGCAAAGAAACAAGAGAAACCGACAACGGTTTGGCAGAAGATACCAATTTTCACTTGAAGTTTTTGAACTTGGGATCATCACTGTGGACTTTTGTTACTATTTTGCAGCTTCTGTTATGACTTAATAGTTTGAATAAATACTTTTGCTACATTTTGTGTGTGTGTGATGGACAGCTACCCAAATAATCCAAGTTGGGGTTCAAGATTTTCATGTGTATGAGCTCGAGAACTGAATCTAAAAAAAGAAAAGCAACCCTGCTGGTTGTATGAGGAGATGCATGGAATTATTAACTCATGTGATTCTGTTTTTTTTGGGGGGGGGGGAGGTGGGCCTTAAAGATGCTGTGATGTGTTCTAGTAGGTTTCTTTGGTTTTGCAGTGCCACCTGGTGGTCATGAAGTAGGTATAATACTTGGCAAAACCACATGGAAATGGAAGATTGCTAAAGTGTAAATGGTCGCATTTTTCTTGGGCTAAAACCAAATATTGCAGGACTTTGAAATATGCAAGAAGTGACTTAAAAGATTTAAAATATTGCAAGACTGAGGATTTCTATGTTTAAATGGAAATGTGGATCTTCTCAGGAAAAGGGTCTGTTTCAGTTCAAGAGGAGCTGCTTGGGCAGAAATTCTCTGCTACCCTCCCTTTTTTTCTTCCACATGTATTATTTCTACTTAGAATATTTCTGAGAATGACATTCCCCAATCCAAGCAGAGTGTCCAGATCTTCTCTCCAATTGAAATAAGCCCCATAGAATAAAGCTGCTATAACATTCCCTTGCAAAATTCCATGCTGGAATCTGCAGCAGTGTAATGGTGTTGAAGAGCTTTTGGACCTGCCAGTCAAAGAAATATTTCATAGGTGTTATTCTAGCACTGCTGTGGTGGGAGTCTTACAATCTGGATTTGTCTTTTATAATCTCTGCTATCCCCCGTAGCTTGTCTCAAATTCTGTCCCTGCTCTTTTTTTCTGTGCCTCTTAGAATCATAGAATAGTAGACTTGGAAGAGGCCATGAAGTTACACCATCCCACTGAGATGGCTGTCAAGTTTTGCCTTGAATGTCTGTAGTGCGGGAGAGCCCACCACCTCTCTAGGCAGCTGGTTCCACTGTCGTATTGCTCTGACTGAGGAAGCTTTTCCTGATGTCCAGCCTGAATGTGGGTTGTCGTAACTTGAATTGATTATTCCATGCCCTACACTCTGGTATCAGCAAGAAGAGATCTTGACCTTCCTCTTTGTGACAGCCTTTGAGGTACTTATAGTGGGATATCGTGTCCCCCCTCAGTCTTCCCAAGGTTGGACATGTCCTTTTTTCTCAGTCTCTCCTCATAGGGCAGTGTTTCCAAACTCTGGATCATTTTTGTTGCCCTCCTCTAGGCCTTTTCTAATGTTTATGCATCTTTCTTAAATCTTGGTGCTCAGAACTGGACACAGTATTCCAGATGAGGTTTGACTAGTGAGGACTATAGAGGAACTACTACTTCTCATGAAGTAATACTTATGTTAATGCATCCCAAAATTGCATTTGCCCTTTTGGTGGCTACATCATGTTGGCTCCTATTTTGCCTATTGTCCACAATTACTCTGGTATCTTTTTAGTTCTGTTGAGTCATGTACTCCCCATCTTTAAAAATCCAAAACTTTATTGAATTATATATTCCCTATCAAAAGTGAAGAGCCTAATACACTTCATTTGAAGACACCCTTCCACAGTGGCACAGAGGTTTTCCTGTCACAATTGTGCTACCAAGGCACCATCTCCCTGGCCTTTCCCCTTTGCTGCTTTTGTATTTTGAGTGATATCCCTGGAATTGTACCTCAGGTTGGGCTGGGCCTAGTTCATAGTGTTCCAATCTCCCAGAAGTGTGTTATTTGGGATGATCCAAAGCTTGGCCGTGTGGTGCACATCCAGTTCTGCATTGTCAGATGGACTCAACCACGTATTCGTTAGTCATGGAGATAAATCAAAAGGGATAGTCCCAAGCTGATTTTGGGCTGCCAGGGCAATATAAACGGGGCAGCATCCCACATTGTCATTGGAGTAATGCAGTTTATGTTGCCCTAATGTAAGGGACTTCTGCAATGCCAATAAGTGCATGGTGCAAGTCAAGCCAAATAGGAGGAATAACTCTGTGATGACCCCATATGACAAGTATGAATAGGGCACCGGGTGAACAATATGTTCGAGACATCCCAAGCAATCCCACATAATGCAGTCCACTTTTGTTGGGACAGGAGCTCCAAAAACAGCAAAACCAGATGAGAGGTGAAAGATGTTTCCTTGAGGTGGCTGGAGCAACAATTTCTGTTAGTGGAGCGACCCTGCTGGATACTGCCATTCTTTTTCCTACTACATTGAGTGATCAACCTCTATGCTGAATTGTCAAATAAATGGGAATGATGCCAATCATGCTTGCTACGTCAGGACTGTTAGAAAGGTCAGTGACAAGAAGTAGTTCTAAAGCGTGCATGTTTATTATGTGGGCTGGCCTACGACCTTGCCCCTTTAGCTCAGGTTACTACAAGAGGAAGTACACCGTATGCTGTCATTTCTTTACCAAAAGTCAAAGCTCTCTGGACAGTTGACACAGTTCATTAGAAAAGCATGACAGAATAAAACACCAAAAAATACAAACCTTTAAAAAGAATGCTTTAATCTGAATCTCACTCTGTGTGTAAACTGTGAGAAACAGTAGCATTTGCTAAGAGTTTCAGGTGGATTTTTCAAGCGGCTGCAATGCCCGATTAGGCAATGTGCTGAGAAGCTCCCTTCTCTCCCCCTGGAGGCTGTAAAATTTTCAGTGAGGGGAAAGCAGACAGCATGGTTTGCAGGTGGTGGGAGCCAGGATTATGACTGCTAGAATGCCCACTAAGCTTTCCAGACAGGCTGCAACCTCACCATGCGCTGCATAGTCCTACATTGCTTGAGGGTGGCTGTTCTATTCCCAAAGCATGCGGAGAACAGCAGGGTCAGGAATTCTATGAAACCCTACCTAGGAAACTTTGCACTGGTTCTGCTGCCATATTTGATCGTGCAGTGCAGTGCATAGTAACATTTACAGCAGTCCCCTCCCTACACTCCACCCACTACCAGCACATCATCCATCCTTTTTGCCAAAAAAGCTGTGTTCTGTTTTGTGCATGGAGCTCCTTCCGTGTATTCTGAAATTTCTTCCCTATCTTAGAAGAGAATCTTCAGATATACATAGAAAGGCTTTGCATTGCACATCTCATGTGCCGAGGATGGAGATGTATAGACCAAGCTGACTATATTCAAAAATAAGAGCAAGTAAACCTACAATGCTATGCATGCTTAGATTGGGGGGTCCCAACATGGCTGGCTGCTTCATGCTGGGACTTGGAGGTCTGTATTTCACACCACACAACCAAACTTGATCTTTGCCAAAAAGCTACAAACTTTTTTTTTTGTCTAAACATATATGGGATTGCACCATAAATGACAACATCCTTAGACGCAATACATTCCCAGAAAGCCAGTAGGCATTTAGGAAGATGATGATGTCCAAGGAGCACTGAAGAATGCCAGGGAGAACTCAGAGAAGCTCACTTAATTCTCGTTATTTAAGAATTTTCACTGGGTTGGGAGGGAGCCATGCTATGACATGAGAGGAGTACGGCAGAACCTCGCAGACAAGGTTATCTCCAGAGAGAAGTTAAACAGAAATCCTCTTGCTGGGTTTGCTCATCTCTATCCAGTTCCAGTTCTTAAAGAATTAACAACAACAACCCAGTTCCAAGCTACAGGTTAATACAGATTCTCGGGCCGTTCAAAATTCACCAGCTTCTGTGTGCTCCTCAGTGCTTGATTAACAGCAGGAGCCAAGCCCTTTGAATAGCGCCTCCCCTCCCTTCCCCGGGGTTTAAAGGTAATCCACGTGCGGCTGTTGTGGACTTCGGAGGTTGTAGGCTGCCATCGAGTGGCAGAAACCAGATACATTTTTCTTTCTGCGTGTCGGCAGTGCACATTTGAAGCCGAAATAAAGAAGCACTAAAAGTCTCCCTCTGGTAAAGCCATCCACATTTTATAATTAAGGGCCTGTCACTCTAGGAAAAGTAACCAGAATTGATTAAAATTTGCACAGAATTGGCACTTCCAAAGAGTGTACATTTCCAACTTCCAGTCCACGCGCGAGCGTCCCTTGGCCAAGGCCAGTCCTCACTGGGCTGGGTTTCCCTTCGCCCCCTCCTCCGACGTGGCGGCGTGGAGATCTTGTTTGCCAATCGCTGATGGAGGCAACAGATTCGGATTTCGTCACTGACGTCCTGAGGCCGCTCAAAATTGCAAACCAGCTTTTGTAACTCAGGAAGTTGAGGCAGGAGCGCCAACTCTGACGCCGGCCTAGCAGGGCAGAATCACCACGCCCCACAAACCAACGCCGGGAGGCGGAGGCTTCCCGCACACAAGCGACTGCGGCCGCAAGACGCACGGGACAGACCAACTTTCCGGGGACTTCCAGGCTTCGGGGGAGGAAGCGCCCTATGTTTGCGGGCAGCATCTGAAGAACGAGCTGCCTGCCCTTCCGCACCTCCGGAGCCAAGAGGAAAAAAGGTGAGGTGGGTGTCTTTGAAGCTGCTGCTGAGTGGGACCTTCGTGGGCATCCGCTCACGGAGCCAGGGAGCGCGTCTGCCCGACCCGCGGGGATTGCAGCCCTGCTGCGCTTCCGCGAAGAGCAACAGGAGCCGCCCGGGCGCTCAGCTGCCCGCTCAACGCGCCGGGCGCCGCATGCTGCGCTTGGGGAGGGAAGTGGGAGCCCCCGTGGGAGCTGCCCCGGGCGCAGGAGGTCCAGCGTCCGACCGGTCCGCTCCCTGTCGCGTCTTCCTCAGTGAATTTGATTGACCGGGGAAACAGGGAGAAGCACAGGAGAGTTCCAAGTGGGGGCCGTTGTTGTCACGCCACTCTTCAATTGTATTCAGGAGGTAGGCTGAGTGTACGATTAAAAACTCCCGGGAATGTCAGAACCTGCCCACACTTATTCTTAGGCGCACTGAACGCATTTCGTGCACTTCCACCTCTGGGAGGTGCTCACCCTCTGGGGAATGGAGGGCTGCACTGGAAAGCCACGAAAGCATGAAATAAGCCCTGTCCACCCTCCTACTATGAATAGATTCACAATACCTTTTTATAGTGTGGTGTAGTGGTTAAGAGCATGGGACTGGGACTCAGAGGATCTGGGTTCTAGTCCCCGCTCAGCCATGGAGCCAGCTGGGTGACTTTGGGCCAGTCACAGACTCTCAGCCCAACCTACCTCACAGGGTTGTTGTTGTGGGGATGAGATGGAGGAGGAGAATGATGTAAGCTGCCTTGAGCCCTTTGTAGGAAAAAGGCAGGATATCAATCACAGTATAAGTAAGTAAGTAAGTAAGTAAGTAAGTAAGTAAGTCCTAGGAGTCCTTGGTCAGGAAGCATACCCAGAGGCTGCCAAGGACGAATGTGGCATCCTTGTTCTTTCTCTGTTCCTCTGACTTGTCATATTTATACTCTTGCTGGATTATTTTTCTTCAGTATGTTTGTTTATTACAAGGAGCTCCAAGGAGTGCCTGGTTCTTGCCATCTTCCCATTTTATAACCTGACAACCTTGTGAGGTAGGCCAGGCTAAAGGCAGCTAGCCCAAAATCACCCAGTCAGTTGCAGCTGAGTGGGAGGGTATGTTGAATCTCCCTCCCTCCCTCCCTCCCTCCCTCTCTCTCTCTCTCTCTCTCTCTCTCTCATCATGTCTAAACTGCCCCTTTGTCTGTGGGGTGGGGACTGTTCCTGTTTCTTGGGGTTTAAAGGTTTATGGGTTGATTTGCAGGTTTATTAGGCTGCCTTCTGAAAAACACGTAAATGTCACTGAACTCTGCCAAACTCATTTCAGAGTCTATCTTAATAGGACATATGGCGAAGCAAATACCACTGACAGATTCCAGGTGTGCGTATTAATGTTTAATCCCCTTGCTGTATGTAAGTGGTAGGCTGTCTGGGGAGCATGTGCACACAACTGTGGGATGCCAGAGAGAAAGCCAGGATTCTCTGGGAATCGGATGCACATCCCGAGATGCCACTGCATTCAGGGTTCTGTGGGAATCGGATGCACATCCCGAGATGCCACTGCATTCAGGGTTCTGTGGGAATCGGATGCACATCCCGAGATGCCACTGCATTGCTTACACTGCATGGTCATCTTTGGCAAATCAGCGTTCTTCTTTTGCCATCCTGTTGCCACGACACCTGGGTCATAAAGAGAAAGCTCAGTCAGTGTGGAGCATTCATTCTCCGTCCGGGCAGAAGGCACACAGTGGCCCAGTTTCTCCTTGCCTGCCTGCTCAAGGAGGGCTGTTGAGCAGGCAGAGACAGCAAGGAGGAGAAGAACTCGCTGAGCCAGGAGGCCTTCGGGATCGACAGCATATCCCCTGTGTGCGCAAGTGCCCTCAGCCAGTGCCAGGCCAGCCTGGATCTGCTGTTCCAGGGGCCTGAAGGGCAGCAATCGTTCCAACTCTCCCATTGTCTGTTTTTGTGTTGTAGGTACCATCCCTTGCAAGGACATGACTCAGGCCCCAGAACCTTCTGCTCCCCCGCTCTTTGAGGCAGACATAATCCCTGGCTATGAAGAGGCCACTGGAAATAGTGGCAAGTATAATATTGGAGTGCTGCTGTTTCTAAACAAAAGCAGAGATTGATCAGAGGCAGGGCATGCCACTGCTGGTGTATTTTGAAGGATGTCTGAGTGGATATTGTCTGATCCGAAGCATGCTGTGGTCATTTAGAAAGACTACATGGTTTTAATACATATGGTTTGTGTGTTATGTATCATAGACTCATAGAATACCATTGTTGCAAGGAGCCATGAAAGCCATCGGGTCCAACCCCTGCTGTTGCAGGACACCAAGTTACAGCACCGCACTAAGATGGCCATCCAGTTTCTTTTTGACTGTCTCTAGTGTGGGAGAGCCCATTTGTTAAGCAGTGGCACAATCAGACAGCATCTGTGTAGAAGGGGAAAGAAGAAAGCAAGGCTTCTGACATTGGACATGTTGCCAGCTGTTTAATCTGTCTTTGCTCCCATCTTTACTGCCTTGGCCTGCTTGCTGGCTGCTCCCACATTTTGGCACTCCCCACCAAAGGAGCCCAGTTTGAGTCCTGCTGTGGTGTTCTACCAATAGCCAGAGACATGTTTATTCAGAGAGGTTTTCAGCATGTAATCTGGTCTGTTAAGTTGGGGACTGTTAATAATCTGTTACTGTAGTGATTTTTATTGCATTGATAATATTGTAACCAAGGTTTTGTTTTAGAATGCTTAAAATCAACATATGACTCTTATGGCACAGCTTGAATGCCATTTTGTTGGTTGAAGGACAGGATACCAGGAAGCCAGATTCTGGCTAGAGATCAGGAAAAAATTCCTGACTGCCAGAGCAGTACAGCAATAGAACCAGTGACCTGGGGAGGTGGTGGGTTTTCCCAACACTGGAGGCATTCAAGATGCAACTGGACAGGCATCTGAGGGAGATGGTTTAATTGGGAGTTAAGCCAACTTCTGTTGATTGCATGGCACAATTTTTTCGGCTGTTTTGCAGGTAGAGTCAGAATTGAGGGAAAAGGATCCAGCAAGGTGGTCATTAGACTGCAGAACACTCACAACGCTACAACTGCTTTTCCCTCTCTCTCCTATCCCTTTACAGAAAAAAAAGACTTCCCTTCTCCACCTGACACGGTGCCTGGAGGTGAAGGCAAGCCATGGGATGCTCTGGAAGACTGGAAGTAAGACAGCTCGCTGTTCCTTTGGATGCGCTGAGCAAATAATCCTGATTTTGCTTTTGTCACAAATATTGGAAGCTGCCTTCTCCCAAGTGACACCATCTATTTTCATTTTTCAAATTAGTCTTAGATTATATTTATAACCCTGCCTTTCTTCCTCTTGCAAGGAACCCAAAGAGGCTTACAAGGGTCTCCTCCTCTTTCTTATCTTCACAACAATAACCCTGTGAGAAGGTCAGGCTGAGAGATGGACTGGCCCCAAGTCAGCTTCATGGCTGCATGGGGATCAGAGCCTAGATCTTCCAAGTCCCCGTCTAGCCCTCTAACCATTTGTTCCCCTACTAATGTCGACACGGACTGCCAGAAGGCCCCACGATCAATCCTTAACATTTTCAGATAGGCCTGGAAAATCTGCCTGAAACCTTGGCAGAGTCCCTGTCTGGCAGTGTAGAGAGTATGAGGCTACATGGATGAACTGTTTGGCTTCTTCTGTGTTCCTCTGGTGCTCTGGGCTTTCAGGTGGGGTTTTCCTCTCCGGATGTGAAAATGCCAGCGAGTGAACGTGAGCTGTGGTCCCTCTGCACTAGCTGTAAGATGCACGACTCTGTAAATGGAGGTGAACACATGTCAGGAAATAGATGGGGAAAAGAAAACCAGCATATTGTGTTGATGTGCTTCCCTGGAAAAGAGTGCATGATTGTAAGATTGGTGGATTGGACTGGAGAGGGTTGATGGGGATGAAATTATGGGAAGTGCTTTGTGATTGTTCCTGGAAAAGTAGCCAGATGCCTTTGTATGTCAGGGATATCCCTGACTAAATCGTTAGGAAATACCTGAATGGAGCTGTGCTTCTTCCATTCCTCAGGTAAGGGTACTACAACGTAGGGATCTTTCTGTGAAAACAATGCGAGATTTCTGTGGGCCTCAGGCAGTGATGGCAAACCTTTTAGAGACTGAGTGCCCAAACTGCAACTCAGAACCCACTTATTTATCACAAAGTGCCAACACTGCAATAAAACCTGAATTTGCTGACCACCAGCACAAGGAGGCAACGTTCCACTGACCACCATCTTTTGGCTGGCCCTGAAAAAGGCATCTGAGTGTATTTCCTACCTTGCTTGTTGTTGTTAATTGTGAAGTCACGTCCGATCCATTGTGACCCCATGGGCAACATTCCTCCAGGCCTTCCTGTCCTCCACCATCCCCCGGAGTCCTCTTAAGCTCACACCAACTGCTTCATTGACTCCATCCAGCCACCTCATCCTCTGCCGTCCCCTTCTTCTTTTGCCATCTATTGTTCCCAGCATGAGGCTCTTCTCCAGGGAGTCCTTCCTTCTCATTAGGTGGCCAACGTATTTGAGTTTCATCTTCAGTGTCTTACCTTTCCTACCTTCTGCTAAAATCACAGTCCAAGCAAATCCCTGGCAGCTCACTGGCCAGCCATGCGAAAGCCTGGGGAGTCGCACTAATGAGTGATGTTGTTGCCTGGTGCCCTTAATCTTTCCGAATATGTCCATGGCTGCTAGGGCGATCGGTGCCAACAGAGAGGGCTCAGTGTGCCCCTTCAGGCACATGTGCCAGTGTGCCATCACTGGCCTAAGGCGTACTAAGAGCAAAATAGAAAGACACAGAGGTGGACTGCTGAGCTTTTGCACTCAGTAAGCATTTCTATGCTGCTGTTTTTTGCTTTTTTTTTTTTAAGAAATCTGATGGGGAAATAGTGAACTTTGGCTCATGTGGTCTGTTCAAATATTGAAATGCTCAACCAGTAAATAAACCCATTAATCCTAAGTCTTCAGTGACCTCCTTCTGAGGAGATCAGTTCAGAGCACGATGCTCTGTATAAGGCAGGGCTTCTTTATCTGCTTTCTCCCAGCTACTGAATCTTTGGTGGTTTCCTGGTATGTGTGGAACTTGTTCCTCATTCTAAAACTCTTGAAATGCCTCTTCCCAAGGCTTAATTACTGGCAATAAGTGCTTTAAGTTGTAATTAGCCAGCATTTGGAGTGGGGGAGACGGGGACTAGTTGTTCAGCCTGCTTCTTTTCCTCCTTACCCCACATGCATCCCCAGAGAGCTTCTACAAAATCAAGGCATAGTTTTGTGAAGTACCTGAAGTCCTAGAGCAGTGTGGGAAGCAGGATAATTCTCTTTCTGTATGCAGAGCTAGGTGTCCTCTAATGAGTCATGCCCCCCTTTTGCAAGGTTCTGCAGAACAGATGCAGCGTGTGCGTGCGTGAGAGGGAGAGAGAGAGATTTCCACCACGTTCACTGCATTCCTTGGCAGATGCTTCAGGCAATGGTTCGCACTATCAGTTCTGCTGATTCCCTTTCCCATTCCTTTTCTACAGTGCAATTGCCATTTCAGAAGAGGTAGCCAAAAGAGCATTTGAGAAGTACGTTGCAACAAAGTGCTGCTACAGCGAGGTCCCAGCTAGAGAGATGGAGATCCGTGAGGCACAGTCATTCAATACTTACAGAGTAAGTCCGTTTGTTCTAACTTCTCAAAGGCTCTTGGTGCAATTTGCATCATGGTACATACATTTGGCAGCAGGGGCTCCAAGGATGACCAATTGACCTATGACATTTTATGGGATTCTCAAGTATTACACTAAAGACAGAAACGCTTAGGAGTGTTACAGAAATGTCTAAGTGAGCTTTGTTTCATTCTACTGTCTGGCCCTGGAGCTTACCTCTTCTTCATATTATCTTCCACCTGATGAGATTCTGCATGTAGCGACTTCAGCTGCAAATCCAGATGTGGAAGGAGCAACCCTGAAAGAAAATGTTCATACTCTTGCTTCATAGTCTCCCTGTCCTTCTGATAGACTTCAGAATAATTCTTCTGAAGCTGTAAACTTGTATCTTTTGGTATATTATTATGCTTGTCTTTGTTGATTAGTGAAATATAAATCTGATTTCATTGTTGTTGTTTTTACCGAAATACCAGTTTGTGGCATCTTGCCTATTCTGTGTCCCCCAGGCACAAACCATGCAGAGCAAGAGGACTCCACCCCTTAAAACAGAAAAAGCTGGCTTGTCTTTCCGTGGGTGGTGTAGAGAGGGGGGCCATCCCTTGCTCAGTGCCGGCTGCTCAGATAGATTTGTCTGATTCTGAGAAGAGGCAGGGGAGCAAAAGGGGTGTGGAAGAGTTGCCTAATTCGAGGTTACCCTGTGAAGCTTCTTGGGTCGAGTGTGAGAATCCGCCTGCCTAGGAAAGGGAAGGAGATTTTTCATGGTGGGTTGGGGAGCAAATGCCAAAAGAGCCTCCTGACCCAATTAGTCACTGGTGGGAGAAGCAAGCTGCCCACGCACAAGGCCTCAGGCCTTCCTGCTGTCTGGTCCTAAAACAGCAAGCATCTCCCTGAGGGTGCAGTCAGATGCTCTGCTGAGAGAGGGATAGAGGGGAAGTTTCACTTTGGATCTAGTTCTTTACAGGGGCAGATGTTTCTCTCTCTAATTTAGTAGAACGCTACTTATAGGTTATATGTTTGACAGTCGGTTAAATTGCAATCACAGAATTCCGCTTTAAATTTTGAGTTTGATAAACAGAAGGAAAAGAGGGAAGGGATCACCAGCTCATGACAGGTGGGGAGAGGAATGGAGAGGCCATAAGACACCATGGTACAGCATGGTCCTTTCTCTCTTCTCTCTGCCCACCAGCACATGCCCTTTTGTCCCTCGGGCATCTTCTGTGGGGCTGCTCTTGCAAACTTGCTCAGAGAAGCTTTCTGCAGGGTCCAAGGGAAGCTCCAGGATGGGATATCCTGCTCTGCCAAAAGGGAGACATGCAGCATCCCATGGTACCCTAGATGCTGCCTAGAGGCCATAGGATTTCTCTGATTTTATATTACATACATAGCAACTATTTTGAATTGCTGCATTTTTATTCAGAAACTTAAGATAGTAGACTCTGGTTATGAAGTTGCTTCACTTCCTAAGTAGTAGAATTGCCTCTCTTCAAACTCCTGTGTTGCAACATTTCCAACACACAGCTGAAGAAACTCCCCCAGTCTTTTTCTGGATTTGATGATGTTCTGTGTCTAAATTTTTAACTTTGATTTTCTAGTATTGTTTGGAAACATTTGTTGAATCGAGGTCTTCTAAATGGAAAACGGAGCCTTATCGTGGTAAGTATTATATAAAGATTTCTGGTAACTTGTTCTGATCTGTACTTTTTCATTCATATAATATTTATAATTAATACATATTAGCATCTCTAAGCAGTTTATACACAATTTGCTGTAAAATACAGCTATAATACAATACAACAAATAAGTATTTAAAATGTGCAATAGCAACATTGTGACAGGTTCTTTGTCCCAAAAATGACCATTCATTTGAGTGACCAAGGCAGCTGTCCCAAAATTGGACTTAAAGCTGGATCAGATTGCATCCAGGAACCACCTGCAACATCACCCCCTTGTTAAACAACTTTAAAAAGTTGTTAAAAATCATACACAAAGCAGGCGCATTTAACTGGATTGAACAGAGTCTGATGGGCTACTGCAAGCCGACCTGGGACACGCTTGTTTGACTTAGGAATGCCTGTTGCTGGATAAGTACACACGGCTTGATAAAACAAGGTAAATACTAGGTAAGAACCTTGCAAATGAGCACAGCTTGAGCTGTGGCAAAGTTGTGTGTGGGCCCCTATTCCAGTCTCAAGTGGAACCTCCTTGCTGAATCCATGACACAGAAACTGCAGGTGGGACAGAAGTCCTGGACTGTTTCCCTTCCAGCATCCCACATTCTCTGCAGATTTCCATCCTTTCCTTCTGAGGCAGAGTTGGAAGGTGTAGGGGTGCTGCAGGATGCCGCAGAGGGCATAGAGGTTCCCTTCCACCAGGGGCACAATGAGGATGTTGGATCCAATCCCTTGTTTGTTGGAATCTTGCTTCCATCCTTGGTCCTGTGAACAGGAGTCATTCCTAGATTCCTTGGCAACACGAAAGCCATTCTTGTAATTGTCATCTATAGAGTTGGGATTCTAGTTATACCTGCAAGTAAGGAGGAAGGAAGGAAACTGATAAAGCTTGAATGAGCAGAAAGTATTCTGTCTGTCTGTCTATTGATTGATCTATCGATCTGTCGTTCTAGACGACCCAATAGGTGATGTTCTCTGGCTGGTCTACAACAGTTATATACCATTTTATTTCAAAAAATTGGAAAATCAATTCCCTCTATTGCAGTCCAAGTCAAGTGGTTAAGAGTTTGAAAAAAAGAAGTGACTCCATTTATTTTAAACAGGATTAAATGTTTGGGTACACGTGTCGTATTAAGCTATGGATAATACAGGGAAAAGAGCTGGGGCACTGATTGTTCTTGGAGGAAGAAGAAGGGAATGTGGGAAATTAGCATTCATAATGCTGGATTCTAGCATGTAGGTCAGAGTTTTGGGGAGAGCCACCCTATGCACTGGGCTGTAGTGACTTTTAACATCTCTGAATTTCTGGTGGGGGTTGCTGCTCAGTTTGTCCAGCAGTTGATGGCATCAGGTGTCAGAAGATCTACACCAGTGTCCATATATTTCAGGTGATCCTGTCGATTCCAGTCCTGATGGCATGGCTCCTTACCCTTGGGCTGTGAGAGTGGATGCTTCTGCCATGTTTAAGAATGAAACCAGGAAGGTCATCGTACCTCACACGTCATCAGTAATGGTAGATTGAGCATATGGAAATGAACAATGCTGTTACTCCTTTTAAAAAGCAACTTGAGATTAACCTTCTAAGGCAATACTTTTTTCTGTCTTTTTTAACATCTTCAGAGCTCTCATTGTTGAAAAAGAGCCCAGTGGAGGCCTTTCAAAGCCTTGAGTAAGGAGGAATTCAAGTACAAATGCATTGGCAGAGAAGCGTTTGAAAGACACTGTATTTGCAGGAGTATATAAAGTTCGCTGTTGTTATGTGCCATCAAGTGGCCTCTGACTTATGGCAATCTTATGAATGAACGCTCTTCAAAATGTCCTGTCCTTCATAGGCCCGCTGAGCTCTAGTATACAAACCACATGTACCAAAAACAAAGAACATTCATGTATGCTTTTTATTACTATTGAGTCAGCTCCAGGATCTGCCTCCCACAAGGGAAGACCATCTGAGAGGGAAGGGCTCTACAAGTAGGAGAACCCTTCATCCAATTTTGGGCAATTTCACCCTTCTCCACCATGCTACAGCTCACCCCATGCAGTAGGATCTTCTGACACTGGATGATTTAAGCTATGGCATCCATTATGAGCCGCTCGCATAATCTCCTACTTGGGGTGGTTTGTGGTGTCATCAAAACCAGCTGGCATGGCTCGTTGGAGGGTGAAGCGACATTCAAATCACTTATGGCTTGATTAGGGAAATGGCGGTGGGCAGTGACTATGGCTTAAGCAAGTGATCATGGTTTGTTTATCCCACAATGATCAAATGAACAAGCATTTTGGGGTGAGGACAGATCTGCGTTGGGAAAAAAGGACAGGTAATTCTATTCCCTCAGGTGTGGGTAATGGAGCTTCCAGATCCAACTTATTGGCTATGTTCAGACATAATGACAAGTGTGGCTGGAAACAGCACAGACATGGTCTGTCATCGCATGTGAATTCAGCATCCATAGGGAAGCATGGCATATTTCTGTGATTTCCCACAGAGAAACAACAGTTTGTTGTAGTTTCCGCACTTCACCATGGGTTGTCGTTACATGTTAATTTAGCCACTGTGTTTGTGGTTTTCACATTCCTGCCATAGAGTTTGGCAGCAAGAGTGGCCAACTCACCAGATGCTCCAGCCTCCAATTTTTGCTGTGCTGTTCTGCCTAGCAACCGCTAAGTCAGCTAAAGCCATGTTCGGATTGGCTGCCTTGTGCTACTTTTTCCCTCCCTGCACATGCTGCCTACCCGATGCCCAGGCATCCGTCGCTCTGGAACCTTGGCAGCAGCAGGGCATTGTTCTGCGTTGCCTCCACAGCAGCAGGGCCCTTGGAGGTGGGCACACTTGGCCTCCTCTGCTTCCAACAGAGGGTTGAACGAAAGATTTTCTTCTCATCTGTAAGTGCCTGATTCGCATTAGAACCAAGTGTGCAATTCTACTCCCAATGGCAAAGAGGGTAAGAAAATAAATAAGTCTTCACTGGAACCTATCCTTTAATTTTTTTTAAAGAATCCCCACCCCCACTAGTGGGGATGGCATTTCTCCCGAAAAAGAAAACTAGTAGGAAGGAAGCTTAAATCCTCCTTCCCCAGATCAGCACAATCCCGATCCAAATGAGGAGGACAGAAAAGGCCAGCGTGTATAGCTCCCCTGTGCATACCTTAATGGACCATTCGTCAGGTGCGAGCAGACATAGGAATATACTTTGCCCTTAGGAAAGCAGAGCTTCCCAGGTCTGTGTGCACCTGGCCTTCCATGCAGCAGCATGAGAGTTGTTGTAGGAATACCCAAGGCAGAAGCAAAAGCATAAGAGTGAAGCAGGGAAAGTGTGTGAGCTGAAAGCAACAGAATGAAATTCAGTTGGGACAACTGCCAAGATCTACTCCTAGGAGAAGGGAACCAAATGCACAGCTACAAGATGAGCACTCTCCCACCCTAGGGACATTCAAGAGGCAGTTGGACAGCATCTGTCCAGGATGCTTCAACTTGGGGGCTTGCACTGCAGAGGGGGTGGTCTCAATGGCCTTATAAGCCCTTACAGCTCTACTCTTCTATTATTTTCCCACAACATTTGCTTATGCTTTGTTTCCTACGTTCCTGTTCCAGTAACCCATGTTGATCAGCAGGTCTTGTTTTGCTGGGTTATCAGTCTCCTTTTGAACTCCTGCATATAGGCTTTTGATGTCTTCTTTTGCAGTCTTTGCTGGAATGTAGACATGACGATGGTTATCCTGACAGGTTTTCTGTTAATTGCGACTGATATTATTTGGTCAAACTTCATATTATAGCTCCTTCCTGCCTGTGCTGCATCTCGCCTCAGTATTAGAACTACTCCATATCTTTGGAGTTTGTCTTTCCAGAGCAAAAACATCTCATGTTCCTCTGATTGGAAGTGTCCCATTCTAGTCCACTTTGGTCCACTCGGTCAAGCCCTGTGAAGCCCGGCCTTCCCGTCCTGCTTTAAGGTTCCACACGGCTCACGTTCCATGTCAGCGCAGCATCAGACTTCTCCTTTACCTCTGTGCCTGTCAGCCAGTAGCCTTCCCTTTGGCTTTGGTCTACTTGCATCATCAGTGACAGCTCCATTTGAACTTCCCCTCTGTCCCTCCTGTGTAGCTAGTTGAGTACCTACCTGGGGCGGGGTGGGGTGATCTTCTGGCACTATCTCTTGTTTCCTCATAGGGTTTTCAAGGTAAGCTAATTCAGAAATGGTTTATCATACCCTTCTTTGCACAGTACAAACCAGATGTAGCTTGAGTGTTACTGCCATTGTCTGTGCAAGATCTCCACCAGGGTCACTTTCAACTGCTGCCCAGGAGTGGTCCTTCAGGAGTTTCTCTGCCCCATCATCCCTGTGGAGAGCCATTCTCTTCTGCTGATGTGGCCATTACTCCTGAAGACGGTGGGTGCACCTTAGCCAGGTGCCTCAGCTCTGACCACTGAGCCTTGGGTGGCCCTGCGAGGGGAACGGCCTAGTGAGACCGCCTGCCCTCCTGGCCACATTGCTCTTGGCTTCTTGTGACATCCTGCCCACCCCATCGTGCTAAGGGGTGCATCCAAGGGGAGGATATTCATAGCTACATGTTCTTGTATGGGTCTTTTTATGGGTTTGTTGAAACTTATAATAAAAATACTTTGAATGCTCTTCTTCCCTTTAAGACGTGTCCAAGCTGCCATGGACAGGGTAAAGTTAGCTGCAGTAGCTGCCATGGATGTGGGACGGTGAGTGTTCACGTGCTTTCCTTACTGTGATGCTTAGTCTCAAGGTCATAAAAGGAGAAGAATAAGTGATGAGATGAAATAGAGCAGTTGACAAAATTTATTTTTTCCTCACTTGAAAACATGCATAGCGAGGGTTTGAAATGCTCGCTTTCATGCAAGAGCATCAAGATAGAGCCATAATTATCTTCAGTCTTGGACTGCAATCTGAACCACGTGGGTATGGAGTGGGTTTCCATGGGAGGTCGTTGAGGCCCCATCGGTGCGGGTGTTCAAAGATAGGCTGGACATGCGCATGGTGGGCATGTCGTGAGTGGAGCCGGCTGGAGCCAGGGGTCAGATTAGATGGCCCGGGAGGCCCCTTCTGACCCGCTCTGTTTCTATATTTCTATGTTATGCAGCCCAAATCCTGCCCCACACATATACCTTCTTCCAAGCCCCTATCACTTCCATCTTCCACTGCTGCAACAGCTTCCGCCTCCTCACTAGCAAATGGGGCAGAGGCAAGAAGAGAGGCTGTGTCAGTATCCCTTGAATACACCCGACTCTCTGGTTCTACCTGCAGGTGGTGTGCTGTCCAAGTGCACTGGGCGTCAAAGCAAGATGCAGGGAACTGCCCCATTTCCTGCTGTTGGTGTGGCAGGAAGGCAAGCTGGGAGGGGATGCCAGGCTGGCATTGGGTGACTGTGAGGGGTTGGGCTTCTCCTTGTCCGGAGAAGCCCAACTCCAGACAAGGAGCTCTTCTTCATTTTGTACAAGAATGTGGATTGAGGCCTTCTTGTTTTGAGCAGGTGGCTCTGAGAGTGGGGACCTGGACCCAGCCGCCCTTCCAGGCCATGCCAGTCTGCAGTCCCAGCTGCTATCATGGCCCACTGACTCAAAGGAAATTAGCTTTTAAATATTTAATGTATTTGAAACCCACCCGCTAGCATCATGCCCTCTGGGTGACCATTACAATAGTAAGACCTGATAAAATAACATTAAATAAAAGCGATAAAATTTAAAATATCATCATAAAATAAAGCAAGATAAATCACAATAGCCATAACTTAATAAAAATAAAATATATCAATAGCATTTATTTATTTAGGATATTTATAGACCATCCCTCACTGTCATCGCTGGATGGCTTACAGCATTATTCTAAATTCTAAATAAAATAAATTAGCTATTTCACAAATATATATTAATGTATGATATATTAAAAACAGCACTATAGTCCAAATGGTCTAAGTCGTGCCACAGGCACGCCAGACAAAAGAAGCCTTCTGCCAGGCACCTAAAATTCTGCGCAGGAAGTGCCTGGTAAACCTCATGAGGCAAAGCATCCCACAGTCGGGGTGCTGCCACAGAAAAGGCCCTCCTTGCAGCCTCTCCCTTAACCTCCTTGTGGGGAGTAGCTTGGAGGAGAGACTCAGCTGATGATCTTAGGCAACGGGCCTAAGAGTTAGGAGCTCCCTAAGACAATGTGGCCCCAAGCCTTTAGGGTCTTCCATGTCATGGTCAAGCCTTGAATCGGCCTGGCGTGGAGCAGGAAGCCAGTGCAGCCGGCAAAGACCAGGGCAATATATGCTGAAGGACCGGTCCTTGTTAGAGCTGCTCTGCACTGGATCATTTGCAGAGTGCAGACCGCCTTCAAGTGAAAGCCCATCTAGAGCACATTACAGGGGTCCAGGCTGGGCGTTACAAGGGAATGACCGTGGCAAGACGTTTGCACCGCTCCGTGCTAATAGTGGAATGTATTATGTCTGGGTTGACACCTAACAAGGAGGCAGCATGGGAAATTCCCCGAGGGCCTTTTTAGGGGTGTCAAGCACGCCCAGCGCCCATCCTTACTGGGTCTGCATGCAAGGACAAGCTACGGAGTGGCTCAGTCACACCATTTCGTAGATTGAAAAGGGCTATGAGGAGCTTCGTGGGAATGCGCCCTTCTCATTACAGGCAAACCCACCCTGTGTCTTGTATGTCCACGTACTGTTCTCAGTGCCATGTGTAATCATTTCATTTTAAGCATCACCCCTTGTGCGTCGGCCGGTGTCTCTTTCTAAATCATTCCCATCTCCACCTGAACAGTGTCCATGTTCTTACTCATTTGTCTTCCCCCTGTTGTTCCTGGGCGGGTCCCAGGGAAGGGTGTAGAGCAGCGATGGTGGAGCACTTGCCACCCGAGGTGCTCCGACTGTGACTGCAGTGGCCCAGCCGACACGGCTACTCGTGGTCTGGGAGGCTAACGTTTGCAGGCTGGCAGAATCTGGAGGCAGCCTGGTATTCAGAATTTCAGCCTTCATAAATAGCTATGGTGAAATGAGCAAAACTGCACAAGGAAAAGCTAGGAACAAGGAACGGTCAATATGGAGTGACAAAGCCAGTGCTGCTATTAGGAGGTTAATACAGATCCATTTGTGCCTAAGAAACATGCTTTCTCTCAACAGAACTTTCTTTTTTGTGTCCTCCCTTTCCAATTGAATCCCAACAGCAATCATGCTTTTCCTGTTCTGGAAACGGAGAGTGCAGCAGCTGTTCTGGAACTGGAACTGTTACGTGAGTGAACCAATAGATGTATATATAGAAGCATGAGTGATGCAAAGATTTATTTTTCTTTGCACCGTGGTTTGACTACTCCATGATGTGAGAATATTACTGCACTCATCCTCTGTGGGTCATGACTGAAGGGATCCCATGGCCAATTTGGGAATGGCTTCTGTGGCATCTGCAGTCATTTGCAGACCCCACAATATGACCTGCGTGTGGTATCAAGGCACACATGCATGTATGTGTGCCTTGATACCACACACAGGTGTGGTAGAAGCTCAGGGAACCAAGGTTCATTTGAGATGCCAGGAAGCACTTCCTGACAGTCAGGACCCCGAGGGTATGGAATGGGCTTCCACGGGGGGTGGTTGAGGCCCCATCAGTGCGGGTGTTCAAGGATAGGCTGGGCATGCATATGGTGGGCGTGTTGTGAGCAGAGCCAGCTGGAGTCAGGGGTCAGACTAGATGGCCTGGGAGACCCCTTCTGACTCTCTCTGTTTCTATGTTTCTATATTGCTTCTTTTCTGTAGTTACGTTAGCAAATCATTTCAGCTGTCGAGCCATATAGAAGGTATAGTACCTCAATCCATAATCTGCTCTACAGGGATCATAATCTTGAACTGCATTGCACACTTCTAAGAATCAGAGTGTTCAAAACACATGTTTCTTCTTGCACAGAGTGTGATACCAACACAAGTATTCCATACCTGATATTAGCATGCATTTTGTACCCATATCAAAGGCAAAAGCTACTGTCAGACGTCTCTCCAAATGAGGGCTATGGTGCAGGGCTGAACCTTCCAGATAGTTTGGCCAGAGCACTCTCAGCCTGAGCCAGCACAGCTGATGCTGCGGGAGGGGGGTGAAGGGCTGGCTGCCTCGCTCCGATGGAGCTGGTCGCCAAAGCACCTGTGGGGCCACTCGCTGGACTTCCCCGCGGCAGTGCAGCTGGTTCAGAAAACCAGCATGTGCAGCCAAGTCCGTAGCTCTGTGTAGCGTATTATGACCTGGAGGCAATGCAGGATATTTCAGGTTTTGCACTCCAGGAGGATTTCAGCTGTTGCGGAGCTCTAAGTTTTCTCTGGATAATTTAAAGAGAACAAGCTGAACATGGGTCTGATACAGGGAGAGATTTGTAAACGGTTCAGGATTAGGTAGCATAGCAGTGGATTTTCTTTCACTCTTCGTTCCTTAGTGGGCTGTGTTCCCGACAAATGGGGCACAGCATGAACAGCCCACAGTTCTACAACACTGGAAAGCAAAAAAAAGCTCAAATATACTGTTTGATTCAAGATCGTTGACTTCCGCTGCCCTTAAAATGTATTATTATACCAAATAGTTAAAAATATGTTCCAATTAATATGGGAAATCTTCTTGAGTCATGTTCAGAATTAGGGTCAACAATAATAACAACCACAACAAAAGTTAACAATTATTTGAATGTCATTTGCAGCTACACTTTTTTCAGTTTAGAATACCCCGGGTTTATCAGCTTGGGGAAAAACACTGGCTTCATGTCTGTAGCATTCTGGACAAAAATGGCCCCTGCCAGGCAGAGGAACTTTTCATAATCATTACTTTTACATTTTTAGAAGAGAAAGAAAACACAGCTTCTGGGAAGCCCACCCATCCAGAACCCTTTAAACTCCTTTGAGAAATTGTAAAAATTCTCCCGTCCTGATTTTTTTTCTTGTGAATGATGTTCCCAAATCTGTAAGGACCGTTTTTTCAGTTGTAACTTCAAGTGTTGTGCAGAATTTCCTAGCATGCAAAATTATATTTACATTCAGTGAGTCAGGAATATATATTGGGCTGGGCAGCAGGCCTTTGAATTTTCTTTCTCATGTAAGCCAGGGCATGGGCTGAAGGCAAATGATGCAGCGAATTGGGAGCAAACTAAGTTCTTGGCCCAGTTAGTGCTGGAATGAGAGACCACTGTATCTTCTGTGCCTATTGCTCTGAGTTACATGACTGAATATAAGTGAGACACACATGAAAACTCTCGGCCATTGTTCTCAAACTGTGAGTGTGCCATTGTGTAAAACATCTGCAGGAGACTGCAAAATGCTTCTTTCTGTTTGGGCTTCACACAGAGAACATCAAAAGGGAAGGACCACTGCTGCTCATTCTTAGAGCACATCCCAGGTTCCATCGTGGCTTGTACAGTCTGGTGATGGGAAGGAAGAGACTGGAAGGGCTGCCATCAGTCCGAGTCAATAGCATTGGACTTCATGGACAAACAGTCTGGTCTTATAAAAGAAGAGCGGACTTTTTGCCAAATATTAAGCACCATGCAGATTTGTCCCTGTTGAATACTTCAGTGTTCACATATAGGCACCTGGCTATTGTTTCCTCTAATGAAAAGCTGCATTCTTGTGTCATACCTTCTCTGCAGGTGTACTTTCTGCTCTGGCTGGGGGGAAACAACATGCAGCAGATGCACGGGAAGAGGAAAACTGCTGACCTACCTCCAACTAAAAGTCACATGGCAAGTTTTTTGCTTCTGAAAAACAAACTACAGTATCAACATCAGTGTCTTTGCTTTGCCAGTGTAGCTGCCTGAGCCTGCTAGTCAGTGTCACTAAAGGTGTTTTGAATGTGCAAGGGGGGGGACCACAAAACCCAGCAATTATATCCTGGAGGGCAGGCCCCTCGCAGTATAGGCTTCCCTGGCCAGGTGAGTGATCCAGGAAGCCACCGGCATCAATGCACCCAGCTGGGTTGTTGGGAGCAGCTGCATTCAGCTTCCATGAGTTTTTTTGGAGACTCTTTCAACGGGTTTGCCTATTTCATAATGCCTGATTCACACGAACGACAGGCAGCGATGAGATTTTGTTCAGCTGAGTTTTCAGCAGTTTTGGACCAAAACCAGCATGACCCTTGTTCCCCACCTTCCCTATTCACCCAGTTTTGCCCCATGCAACTTTTTTTTTGTTTCCCTGGATGGAAAGTCCTCAAAGGGAAACGTTTTGCAGATGTGGAAGAGGTGAAACAAAAAACGGCAGAAGCACTCAAAGGCATCAGAATCGACAAGTTCAAAACCTGTTCTGAGCAGTGGAAAAAAGTCTATATAGGTGTATTGCATCAAACGGAGAGTACTTTGCAGGTGACTGAAGTATGAACATGTAAAAATAAATACACGTTTTTTAATAAATAAATTCCGGAGGTTTTTGGGTCCCCCCTCGGGTATTGCTGGTGGGGAAGGCAGCTCAGCTGATGTTGAAGAATTTGGCACGAAGGCTCTCGACATTTAGGTTCGCTGCACAAGGCTCACTGAAGCGCTGGCGTGGCTGACAATGTCTGCTCTGCAGAGCAGCCCAGAAAGTATCCCTGGATGCCGTCCTGGGCCACGAGGACTCTGCCACCAGAGGCCTCTGGCCAGATGAAACCTGCGGGAAAGAGCCAGGCAGGATGGGTGGAATGACCGAGGCGAAAACACTGCCTGTTCTGGCTTAATTACATCTAGAGGAGCCTTTCCCCTGTCTTGCTGGCCTACATTTTGGTGACTGGGACAGGAGAAGATGCTCCTGTGTCGAGTGGGTGTGGGCCTCTTCCTGCCCTTCTCCATCCATCCACTTGCTTCCTTTCTGCTTGTCTGGCCCTCCCCCAGGGACACCGTCGTAACCTGTGAAGAGGAGTCGCTGCAGACTGCAGCCCCACGATTGGACTCCTCGTGGGTGCAGGGGAGAGATCAGCAGCACCCGACAGCGGCCCTGATGCTGCTGTGGACTATTGGATTACTCTGCCCATGTAGGAAAGGAATAGAGTGTGCAGACACCGAATTATTCAGAGGTTGCGCCATTTTTTTGAGTTTATGATTTATGTTCAGTCCTCTCTGTGGTACGTGCGAAGGGCACTGCATCCATGCTCCAAAGGAAGCTAGCATAAAAACCCAGAGCATCAGAGGGAATTCAGGCCTGTATTCCAGGAAGGAACATTTTGAAGGGCTTGGTTTGAGATGATTTATTTGCTTTGAAGCTAAGATGTGCAACTAGTAGTCATTACTGTATTTGCTGTTGCTTTCACAGGGAGAACAAGCTTTTTGAATATGTGATGGATCATGGATTTGGATTTCCTATTAAAGTTTTCAAATCAGTCAAGGGACAGCAATTGTTACTTGATGAGCAACCTATGGTAATGAAGCACTTCCAACAAGAGCAGGGATGCAGGAACGAAATGGAACTGAAATATTCACAGATTTCCTCCCTTCCCCATTGCAAATGTACTTGAAGGCTTTTAAATAAGCCACATAAATCTATACTGTTCCCATCTCCTTTGCTGTTGTGTTGGGGCAGGAAAGAAGTCCTTACTGTATTTATTAATGCCCCTTTCTCCTGATAACGCATAACTCCAAACTTCCTTCCTTTCTACTGTTCTTCTTAACATCAAGGGTAAACCATGCATCTTATATTCAGATGAAAGTAAGTGGATTCCTTTCAGGAAATTTCCCTAAGCTTTTAAAAGTTTGGGCAGAGTAGCAACAAAACAATGCGTTGTTGTTGTTGTTGTTGTTGTAATTGTAGTCTTAATTATAGAGACTTTCAGCAGAAAAACTTGGTGGCTTATATTCAGAATATTTAGTAATACTGTTATTTTAGGCATAGCTCTGTGCATGTGGATTTCCACAGCAATCTTTACCTTGCTTTAGCTCTTCTCTCTTAGATACTGGGTGGACATTAAGCTTGTAACCATTTCAGGATGGACAAAAATATCCAAGGCTTTTGTAGTGTAAATTTATTCTGAGTAACGGTTGTGAGATTTAGTAATTCACCATCAAATGATCGTGGATGCTGTCCTATAAGCATAAACATATTTGCAGAATTAGGTAATTCACACACATAGTAATGCAGCATTAGATAATAGATAGAAATTCAGAAAAAGGCACTAAGATATACTGAGTCATTTTTCTTACAGTTTCAAATTCATTGGTTGACCCTTCGGAACATTCGTTCGGGCAGTTTCTTCAGTGTTCACACTCTAAAAAACACAGAAAAGGCTGGAAAACATGGGAGGGACCTTGGAGGGCAATAATGTTGCCAACTTCCAGCACTGTCCCCCAGGCTTCCATGAGTGTGGGAGCAAGACTACTCAAGAAATGCCTCATCTAGAGAAGCCCTGATTCTTTCTCCTGATAATTCTTCATCTGGTGCAAACCCAAGTGGAGTGCACTTGGTGACACCTTAGTTCTTCAACCTGACATTCACAACAGTGGCTTGTTTTCCATTTATTTGTGTGTGAGGCTGTGATTTGTGTCTGCATGATGTCAGTATGTAATTTTGAGCCCTCCTTTGTTCATTAGTGTACCTCCCCCCCATATTTATATTTTCACAGGTATCCCCAGTGGTAGGTTTCCCTGCAGGTATCATAAACGAGGTCTCCCGGAATGCCCTTAACAAACATCAAGCTATGTTTGCATCCACAACTCCAATCTCAGGGCCGGTGAGTGCCGTGAAGACTGTGACTGCCTTCGCACAGCACAACAAGCACTGTGAACAGTTACCATGGTTCACTGTTATCTATCCATATGACAGATAATCAAATAGCTTTTCCATTATCCTGGTTTTCATCCTCCCCACTTAGTCTTCCTGCTGTTGACATCAGGAAGCCTTTTAGTTCCATCAGCCCAAAGTTCAGTACCAAGGTGCATTGCTCCCTGGTTGTGTCTCCTGCCTGTTCTTCATTGGTCCATGTGTAAAGCTGTCCTGAGATGTCAGTGGTGGATGGGTTAGAAAAGCTTCAAACAAACAAACAAAATAAAGGCTGAATGGCTGTAGTGGCCCCTACAGGTGCCACTCTTTCCAGGAGACTGTATGGTAGTTGTGTACCAGGACTATGAAAACCATGATCCTGGGTACAGACAACAAAGTTATCCATGGTGGTACAGAGAAACCATAAAACAAACCATGGCTTCTTTTCATAGTTTCTTAAAGACCAAACTTACTATGGTAAATTACCGCAGCTGGGTTCTGACAACATATCAACAACAATAAAATACCGGCATGCCTAGCCAGTGTGGTATAGTGCTTAAGAGCATGGGACTGGGACTCAGAGGATCTGGGTTCTAGTCCCCACTCAGCCATGGAGCCAACTGGGTGACTTTGGGCCAGTCACAGACTCTCAGCCCAACCTACCTCACAGGGTTGTTGTTGGGATAAGATGGAGGAGGAGGTGTAAGCTGCCTTGAGCCCTCTGTAGGAAAAAGGCAGGATATAAATCGGAAACTAAATAAATGTCTGTGTTGTCTGAACCCAGGTTAGGTCTTACAAAGCACTCAGCAGAAAACCCACAGTTGATTCAGAGTCAACACTGTCTTCCTTCTCACAGTTCTTAATTTCGCTTTAGCTGAGACACACCTGCCCAGAAGCGGGGTCATTTACGTTGTTCAGCATTATCAGTAGTAAATCCTTCTTGCCTATCAATGCCTACCTACAGCGCACAGAGAAGCTCTGTATGGCCTAACGGTGCCGTAGGGCTGAGATGTGGTTTGTTGTTGACACAGTGCCAATACCGTCACCAGCCAAGCCTTATTGGATGGTCTTGATTTCTCTTTCCATTTCTGTATTTTAAAGTGTGCCTTTTTCTAGGCACTGCAGGACCCCAGCACTGCTACCTGGAGCGTCATTGAACAACCTTCCGCTGAGTTTCCAAGCACCAGCTGGATACTGAGGCAGGTGGGTGCAGTGCAGATGAGCAAAACACTCAAAGCAACGCCAGCGGTGTCTGTGCTGTGTGTGTGTGTCCCGGCATTCCTGTTGTCTCGTGTGAGAAACGAATGTGCCGTGTGTCTGGAACTGTGCTCCATTCCACTAGTACAGCCCCGCCACACCGTAGGCCAGAAGAGTAAGCTTTCTGCATGTGCCCATCTCCTTGAGATGGGAGTCTTTCTATTATTGCCACCTGAAAGGTAAAACGGTAAAATAATGTGTGAGACTCTTAATTGTCCTGGTGGCTCAGAGTCTGAAATATCCCCGGCCACCGGGCCATGGCAAGTCTGGATGGCAAGCAGGGCAGATGCTGGAGAATCCAACCAGTGGGTGCTGATGGAAAGACCAGACGCAAAGTCTAGAAACAGCTGAAATTAAAGGAGGCAGAAGTTGGAAGCAAGGAGAAAGACAGGCGCTATAGAGAAAGAAAGGAGAGCACAATCTAGCTTTCACTTCTTGCAGTTCAGGCAAGGCCTGGCTGCTTTTATAGACATATTTGTACAAATCAGAGTTGTTATAATCCCAACCGTTATTGTGGATACTGAATACTCTGTGTGTAGAAGCACTAGCACTGAAAATTATTTAAGTGCATGACCCTGTTGAGGAAAAAAGAAATGGAAGACCACAGAACATAAACATTTACGATATTTTTAAACACCAAGCATGCAGCACATTTGCCCCTCGCCCCTTGACCACCTGGAGGAGCAGATTTTTAGGGAGGATTCCTTTGACATTCTTTAAACCAATTATTGTAAGTTTAAGCACAAAATGAGAAAAGAACACTGTGGGATTCACTTTTCCCAACATGACTCCCATGTTCTTCTGGTGATTTCTCCTAATAAGTTGGCACTTTCTGCCATGACCCTTACAGTTTTGAGGAAGTGGTCAGAGTGGGCCACTTGGTCAACCTGTTGGCCATCAAGACAGAGCAATGGCCTGGTGCCTTCCTCATCATGGCCATAAGTGAGATTATTGTTCCCTAGTGCAGAGGTTCAGAAATGCCGTGCTCCAGATTCATCACGCCTAGTGAGACTAAGATGGTTACATGTCTGGAAGGCGAACAGCCGTCCCCAGGACCCCATTATGTCTGATGCCATCTGACAGTCCAGTGCAAATTATGCATATGGCGCCACGCCGAGGTCACAGCACACGAAGCCTTCACACATTTCATGTTTCACCTTCTTGTCTAGATGCAACCTGCTTACCTCAGAGTTTCTCTTGCAGTGACCTTCAGAACGGGCAACCCTCTTTGCCACATGCAGACACACACACACACACTGTGCCTGGCCAGTGACACCTTGTGGATGTAGTGAGGATGCATTGACAGAGGTCCAGCTTTGTATGCAGAATGTCTGAAGTTCAACCCCAGCATCTCCAGGGAGGGCTGGAAATACTTCTGCCCAAAACCTGGGAAAGCTGTGGCCAGGGGATAGTACTGAACTACGATGGGCCCAGGGTCTGACTCAGTTGAGGCGGCTTCCCCTGTTCAGCTTTAGGTCTCACACGTGTAACATGTGGGTCCAAGAATTGTGGATCAGATCCACAGAGCAGTATGCAAACTGGCAGTTGTCTGTTGGTTGGGGGAGTGGGGATTGTAAGCAGCAAGGCCAGATGGAAATGAAGCAAATGGCGTGGGGAGAGAATGCAGAGTGACAATTCTGCTAAGCGCATGTAAAATCTTTTGTAAAAAAAAGTGCACACGCATCATGGATGATGACATAAACATCCTGGCCTTGGTAAGCTGATTAATGCATGTCATGTGGTAAGAGCACCTTGATCCAAGCCATGCGCAATGGCACTGTAGTTCTGCAAGTCCATGCATGATTCTTCCATTGAAGCGCTTTGTTTGAGGAAGGCTACTTATTTTATTTATTTATTTATTTATTTATTTATTTATTTATTTATTTATTAAAACATTTCTATGCCGCCCCTTGCCGAAGCCTCGGGGCGGCTCACAACATCAAATAAAATACACAATAAATTAAAACAATAACAATTAAAATATATACAGTAGAATAAAATAAGCCGCCCTGGCCAAATAAAATTCAATACTATTAACATTTAAAATGCTGCTGAAATAAAAAGGTCTTCGCCTGGCACCGAAAAACAAATAACGATGGCACCAGGCGGACCTCTCTGGGGAGCGCATTCCAGGGCTTTAACAGTATGCACTGCGAGGGTGAACTGTTGCCTGCTGCATTTCCTAATGTCGCAATTTCCTACACCGAAGCTCTTGTGATTCTGGAGGGAACCATGCTTCCTATGTTACACAGTAGACTTTCAGCATGACCCAGTGTGGCTTCCCCCCTCTTCCCCTGTGCTGCAAAAGGCTTACATAGCGGAGTTCAGCACATCTTTCAGCCATAGCTTGTAAGAAGGACATGCTGAGGTGCCACCAGGATGCATCCTATTATGGTAGAGCCTCTTCTGTCCCCTTCCCACTCCCAGAATGCCCACCCAATGCCAGCCCTAAGTTTGGCCTTGCAACCTTGGAGCTGCAGCCAGTGATGGCAACAAGGGTGGAGGTGCCGTGAGCCGAGGTTCTTCTCTTGTGCATTCAAAAGCTGCGGACCCTTTCCCTTGCAAAGCATTCTTCGTTGGCCAAAAAGCACGAAGCACCCAGAATGAATCTCCGAGCATGCACAAAGTGATGTGTTGAACCCAATGCAGCATTCCCCACCAGGAACGCTCCTTACGATTATGCCTCGGCCTTCTGAAAAAGAGCCCACCTCCTCTCTGCACACCAGTCCTCTAACTGGGCCACCCTCCTCCGCTGGTGCATGTCATGGGGTCCAGAGCTGGGGCTGCCTAGTCTGTGAGAAACTGCCCTGCTCCAAATCCAGCTGTACATCTTGGTTATCTGCAGAGCCCGGCTGCCCACCTGGGGAGTCTGGCCTGTCTCCACTTCCCTCCGCTCATGGTCTCCTCAGTCAGGAAGGCAATGGACTTGGACTTGAATGTTTCTGCCAGCAATTCCTTGTTTCGTCTTCGTCTTTTTACAGAGGCAGACAATTGAACTGCTCTATCTTACCAGGGTGGAATATGAGTGGCAAGGGAAGTTCTACTCTTACTACGTGTATGGAAATGAGCACAAGGTGTTCACGGAGGATTATCCCCAGAAGTGTTGCTGCACTCTCATGTGATCCAGGAGGACTCCCAGCTCTGCCTCTCGGCCAGAGCTTTTGGATCATGGGTCCTTTCCCAGACAGGTGTTCCTAAACTGTGAAGGATGGTTTCCCATTTTAAAAGGATGTAAAAGTGTATTCTGTTTGCTGAGCAGAAAATAAAACTCCAGGCCTGCCGAATGGAAGTCGACTCTGGCAATATGCAACTGGGCCACAGGTTGCTGACGCACTTTTGACATGCAGCTTTCGGAGCATATTTTGCACTTCTGCTTGCAGTTTCCAAGTCTACTTGGCAAACACAAGAAGCTATCGTATCACATTGTATGAATGGTTTAAATATAAAAAGCCTTTATGTAAATTTCGTTTAATATTTATATTTTATAGAATTGCCAAGGAAAGGTTATTTTGGTTTTATTGTTTGCTATTTTCATACTGTGACACTGAGTGGTTTTGCTCATCCTTTATGTATTTTGGGACTTATATCACCTTTTAATCTTTTTCAAGGTGCATAACAAGAAAAGAAACCTTGCATTGTCAACTGTTTTGGGTCTTCCATGGAGAAGAAGATCAGTATACAAATTCTAAAGAAAAGTATAGGTGATTTATCTCATTAATGAGGGACCATCTTCTCCTTTATCAATCTACCTGGTCACTAAAGGTTTCCTGGTCTATCCTGAGGACAGACCTAGGATCTGGTTGGAATATTACAGTGTAGGGTCTTTGGGATGGTATATCCCATTCTGTGGAACTCCCTGCCTCGGGAGGTCAGACAGGTGTGAGCATCATGTTGCTTTTGGCACCTGCCAAAGGCATCTTTGACAGATGCCTTCTTGGTATGCTGATCTAATTTACTGGTATACTGATTTAAGCAACAGTGGATACAATGTTTTATTCCATTTACCTTTTATTGTTGATTGCTTCAGAATCTACACCAGAATATGGAGTGCTGCATATGTTTTACAAATAAACAAATGCAGAGGTGTACCTTGAGTAGCACTTCAGGTCATTGACATTTGGTATTTCGTATGAGTAAATGGTTTAAAACTGTGAAAACCCCTAAACAGTTTGGAGCCAGGTTTTTGGGGAGAATGCCTTCTCCCATACATGCCTGCCTGAACCCTGAGATCATAATTGGAGGTCCTTTTCGGAGAGCCCGCTCGAAAGAAAGCAAGGAGGGTGCTGCTAGGTAGGGGAAGGGCCTTTTTGGGCACCCCACCTGGGCACCCCACCTGTGGAATCAGCTCCCCAAAGAGGTGCACTTGGTGCCCACTCTTCATTCCTTTCAGCACCAGATGAAAACCTTTTTTCCTAATATTTCAATGGTTAGATTTTTGTTTCCATTTGAACTGTGCTTTACTACTTCTGATTTAGCTGCTGTTGTGGATGCATCATTGTTTCCTTGTATTACTGTATGAGTTTATACTCATTGTATTACTGTGATTATATAATGATTGTTTTATACGCATTATATCTTTTGAGCCTTTGCACTGATGGGTGATACAGAAATATAATAAATAAATATTAAACAATATGATAAAATAAACACCATACAAAAGCGAATCAGGGAAAAATGTCTTCTTGCTTGTATCGTTCGTGAGCTAGTTTTGCCAATCTCTCCTCTCCTCGAGTTTCACATAAGGTGACATGAACATTGTGTGGGTATCATGACAACTCGCTGTGGGATTCCTCCAGGTGGGACGGCTGTTTTTGCGAAGTACCTTGGGGAAAGCACAAAAAGCGATTAGACCCACCATGAGTACTCCACCTCCTTTCTCCCCTTGGGACATCACGGAGTAAGTTTCCTCTCTGACAGCTGGGCTCACTGTGGCCATTCCTTTAAATTACTCTTCAGGTCCATTTCCCTTAAACAAAAGTGGAGTAGAGGCCTACCTTTTACCTAAATGTTACATTTTGAGCCTTTTATTATATTTAATACATTTTAATATGGTACATTTTATAATGAATTTTAATGTGTAGCTGTACACTGCCCAGAAAGCTTTGGCTATTGGGTAGTTTAGAGATTAATTAAAGAACAAATAAAATAAATTTTCCAAGGCCTTAGAGAGTCAGGACAAAAGTTGCTGCCCCGTGGAGACCAAAGGGGGAGGATACCAGAAGAGAAGCAGCTAAAGTTGCCTTGGCTTTCAACAGCTTGCTCACTTTCCGAGTTGGAGGAGGGACCGCTGGAGCAGCCTGCCAGGGTGTCCCTTGCCACCCCTTCTCCCTGTTGTCCCCAGCCCCTCGGAGCCCACGGAAGGGCCAAACTGCTCCCCTTCCCCTCCAAATCCGTCTGGCAGTCGTGGCAGGCAGAGGCGGTCGGCCTCCAGCAGCGGCTCCGAAGGGCAGATTGGACACTTGAGGGGCAGCTGGCACTGGCAGTCACCAGACCGCTGCTTAGCAAGAAAGTCAAGATGATTTTGCAGCTTTCCAAGCAGCAGGATCTCAGTCTGGATGGGGTGTGTCATCTCGGTTTGGACAATGTGAGAAGCCCTCATGGATGACAACGACCCTAGAATAGCCCATGGCCAGCACAGGATGGCTCGTTTGGAAAAAGGAGCAACTCTGTTTGCATGACATGGCAACCCACCTGCGATAACAGACAAGGGGTGGTTTTCCTGTAGTCTGAACCCTCGCAGCGGTGGTGGTGGTGGTGGTGGTGAAGATGAAGATGATGATGATGGAGATGATGATGATGATGACAATACCCCACCTTTTTTCCCATGATGATGATCTGAAAATGCCTTACACAGTCCTGTTCCTCTCCACGTTTACCTCACAACAGCCCTGGAACACAGACCGGAAAATGTTCACTTTGTAAAGGTCTTACTCTCTGCCCAACGGTGCGAGGGCATAGCAGTCACTGGTGGAGGAGTGAGAAAAGGGGGCTGGCTCGGCCGGCACCCTCCCATCCCTGCCCATGCTTCCAGTCACATGCGCACTCCTGCCTTTCCCTCATTTGCCTCATTTTGTTCCTCTTTCCAGGAGGGGCTGGGGGAGGATGTGAAGGAAGCACCAGAGTCACACAGCCGAAGTCGAGTTGTTTTGTAGGGTGGCGGGAGTCCAGGGGTGACCTTCACTTCTCTCACCCCGCATGTAATGCCCATAATCCTCTGAGCTTGAGGGCATTTAGGGCCCCATCTGGACTGCACCCAGTGGGCAGAATTTGGGGCAGTCCTACAAAATATATCTTGAAACATTCAGCTCGCAGCCTCCCTGACCATTGGCCGTACCAGCAGGGTCTTCTGGGCATCGACGTCCAAAACAGGCAGAGATGCCTAACTCTGCACTAATCCTGTGGAAGAAGACACATTTGGCAACTACTTCTGGATGCAGCGTGGCCAGTGGTTCAGATTGGTGGCGTCCGTCCAAGATGTCAGGAAGTCTGATGTAAGCTTTAGAGAATCATTCTGCACCATAATATAATGTAATACACAGTGACGTGATGCAGGAAGACATGTTAAGCACCCTATTGTTGGCCAAGATGACACAACATTTTGTTCTCAATTTCCAGGAGGTCCCTCTCTTTTGCGAGTTTGCTTTACCAATTACTAATTCCACATTGCCACCTAGTGGCCACATTCGGGCATGTTTCTCGCTCTTCAAGAACAGCACTGCCAACAAAGAGCAAAGACTGACGTTACATATCGCAGGAATTGTCCTTGCTCTCCAACCACGCGCTCTTACATTCCAGTTCAGGCTTAACAGGCCAGCAGTACGCGCTAACCTCCACCCTTCTCAGTCTCTGAAAGAGTTCTGCTGCTGCATTATGTTTGTGATTGTTTATATTTAAGTACCCTCCTCTGTTAGATCAATCACAAACACTGGAGCTGGCTGAATAGATATTAGAAGGATGGCAAATTTAGGGCTAGTGCTGGGTCCAGGTTCTTGCCACTCTTGGGCAAGCCACCCTCAGTGGGTGGACCTTCTCATCACCCTGGTCACCAGCATTTCTTGCTCCTCAGTCTGGTTCTCCTGACTGCTACCACTTGAGGGTTGAGAGGTTGAGAAGCGGGAGGCACTGGCACCTACTGCTTGTCTCCTACCTCCCCACCGCTGTTGCCCAGGCTAAGGCACAGGGCAGGTGTAAGCAGCTTATGATGGTGTGAAAGAGGATTTTCTTGTGTAAAAGGCCAGGATATTCTTGCCAGTGGGTTCCTGTTGAGATGTAGATACAATGGCTCTGGATAAGGTACCCAGGAGCCCCAGGGCACTGGGCAGAGCTAGTGGTGGGACCAGAGCTCTGTTTTCATTTGGAGGCTGGGAAAGCATGTTCTGAGTCTTGATGGTGCCGTCTGACCACCAGATCAGCATACCCGAGCACTTACTCAGCAGACCCTCCGCCAGGTTCTATGGACTCCAGTTCTGGTATTGGCTCTTCAATCTGAGCAACTTGTCTGGAGTGAGGGCACTGTCCAAGATCTGCTTGATCCCCTTCATCTTCTCCTTTCTTACTGTAACCTCTGCAGTCCATGTTTGCTGCTCTGGAACCCAGGGCCTGCCTATTTGAGACACATATGTTTCTGCCCCCTCCCGGTGGACACCCAGCAAGTTTTGGGGAAGCTCCTCTGGACCCAACCCAATGCATTCAGACGTGCATTCCAATCCACATTCTAGCACAATACGACACTACTTTATCAAGCATGACTGCAGTCTGATTGGAATGACTTAACTTTTTATCCATTGATTATACCTGTATGTTCTGTTGCAATGAATTTGGCATTAAATTGCTCTAAGCTAATTCTTGCTTCTTATATAGTTCTCTGGGGTTTGTATAGAACAAAAAATAGTTAAAACAATCTGTTGAAAATGGAAAGAAAAACTGAGTTAGCTCAGTATCATTGTTTGTATGCAACCAAAATGTTTTTAATCAGCACAGACTGATGTAATTATTTTCTGTATGTAGCAAAGACTCAAAAAGTTTTTAATTGACACCAATGTAAAAGTTTTGTCTGTGTGTGAAGAAAAATTCATATATAGAGAGATAATATTTTTAAGAACCGTCCAACAAGTGAAAACCAGTTAATTGTATACAGAAAATCTCAGAACTTCTTTTCTCAGTGATACTGACTTTTTGCCACCGGGAATTCTCATTGCACAATCAACATCCTGCGTAAGAAACTCACAGCTAAGAAGACATTTGACTACAGACCGATCAAGGAGCAAACGGCAGTTTGGCAGGGCTCGTGTGCCTGTGTGCTTTTACACTTCCTCCAAACGTACCAACTTCCTCAGACACAGGGGCCTCTGCGAAGGAAGAGTGTCTCCCACATTCCCAGAGAAGGATCAACAGAATTTTTCCATCACAATGGAGGCAGAGCTGGCCATTGGGTGAGTTGTCATTTAAACAATTTTGTTTTCCCAAAAGCAACCAAATAAAACGGGGTTAGAAAAATGTTAGTGGCTGATGTAAAAGTAGTAAATGCAGATGAAGAAGAAAGGGGAATTCACAGTTTTAACTCAATGGCAGCTATAGTAGTGGCAGGCAGGATTTGCATATTTCATGTAAAATCTGCTGTGTGTCTGTCTAATATGCTGGAATGTGAATAAATGCCATTCACAAGCGGTATGACAGTGTATCATATGGTAATTACTCAGGAAAATGTAACCCTTGAAAAGGGAAAAGATAATCCTTGGTCTGATGTAAAATACATAATCATATGAATGTTGTTAATATTAACAGCCGAGTGTTTGAGAAGGGTTGCAATCAATATTTCTGTAGCAAAACTCAAGCTAAGTTTATGACTTTCTGCCTTTTTCATTTGCTTAGCAAAAGGAATGTTTTGTTAGATCATCCGTGCTTCACTTAAACAATGATGGAAGGTGCTTCTAGTGTGCACCGCATTAGTTTAGGGTTGGCTCCACCATTAAGAAATGCTGGACAGCGGGTGGGAGGAGGAGGCTGCTGGCGTGGAGTGGTGATGAGGTGTTGGAGAAGAGAGTTGTGGCTGCCACACAGGCCCACACTGTGCCGCCTTCAGTTAGGCTGCTGCTCCGAGGACACTGTTCCATTGCCAGTGGGGAAGCTGGATTCAACTATCTCAGCCTGGTTTGTGTCTCCAAACCGAAAGGAGATGGGGCGGGGGAGACATCCTTGCCTTTATTTAACCACAAAGGGTCTTTGGCTGGCTTTGCTTTAGACTGTGGAGGGGGATCAAATGGATGACTGGTCTTCCATACAAACACAGACCTGCCCCTTGTATGAAAGAGGGCTCACTTGTTGATCACCCCTGTTGGCCACCTCTCCGTTCTGGTGCCTTCCACATGTTCTGGACTAGAAGTCCTAGCTATTAACCATGCAGAAACTGATGGCAGTTGAAGTTCAAAACACCTGGAAAGCAGCTGGTTGACAAAGGCAGGTCTAAGGGTTCCTTGGACAGTTGTATGAAGGTCTCATTCTAGAGATGTTTTCACAGCGTGTGGGGAAGCCTGTGGGTCGAGCGACTGGACATATATGATGTTGAAGATCCTTGCATGGCGCTGCCCCCACTTAGAGACTGGGGTAAATGGCTTAAAAATGTGTGAATAGTCAACACAGAAGCCTTTGCATTATTGTGTTTCTGGAGTTTGGACAGCACGGTAATGAAAGCATTTTAGCCTACATACCACCTACTGTTAGATGCACAGTTTAGGGACACAGTAAACCAGAAAGATTTCAGCCTTCATCAAGTACGGCGACATTTGTTACTATGCATGTAAGAACATGAAATGAGTTCTGCCGGAGTGGGCAAGCCATCCTCTTTCCCACAGTGGTTGACCAGCAGAGCATGGTGTCCCTCTTCCACTGACATTTCTGAGAAACGGAGAAATGCTGCTTCTGAAATTACATTTCTCATCTAGCATCCAAGCATAGGGTTGTCCAGAATCGATCTACTTAAACTCCACTTCAAGCCATCTAAATTAGCAGCTATCCATGCATCTTGGAATTGTGGAAGGGAATTCCACAAAGTAATTGTCTGAAGAAGTACTTTGTTTGGTTTGCTCACTTACCTGTCAGCTTTTTGGATGGCAAACCCGTCCCACCACTGGGCTCTGATTCTGTGAGGAAGGTCAATGCTAATTTCTTTCTAATATGTTATTTTGGCTATTGTTAATGGAACAAGCTGGGAGTTCAGCATTTACCAGGACAAATGATATGTCAAGACTTTTCAGTATCTGTTTCTGCTGTTGATCTCAAATGGTATTTGCAAATACAGTTCTAAATATTCCTCACATGTCACACTGGCAAAAGAGCATTTTCAGGATGAAGACTGGAATACTTTTCAAAGGATGAGGGAAAACTTTGCTTATGTAGCTGCCGTTCTGCTCTTGTCTCTGGGGAGTGAGCATGTGGGGATCTTGTGCATCATGCGCACAGCCAGTCATCAGTACTCGGCACATCTTGGTTCCCTTCTGGGTCATCTGTACTGTTGAGGGTGTGAGCAGGTGTGAGCAGGATGTCTGGCATAGGAAATGCTGACACACCATTTGATCGAGTGTGTCTTGTAAGCCTGTGCTGAGCACAAGGGTGTTCTGGGCCATCTGAACCCAACCAGTGGGATTATGTGAGGGCTAAACAACCCTCAGTTTGTTGCAGAGTTGCAAAACCTGGGATGGCCAGGTTTGGACAACTCGCCACCTCCCTAAGGTAGGGTTTGAGCTCAGGCCTCCTCAGGCCCAGCTGAACACTCTAATCACGCTTCCATCGTGATCCCTTGTAACTTCAATGTTGCTGTTGACACACATTCGCTCTTCCTGTACTGCGAAAAGATCATTGTGAAATATGCCAAACTAGGAAGAAACAAGATCATAGCCTCCCCCACTCCCAATCTGCTGCCTGATTGTAACAGTGCAGGAGGCTGCTTGCTCATCTGCTGGATGCGTGCGGGCTCACGTGGGGTGTGAATCACACATTCAGAGCCTACAAACATTGGCATGTGTACTCACATGCCCCTGTGCAGAAATTGGGCCCGATAGGAAAATTCCACACCCTGCTCAGCTTGACCGTTTGCACATGCTAAGGAAATGAGCTACGGCATTCAATACAAAGAGCAGTTGTGGTTTTTTACAGTGGAAAAACCCACGCCTCCTTATCTGTGCATTTGAGGCAGAACTGGTCCCGTTCCGTTCCAGCAGTCACAAGGCAGGAATATCCTAAAGCACTTGGTCAGAATGTCTGAATCCGTGCTGACTGCCCCACCTTTTGGCCTAAGAGAACAGCAAGAGGTCACATTTTTTAAGCATAAATTCTGCCCCCCCACCAAAAGCAGTTCCATGACATTCTTTGTCTGCCTTCTTTCAATCAGAGAGGAAAGCTGCGAGAGCAACGAAATGGATCTTCTCCACGCCCCACCAGCAGTTGCAGAAGGTATGACATCATCCTGTGAACCAGCCTCAGGGTGAGATAAGACCTGCAAACCATTTTCAAGCAAAGTGAACCAGAGGGCCTGAGAATTCACCTTCCTCTGGTGGCTCGCCCTTGCATTATCTCCTTGTTCCAGACAGATGAAGAAAGGGGGTGAGGGAAGCAATGTGGCTGTTTTGTGTCTGTACACACTGATTTCAGCAGGAAAAAATAGGACCTGGAATGAAATTTTCATAGGGCATAATTGACCATGATCGGCTTCTGGTGCTCGCTTAAGTATAGCTCATTTCAAGTTTACTAAACTCTTCTGGGTGAAGGAAGGGTGGGATTAAAAAAAGAATAAAATATATTTATTTTAATATTGATATATCTCCCAACCATAGGATATAGCTCAGGCCAGTTACAAAAAGAGAAGTGAAGTTAATAATCTTAATAGAGTGGTACCTCGGCTCACGAATGCCTCAGTTCACGACCAAATAGGATCGTGAACAGAAATTTCATAAAAATTTTGCTGCTGGTTGTGAACTCTGCATTAGGTGACAATCACCATCCTGCCTGCCTTCCCTGCACTGGTGTGGAATCGCGTCGTGCTGTGGGGGGGGGTGCAGGGGAGATGGCCACGATCGTGCTGGGGGGGGGGGAGATGGCCACAATTGCACCTGTGCTCCCTGCCCGAGTGCACCTGTGCACACACCTGCCTGCCCCCCAGCGCACCCACAATCGCGCCAGTCTCCTCCCCCGCAGCGCACCCACAATTGCACCCATCTCCCCCCCACACACGATCACTTGTGGGGGGGAGATGGCTGTGATCTTTAGTGTTCTTTGTCACTTTGCTTCACATTTTTCTGATTAAAAAAAAGTCACAGAATGGATTAACCTTATTTACATTGAACCTTATGGGGAAACTTGACTTGGGTCATGACCAATTTGGGTCATGGCTGGAGTCCTGGAACGGATTAAGTTTGTGAGCCAAGGTACCACTGTAGTGTTTCAATAGAAATGCTCCTGAAGGTGGAATTTGATGGCCTCCCCTGCCGTCATCTGGAGTCTTTGGTTTCCAGAGTTCGCAATCCACATCAGCTGTCTCCCTCAAGGCTGCCAATAAGCCTGGAGTTGAGAACAGGGAGCATACTGGGGCGTGAGGAGGAGGAGGAGAGGATGACATCACTGCCCTTTCCCCCTTGGTCCTTTGTCTAGATAAGCTAAAATGTCCATCTGGATAAAAATTGGCAGCAGAGATTCATTTGGGGTGTCAAGCAACATTGGCTTCCATATGGCCTGAAGTGCCTTGTCCTTCCTAATCTCAGAAGCTAAGCAGGGTCAGGCCTGGTTAATATTTGGATGGGAAATCTGAGTCCTGCATTGAGCAGGGGATGGACCCAATGCTGCTTCCAACTATACGATTCTATTGCATGAATAGACACACCTGGGGGTTTATAATTGAAAAAAAAACATTTACAGTTTATTCAGACATACAGGAAATACATGCAACTTGTAGGTAATCCCTGGAGGGACTACCAAAATGGAAACTGATAGGATATTTTTATAACCTATTACTTTGGAGGAAGGTGGGAGATCACATAGACAGCTTACTGGAGGCACATGAAAATAAAACAAAAGAGCTGAATTGATAGACACATAACATAAAAAGAACAACTTTCAGGACAGGCAAACATTAGTACATCTAAGGGTGTATCTGAGCAGCAAGACCTGCAACATGGTTACCTGATCAGACCAGGATTACAGCTTAAGCCTAAAGCTGTTCTTACAATGTCAGACTTTCAGCAGCCATTTTTTGGCAGAGCTTTTTGTCTCGAGTGATGCATGTTAGCCTCTAAGCTGGTGCACTGAGGGTGTGGGAGATACTCACTTTGAAGTCTTACTTTGCTGTGGTATAGCAGTGGCATGAACATAAATGCGATCCCTTTTCTCTTTCCAAAATAACCAGTAGTTTTTCAAGTTGTTGTTGTTTATAAGAAAAAGGAAAAAATATCTCCAAACGTGATATGGCTTTAATGGGTGATCCATGTGCAGGTTGACTGACATTTGTCTTCTTCCATGGGGCAGGGAGGAGAAGTGAAGTCCAGTAGTGCTTTAGTTACTCCTTCTCACAAGTGGGAGGAAAACATTTAAATGGCTGAAGTCAGCTGTCAATATGTTTTGAGGACCGGGGAGCACAGAGACAATCCTAACTTTCTCACTCCTCCACTGGGTGTCAGTAATCACCTGAGTTCAGAGGGATTCAGGTGGGTGGCCACACTGGATGACACTCGAGGTGTTTTTCAGGGCAGAAGTATTTGCCCCTGTGCTCCTTGCACACCTGTAATCTTCAGAGTTCGGATGGGTCTAGACATCTGCATTGGTCTGTGCCCATAACTCCTCTTTATTTACCAGACTGAAGGCTGGAAAAATACTCATTTGGGCCCTTAGAAACTGAAATTTACTTGCTGTAATACATCAGTCTCATCAATGGTATTCTGGCTCTTCCCAGACCAGTGTGTTCTCCATTAATAATGGCATGTTAATAATTGCAGAATTTCAGCTTTCAATTAAAAGGCACAACCAGGAGACTGATGGACCTAATGTACTCTGGGTGAGAAGAACTGCCCTTTTAAAAGACTGGTTCTAAACTGCTGAATGATCATCTCAAAAGGAAAATGGAATGCACTCCCCAGAGATGTCTGCCTGGCACCGTCGTTATTTGCTTTTCGGTGCCAGGCTAAGACCTTTTTATTCAAACAATATTTTAACAATTCTTAGTATTATTTATAGGTTTTTAATTTGCAGCCAGGGTAAATCTGAATTTTATGTGCACTTTTTGTACTGTGTTTATTTATTGTGTGTAAGCTGTCCCGAGGCTCATGCAAATGGGACGGCATACAAAAATTCTGAATAAATAAATAAATAAAATAACAGATGGTCATATTTGTATGAATAATTTTGCAAAATTGGAGTTTACCAGTTTAGGGCTAACAAACACCTTAGGAAAAATTACATCTTCTCCAAAGTACCTCCCTAACTATTGTGCTAATATCAAATATTCCAGTGCTGGAAATAACACTCAGTGTTTCTGTGTCCTTGAGTTATCTCCAAAGAGGTTTGATAAAATAGAGACCCTTGAAAAGTCTCAGAAAACCACGGATTCCTCTGCTATCGGAACCAAGCCAAAGATTTTCAGTAGGAGTCCCAGTCTCCTAAAGAGAAATAAAAACTTCAAAATGACATTCTCAACAATTTGTCAAGTGTTTGCTGAAGGCGGTAGAGCTAAACTGATTAGGTGCAACCAGTCTATGTGGTGTGGATGAGGAACAGAGGAGTCCGTGTAAAGTTGTGCATAGGGTCCTCTTGATCAAGGCAATGCAGTGTGTAACTGTGCACGCCAAATTGTTCTTCAGAAAGTTCCACCAGTGCATGCAAGCTCTGCACCTTACAGAGCTGTTAAAGGGTAGCAGGCTGTAATATTTACATATCCTCCAACCCTACAAATGCTAGGGTGCTCTGGCCATAGCAAACAATGAGCCCACTGTTCCATTCTGGTTTACTACATTAGACTCCTCTGGAAATGAGAGTCTTTGAGGAAACTTCCATACACAGACAAGAGTACTGGAGAAGCAGCTGCTGCATAGCAGGCATGCCAAGTATGTGAGAGGGAAGATTAATCCAAACATCTTATTTTCTTTATGAATTGTTTAGAGCTATATTTGGCTGGGACACCGAGTGCAGCAAAACTAGATTTTCCTTCTTCTGGGATGTTGGTGCCAAGTTATTCTCATAAAAGAGAAGACACAGAGCGCAGAGCATTTTAGGGGGAATGAAAATGCAAAAAAACTAAAAAGGGAAAGCAAAGCCGCAAGAGGGCTGGGGATGTTCATGGCACTTCTAGTAACAGCATTCAGTGCATAGTCCAAAAAAGAGAAGGAATGTTCTGCTTGCGACTGGGTGGGCGAACTCTAGCATTTCAAGCTCAGAATGAAAAGGAATGACATCCACCCCATGATGTGATGAGGAGATTCAGTAAGTATCTGATTGTGTTGCATGCCCACTTCTCTTATGAACTTTTTCTGTTTCACACACTCCTGGAAACATCTGGGCAAAGCTGTGGCTTACCTATTTCTCTTTTTTATCTAATATCAAGAAAGCTGCTGAGATTCTGAATTGGGAGCCAGTAATGGCTGGACGAGAAGGGCTAATAAAGTGAGATTTAATCCAATGAAGGAAGTTTCCTAGCTGGGGAAGAGTTTAAGTTCAGGTTCAAGCTTTTCTGAATGGGGAAGTATACTCTTGAAGAAACAGACTTGCTGTCCGGGAGCTCCTGGACTTGGCTTTGTGGCTGTGATTAAGAGTGCCTTTGTGCAGCCGAGCTGGATCAGAGGTGCCCATTTCTGAGAAGGTCTGATCAGACTGCAGTGACAGATACTTTTAACTGCATATCTACAACTGTGTTGAATTGCTGCCATGCCCTCCACATGGGTTACCTTTGAAGAGCATTTGGAAATTTCAGCTGCTCCGGAATATTGTGGCGAAGACCCTGCAGGGGCCTCCCACTCTTGTACTTTCTAGGCACAAATTGCAATGCTTGCGCTTAACTTTGAAGCCCTGCGGGACTTGAGGCCAAGATATTTGAGGGGCTGTTTCCTCCCTCATCAGCCTGCTGGTCGGGAAGATCCCATGAGGAGGCCCTTTGGTGGCTCCACACATGGCAGAAGCCAGTCCTCAAGGCAAGGCATTCTCAGTGGCTGTGTCAGTATGAGGAAATCACTTCCCATGAGGGTTCAAAGGCTTCCCCTCGGTGACTTTCCTCTTGTGACTCTTCTGTTTTGGCATGTTTTAAGCAGGCTGGGTTGAATTAGCTTTTACTGGAAGGTTGTGTTTAACCTGCTAGACCTGCTTTTATTATTTCCGTTCGGGTTTTCATTTTTTGCTATTGTGATTTTCAATATTGTAAGAAAACTCAGAAAGCTATGGTATACATCCTTATATAAATAAATATCATTACATTGTGTGTGTGACTATGTCTTTGACGGAGGGAGGGAAGGGAAGGCTGCCATGCAGGCAGGCAGAAATTTACAAAGCTAAAGATAATTAGAATTGATGTTTTGTAATGGCTGGAATGGAATAATGTCCATTTCAGATGTTGATTTTCAGATTAGGAAGTTGCTCAAATGTTAACCTATAATGTGTGCTATTTTCTAGAACTTAATGATGCCAGGACTTGTCTTTATAGTAAAAAAACAATTTCTGACTTACTTTTAACTGGAAATCTACAGGTTCCACACTAGGTGGTTCACAGTTGAATCTACTCTGCCTATGCACAAAGACACTTTTGCATATCATTGTCACAAATTACCAGGGCTCAACCCTACTGTTGCAAACAACAACAACCTCCCACAGATCTGTGGAGAGGCCTGGTTTACAGGAAACACTGAAATATTGCATCAAGTTGAAGCAAGCAAGCAGTAGGTTAAATTGTATGTCATCCTTTCCCATTATCTTTTAGGGAATATCTGTCTACCTGAAGTGATCATTCTTCACTTATGATTTTAATAACTGTCTTATAGTTATAGTTTAATAACTGTTTTAGGATGCACTCTTTCTGTACTTGGGAATAAGAACTATGGAACTCAGTGGAAAATGCTTCTCTATAGACATGAATAGGATGACAATGCTGGAATAAATTCCATAGTCAGGACCAGTCAGGTCTACTGTTATCTGGAAATAGTATTAAAGAGGATTGTGGACTTTCCCAAGAACTGAGCAAAGTCTGATAAGCTAGCTGGCAAACCGTTTTTATTAAACTTTGAATATGCAAAGTATTTTAAACTTTTAATTGGAATTTCTCCTCCCTAAACTCTTTTGCCCTCACAAGAAATTCATGAAGTTAGCTAATTATTCTTTTCCATTTTGCAGATAGGGAATTCACAGCTAAAAGGGGTTTTCTTGTGAGTTTTTGATAACCCAGTTTCCAGATCTGTCTGCAGTACACCAAGTTCTGGAGTATATTGGATGTCTGACTCACACAAAGAGATACGGAGCTGTAGAAAGGAAGCTGCACGTTAGACCCTTGTTTGCATGCACAGGGGTCATGCCCTGTTATCCAGACAGTCGCGCGCACGTGCACACACACACACACACACAGAATATCTGATTGGGGCAGGGTCCCCCCCCTCCCCCTGATGTGGAGGAACTCTGTGCCTGGCAGAAACCCTACACAAACTGTCAAAAGGTGCCTAGGGCTGGAAGGTGGCTGTTGCGTGCTGTGGGGTTGTCCATAGCCCTGTGCTACATACATTATTTTTCCGCATGAGGCTGTCATCTGAAGGTCCCTAATGTCAGGTGGTCTCAGGTTATATACAAATGGATTTTTGTATTACACAAGATGCTGTCACTTTAACACAGGATCTCTGCATTAGGAAAACTCATTCCACTACATCCATTATATAGGCCTTCTCCACCTGAGGGTTTTATCCCAGCACTGGAACAAAATGCCTTCCGTATTATACGCGGGTTCTTTATGCATCATTTACTCTCTTCCGCATCACGCCGCAAAGTGCTTTGAACCTTTCACGTGTGCATCACGTTTCTATGGTGCATCACTGGAGAAGCGCAACAGAACCTGACCCCGGCAGGAAAGTCCGAGTTCGCGATGCCCTCCCGGTGAAGAGCCCGCGGCCGTGGCTGGGCCGAGGAGAGCTGCCGAGCACGGGCCGGGAGCCCAGCGGGGGCCCCTTTCGGCCTGTGCGTGCCTGTGTTGCGCGGGGGGTCTGCGGTGCTTCCGCGGAGGAGGGCGAAAGAGGGACGCTAGTGGGCAGCTCTCAAATAAAGGCAATGCATAAAGTCAAGCCAGTAAATCGATAAACGGCTTCCCTCACTCCTTCCCCGATCCTTTCCCACACGTGTGTGTTTGGGAGGAGATGCACCTTACGTAGGATTGCTGTGGCGATGTTTTAATATTGTACCGTTTCCCAGCTGGGAGTTCTATCCAGCTGCACCTTTATTAGTTGGAAATATTTGGACTGGCTCATCAGCTGCGGCTAACATGCCCTCCACCCATCTAAAAGCGAGCGAGTACAGCCACCTCCTCTGCAGACTTTTCCCATTAGAGATATTCTGGTTCTCTTCAGAGTAGTCACGCTGTTCAGCTAGTTGCTTCTTGAGGACAAATAAGACACTCAGGAAGGCGTAACTCCCCCCCCCCCCGCGAACTGTATATTTTCAGAAGGGAGAGGGCGGGCTATTTTGTCATTTATTTATTTAATTTCTATAGAGTCCCGTACTTAAGAAGGCTCTTGAGAAGAGACAGCAGGCCATTGCAAGACGGGGTGCGTGAATTCGTGTGTGTGTGACAGAGACCGAGAAGCCATGATGAGGTGGCGGGGGAGCGAAGGGGCAGGAAAGCGGGAGAGTCCTCCAGCGGCCCGAGCTCCTTGCATGCCATTTGCCCTTCCTCCCGCCCGTCTCCCTCCGAGCCCCGTTCGCCCCCACGTCGAGCAGACCGAGGATTTCCGGTTGCCCGCAAGAGCTGTTTGGCGCTGCAGTGGGGGTGGCCGTGCAAAAAAGAGCAGGGAGCAGAGGGAAAGGAAAGGGCCGCGGCAACCGCATGGAGCCGCAGCGGGAGACCGGCTCAGCGCCGGATGTGCGAAGCGAGGCTGTGCCTCTTCGCCGCCGACCTCACAACCGCCCCCGTCCTCTGTCCCTAAAGATAGCAGGCGACACAGCTGTGAGGGAAGAACAGCAGAGTGTAGGGGCGAGCTCAGAGTTCATTATTCGTCACAGAAAAACAACACCGCATTTTCAGGGAAAAGGGGTGGAGGCGACTGAAAAGGATGGGGCAACCATGGGAGGATGACAGGAAAGGCCCTGCAAGCTTCTCTGAGATCACATGAAGGGAAGCCACCAGACTGGCGCTTAGGAAGGCCGAGCAGCTCGGTTTTTTTTCAACTGATCGCTTCAGCGACCCTTTTCTGTGTTGTAGATGCATCTACTGATTCGCCTCCCTTTGAAGGCGCCTCTGCACCTCCATATGAGCCGATGGAAAACGAATCTATAGAAGAGAGCAGCACAGGAGATTCTGGTAATCTGTCCCTCCCTCTCTCCCTCCTACTTTTACATTCACACGTGTTGTTGGTTATTAATTTTTGCAAAGATCATGCAATACCATCAGTTAAAGTCTGCCTGTATAAATTGAAATTTGTCATTTGTTAGTTGGAACTTTCTCCCAACGTTTCAGCTGGAAAGGGGGCAGACAATGGCAACTACAGTTATTAAAGGCTCCGGGTACATAATAATAACAAAAAATAAGAAAAATTGCAGAGAAAAAAAGTAGTTTTCCATTTTCTCTCTCTTCTTGAATATTTCACCTGGGAAGATTTCCAGGCATTCTGCACTTTAAGCACTCACTGAAATACACAGAAACATTGGACATTTCACCTTTGCCATTTCCTAAGCTGTAATTTGTTGTAAGCTGCCCCGAGGCTTCGGCGAATGGGGCGGCATAAAAATGTTTTAATAAATAAATAAATAAATAAATAATAGCGAAGAGGTAGATTGTGAGATAATTTTCAGCTTTCCTTTTGTGGAAGGGAAAAAGCAACAGCAACAACAAAAACCTTTCTTAGTGTTTGTAGGATGGAAGGGAAATTGAAGTCATATTTAAAGGTGCTTTTGTTTTAACATATGAGAATTGCTGTAATAATGAAAATATATACTGAAATGAGGGCTTCTACGCAAACAGATTTCAAGGGAAATTTCTTGCATAAATTGTTCTCATTTCTGTTGTATGGTGACTCTAAAATGGATGTGGCAGGGTTTGCATGACACTACAAACTGGTATGGGTTGCCACTGACAGTGGGTTGTTGGGTCATGTGAGCCTGGGCCTATTCCTGCAGAATGGTATGTCTGAGGCCCAGGGGCTGTTGTATCCATTATGGAGTGTCATGTAGTCCAGCCCCAGGCAATGAATCCCATCATGGATACTGAGATGTGACTGCTGACTTGGTTGGCAAAAGAAACAAATGCTTTCTGCTCTTGGCAAGGGTGGGTCAGTGCTCACCTCGCCACAAATGGCTCACACTCCAGGACAGCTGGCTCTCATTTCTGGCACAATCACAAACTGTTTCAGACTCCCCAGAGGCTTTTTTCAATTTGTGATGGCTTTTGATCCCGCTTTTGTGATCCCTCTTTTCTCAGCCACAGACAGTACCTTCAAGTTCCCCACTAGCATCTTGAAGGAACTGCCTGTAATTGTCAAGCTTCCCCCCTGCAGTTTTCCCAAATATTTTAAATTTGATTTTGTGATTTTAATTCTTTTTACTCAAACTTGTGCAACTGTGGGTGCTTGCAGTTGGGAATGGGAGTCTTGGATGCAGGGAGAGTGCCTGCTGGCAAATTCACCAGGTTCTCACTCTGAGCACTGTAAGCTTATTTTCCTCTTTGGTTCTATTTGACAGCTGCCAAAAGATGAGTGACTTTAGTTCATGAAAATGGGGTGGTGGTGGGTTCACCACCTCATGGCAAGATCCTCATATGGGGTCACTGCATCTGTAGGAGCCCTGGATCCACTTTACTCCAGCTCTTCCTCCTAGCAATTCATGCGTCAGAAACATGCATATTCATCATACCCTAAATATTAGCTGGTTGCAGTCCAACTTTTCAGATCTAGCTTGCTGGCCTAAGAGCCTTGGAGGCCAGTGCTGGGTATTCTGTCCAGTCTGATGACAATAAAACAAGACTGGTCAGTTTGCTTCAAACAGGGCTTTCTGTTTGCTGCTCAGGCATTATGTGCCAGAAAACCACAGTAGCTTTGGTTGAGAGAAGGGGGAGAGGTAGATGGTCCAAAAGCCTGGTGATCCTCCCACTATTATAACTCGCTATAATTCAGCTGCCGTACATTCCCTGCCTCATGATCCTGAGACTGGAGTGTCCTCCTTTTTATTGCTCTCTGATCCTTTTACCAGAGTTCCCAAATACAGGACTAGAGTCACAGCCATACTGTGCTGTTAATGGCATAGATGCTCCCCATACACAGATATTTCCCTCATTACTGAAGAGTCTGCAGCAGCCTTGGCTCATTTCTCCTGTCTTTGGAACAATTGGGGCGGGGGGGGGGGGGATAAAAAAATAAAAAAGGGAAAATTGCTAGTGGCTGCTTCTATCCTGTCTCTTCTTGCCTTGCAGTAAAAGAACCCTTGACTGGCTCATCTGAGCAGTTGTCCGAGGAAGAAAATGAGGAGACCCCTCCAGATCAAAGGAACTGGAAGTAAGCCAGCTCTTTATTAACTGCTGACAGGACAACCTTATTAGTGAAGGTGATAGTTAGAAGCACTGAATAAAATCCCAACCTAACTAACATCCAATGGCAAGCATTTCTTTCTCATATGTGTTCAACCAGAAATAGGTTGTCTTGGTTCATTTTTTCCAACAAAGGGAAACAAATACTACATAACATGCAGTCATTCAATAAGTTTAGTTATTTCTGTCACAGAAAAATTCAGAATTCCGGAATCCAAAACATTCAGAGCTAGTTGTGTCACTTCCGTTTTTCACCTTTGTAGCCAACTTTGGAAGTAAATAAGTAGGAAAGTAGGCATTTGTTGTTGCTACATGCAATCAAGTCATCTCTGACTTATAGAAACTATAAGAGTATAAGCCCTCCAAATGTCTTGACCTTAACAGCCCTGCTCAGCTCTCAAAGCTGTGGCTTCCTTTATGGAATCGATCCATCTCATAGTTGTTCCTGGTAAAATAGTAGATTTATGCTGGCTTTCCTCCAGGAAATCATAGTCTTCATCTTAAGGCTCTTTATTCTAAGCTAACTCCCATTCTTGACTAGTAAGCTTAATTATGTGCTACCGCATTTTCCGCTGGGCAAAATGAATTAGCCCTAGCAATCTCCTAGGGTGCAATTCTATCAAGTGTGTTCTCAGTGACTGGAAGCTCTGAAACTCTGAGACTTCCAGTCATCATCCAGTGTGGGACAGGAACTGTGGAGGTGATTTTTGCCTCCTTATCCTCCTGCCTTGCATTTTATATTGGATGGGCCTTTTTGTCTGGCTAGTTGGGGAACTTCCAGGGGAGAGGAGAAGGGTGGAGAAGGCTCAGGGTACCTTGCATGCTGGCCTTCAAATCTCCTCCCCTGCCAGCACTCCAAATGCCCCTTTCTCATCATTTCTGGGTTGCTTTTCTGACCTAATACATTCATAGAATAGTCAGGCCAGAAGGGGCCAAGAAGGGCATTGGGTCTAATCCCCTGCTGGTCCAGGATGCCAGTCACATTATCTCACTCAGATGACTGTCCAGTGTTGCCTTATTTAGTTATTAATCATTTATCAATTCAATTTATATGCAACCCTATTAGCCGTAAGGCTCTCTGGGTAGCTTATAACATAAATGTCTTGCATGTGGAAGAGCACACAACATTTCTTGGCAACTCATTCCACTGTCATACTGCTCTGACAGTTAGGATTTTTTTCCTGGTGTCCTCCCTGCACACTTGAGAGCAGCCAGCTTGGTCTTTTTTGCACCAGTAACAATGGGATTGGAGAAGGGGGTCATTTCTCCAACTCTCTTACAAGCTTGAAGTACTGTCTTTGATCTTGGAAGGGGAAATCAGAGCAGTCTCCCGGCCCCTCAGATAATATTTAGGGGCCATTTTCTTGGCTCTTTAAATTCTTGACCTGGTATAACTATCCATTTCTTACACAGAATGCTCTTCCATGTAAAAGCAAGCATAAAATGCATGTGAACAAAAGATATCTATGCTAGTGTTTCCATGAGCTGATGACTCATAATTACTTGAGACCTCTCATGATTTATTGTGTGGATGGACAGAAGTAGATTGGGATACTCTAGTTAATTGGTGGGTGATTTGAAGTAGATCAGCAAGGTTTTTCTAACTCCCGCTTTTCTTACTAATGGAAACAACAAGCCGACTCCCTCTTCCTACATTATTGGAACTGAAATGAAGAAAACTGAGAGGGGCAGTGGTAACCAGGAATGCATTCTTGTGTGTGGATGAACTGTGAGCTCAGTTAATTTCTGGTGCTAAAAACTTATATTTTAATTCTAGTATGTCCTATGCACCAGGCTCCAACTGGTGGATCTCAGGGCTCTGATAAAAGCAGGAGATGTAGAGCTTCCCTGGTATTTTATGGTGGTATCTTATGGTAATATTATATCCTTAGCTACCTTATAAGTCAGGATTAGGATGATTAACAGGTAGGACTGAAAATACTTTATCAATATAGATCAAGCAACACTTAATAGAATGTCAGATCTCAGATTGCCATGTGCAGTGAGGCCATGGGTCCAGCTAGCTCAGTAGTGCCTACACTGAGATAGTAAGAACAGTTAAAATAACAGCAGCAGTCAAAACACAATGAACAAAAACAGAAGCAACACTTGAAATGCAGTAAGGACTGGAGGGAGAGAACCATGTTCTCACCTTCTTTCTAAGGCTTCTTAGGAACAGGCCTAGTAAATGGGTAGCAGAACTGTGGCTAGGGATATGCAACATAAGAAATCCATTTCATCTGAACCCAAAGGACTTCTGCAGAGTTTGAGAAACTGTGCCGGATTTTTTTCAGGCTCACATTGCACACATTAAGAACTAAAGTCTGCAGGCTTGTAATGTCCTTTGCACAAATTAGTGATTTGTGTAAATTGCACAAATGGGGTCTGATTTATATTTGTATACATGGGTTTGCACTGTTTTTAATGTGTTATTGCATTCAGGAATCCATTAGATAGGCGTAAATACAACATACTCCCTTGGTAAATAGTCTTGTTCATTTCATTATCATTAGCTTGCCATATTCCCTACCTCATAAAGAACTTGTCATTGTCAAATCTGTCTAGTTTGAAACTGGAACTAGAAAACAAAGGTTTTCTGCTAGCAGTACATGATTTGCATAGATCAAATTTATTATTATTTTCAGTTATTATGTTTCAATTCCCATGACTGTACAAACTGGGTAATGAATTTTTGCTGTCTTTCACCTCCCCTCATTATTCCACAAATATTCCACCTGTACTATTGAATTTTTTTGTTTTGGAAATGGGTCATAATTTGCATGATTTTTTGGGTATATTTCCTTAGTTTTTTTAAATAGACTTGCACAAATTGTGGTCCTTTTAAAAAATGGAAATCTGAATGCTGCATGCTGGCTCAGATTAAGTGGGGTGAAGGAAAGCAATCTGGAGCTGGGAAAAAAATCTGTCAGAATTTCATCACTTTAATGTATTCTTTTGCATATTCCAAATGCTGACCTTGCATACAAAGTATCCTAGGTTTAATCCTTGGCATGTTCTCCAAGTAGGACCAGGAAAGCGCCCTTTGCTGGGAATTATAAAAAGTCACTGCCAGTCAGTGTAGACACTACTTAACTAGCTGGACCAATGGTATCATTTAGTATAAGGCAGCAGTAAAAGATTCAGAGGTCATTGAAAAGGGGCTGTGCCTTGCTATGCATCCACCTTACTTACTTTAGAAGGTGAGACTCTACTAAATAGTGTCTCCTAAAACGACTTTAGCAGTCAGCATGTTTGGAGCAGGGAGCCTTTCAGACACCTTGGCCTTAAGTCATTCAGGCCTTTATTGGTAAAGATCAGGACTTATGTGTGCAAGCAGAAACATCGTGAGCACAGGTGTCATTCTTTCAAAGCAGGCCAGGTGTCATCCCTAAGCAGGTAGTGAGCAGCCTGGTCTATGTGCAGGTTTTATGCCTTTTCCCCCATGAAGGGAATAATGCACTGTGGAAAAGCAGCCCTCATAGCCTTCCGGATTTAATTATAAATAGGATGTTTAAAGGCTCTGAATATCAGGAGTCTCACATGAAGCATTTGTTGCAATTACTAATGAGGTATGTTTCTGTTTCCTTTCTCAGCATCCCCTCTGTTTCGGAGGATGATGTTAAAAAAGCCTTTCGACGCTACGCTGCCAGCAAGTGCTGTTATAGGATCGCCCCAGCCAAGCACATGAATGTCCAGAGTATCACTCCTCTCAACATATACAGAGTACGTACCTCAGCTAGAAATAGGGGGGTCGAGACATCTGTCCTGGAATTAATTTCATCATCTGGGAACAATCCGCAGGTGCTCCATAGAGTGCCATGGAAGTGGTTTCACGGTCTGCTGCTTATTTCCTAAATGAGAGATGGAAGGGCTCTGCTTTGCTTGGAGGATGGACTCGCATCAAGGCGGAGGGGGAGCCTGGGCTAGGGCACAGAACCCCTGCTTTGCTTGCAGAAATTTCCAGATTCAATCCTGGGCATTGCTTGTAGACACAGATCAGGTAGCGGACAATGGTAAGGATGCCTGTGGCTGAGAACCTGTAAAGCAAATGCCAGCAGGGATACCTGAAGCATTCAAGCACGGCAAATCCCTGTATGGCAGGATCTAATCAGGAGCTCCTGCAGGTACATTAGGACATGATTCCACACTTCTGCAAAGGTGATGCTGCAACTCTTTGCAGTGTAAATGCGTTGAAATGCACATTGAAATACATATTTTGAGCAAAAATCTATCTTCTAAGAGAAAAATGCTGACATTTAAATAAGGACTTGGAAGAAAAACGAATATTTAAATACAAATTTTGAGATGAAGGTACTTTAATTGGTGAATTGATACAGAAATGGAACAGAGCAGCAGTATGAGTAAAGACATGTAAAAGTGAGAGCTGGTGTGGTGTGCCATTAAGAGTGTGGAACTGGGACTCAGGCGGCCTGGGTTCTTGTCCCCACTCAGCCAAGGAGCTCACTGGGTAGCAGCTTTTAGCTCAGCCTGCCTTACAGAAATGTTGTTATGGGGATAAGATTGAGGAGAGGAGGAGATACCTGTAAGCCACCTTGAGTTCCTTAAATGAAAAAAGCAGGATATAAATAAATATATCCAGGATCAGATAATTGCATCCATTCTTGAGGGAAAGTTGGAGTAGATGATATGGGACTAGGTCAATAAATAGTACTCTCAGGTTTTGCAAAGTTCACTTGCAAGTTTTGTGAATTATTACATATGGTGCAGGGCTCAGACCTGGTGCTGGAAACAGCTTTGATCTGTGAGCAGTTACACAATTTAAGTCCTGAGAAACTACCCTTCTCAGGTCCATTATCTTCCTGGGTTTGCTGACATCCTTTTCTTTGTCAAAATAGAAATAGTGTTATGAATTTGGTTATCTCGGTTATTGTAACTGGGTCCATAACCAGAAAACTAATGGTAGTCAGGGCCTTAACAAAATAACAAAATTAATATTCCTTCATGGCTGGAAATCTCTGTTCCTGACTTTGGAATGTGATGCATTCAGCTTCTGGAAGAGATAGAAATCGTGTGTAGCAAGATGAATGCGGTGGGAAAGGAAATTTGAGATATTTTCAAAGGTATAGGCTGGACTAAAAGGCAACTTGAAAGCTGAACTTTCCCCTTATTCCAGTTTGTAGACCCCGTACCAGTGCTGACTTGCTGTGGTACAAGTGGTATCAACTCAAATTCTCTCTAAGATGAACTGAAAAGTGTACATTATTTCTGCAAATAAGCACTTGAAAACCACATGACTCTATCATGATTTATGCAGCATCAGACAATTTGTGCTAATTCTATTTTTACACAAATCATAATTTGTTCACATTAGCCAACTCTGCATAAATCATACCACAGCCATGTAGTTTTTGAGTGCCTATTAGTGCTAATTTCAGTAATGCAAAATTTATTAATTTCAATAATTATGGTCTATCTTAGAGACAGAAGTCTGTGACCCCCCTCCTCCACCCCAGAATTGGCCAAATTCTGATAATCAGATTGGAAGCAGCCATGAAATCCATTAAGCTCACATTCCTTGGTCTTGACACTGTGTTTTTCCCTATGAATCTAATGCTAGATTAGTGGTTTTGCTTTAAGAGCTTATTGGCTTCTAGTTGTCTGTTTCTATTTTTTTTTTTTTTAATATGAGCACGATATAAGCCTCCAGTGCATGTCCCCTCTTTCGTATGGGACACATTCTTTCTCTTTTTCTCATACACACAGACATAAAGTCAGCAGTGCTATTCTTGGATTTTGTTTTCTGCTGAGGGAAAGAGGTTATAATTGATGGTGTCCTGGTTTTAGGCTGCTTGTAGTGCTGTAGCTGAATAGGTTCACTAAAAAGGGAGAAGGCATGGAGCTAGAAGCCAAGATCAACCACTGTGGCAAGATTTCTCCCTCCCACACCATTGGTACACAACTGAGAAGTGCAGGGGCACTTTTCCTAGTCATGTAGCAGTGAAGGAAACTAATATAAAATTCTTATGAATGGTCCAGAAATTATTCAGCAATACTGAAAGGTAATAAATAAATAATCTGTAGTAGCCCAGCACCTGTCTGTGGCTGCTTCACATTACAAGCTTTACAGCTGAGTTTTGCAACATTCCAGGGCAAAGTTTGGGGCTTTGCTTTTCTGAGTTCTGGCTCCAGTTAAAACTTGGATCCACACAGTCCTGAAGTTGAGAAGGGCGGCTGTGAAGACCACCCCTCCACATTGCAGGAGTGGCTGGTTTTGTTCATAGGATCACTGCTGCTTTGTGTCACCTTCTTTTATGATTTTTAAAAACGTATCTGTTGTTTTCTGTTTTCAGTATCGCCTGGAGACTTTCACTGAAATGAGAGAGACATTCTTGGTCAGTGGGGTTTATAATGGTGAGTTGCAGATGAGCAAGAAGAAAGCTGGATCAAGCCTTCTTATCTCAGAGGGGCTACCTTCTGGCACCCTTCCAGCAACCAAGCAATGTGTACTTTAAAGGGTGCACGTCAGTCAGGTTGCCCATAATCATCCAGATGCACCCATGTGGCCGCCCAAGCCCTCTGCACTCCTTTTGTCCCGGAAAGCAGCCGGGCGGCAGATTCTGGCTATCTGACTGCTGTGCTTTAGTGGGTAAGGGAAAGTGGCCAAGGTGCTAGCAGCATGTGACTAAGCTGATTTGGGGGTGGGACTCTCTTGGATTTATTTATTTATTTATTTAGAATGTTTATATGCCGTCCTTTCGCAGAGCCTCAGGACGGCTTACATAAATAAATAAAAAGAGTAGTATAAAACATAATGCAAATATTACTGTATTTTCTTAGCTTGGCTTGCCAGACCCCAGCCCACTTTCTCTTGCCCTAAGTCTGACTTCCACTAAGTGTTTGTGAGGCATCTGCAGCAAATGAGACGTTGTGCAGGTGTAACCGGCAAGACTGGTTCATGCATGCTCCACCCACTGCCCATGTGCCTGCTGCACGTGGTGTTCTGCTTTCACGCATGGCACTTGCAGGCTTTATGTAATTTGTGTGAGAATAATTCTGTGTGAAGAAGGGGCCCACTAGTGTTTCTGAGTGTCTGTGGACTTGATCTTGCCTTGCCTTGCTTCCTAGGCCAGAAATGAGCATGAGAAAGAAAGAGAGCCAGGGTAGAACTGGTCCCTTCCCTGCCCCAGCCCTCTCTGAGATTGCTTTTCTGACCTTGAAAAAGCAGTCTGGTTCTTCCCACGGCACCTGCTGAGGAGGGGGCATGACTTTCTAGCCTTGGACTTGGACATCCAAAAGATTCTGTGACCCCTGGAAAGTGCTGGAGAGCCATAGCTTAAGAGTTTTAGACTAGAACAGGAAAGACCTGAGTTCAAATGCCCAGAAGCCATAAAACTCATTCAGGGACCTTGGCTCAGTCATTTTCTCAGAGCCTTTCTAAAAATTGTGATCTGTATGCTGCTCTGAAGTCCTTGCAATGGGGCTGTGGAAGGGAGGGAAGCTCAACATGCAATTAAATATACCTGACCCAATCAGCAGGGTTGTGGTAATTTTTAGAGTGCAGTACTCATTATGGCAGCCTCCATAATTACAACCTTGAGAGACACCCAAACTCCTGTCAAATCCAGAAATGTTTTTTCCCCCAGGAATGGGCCTTCTATAAAACTCTTTTTTTCCTGTGCAAGGATTAACCAGCCCAAAATAAAGTGCATAATAATATATTGATGCTAAGAAAATCCATCTTCAAGGATTGCAGCTAAGATCCGAAGAGACAGGGAGGCTGGGTTGGGGGTGGCTTTTTAAAAATGCTGGTCCTATGTCCCTGTGAGGCCTGGCTGCTCCATATCACTGAACCTAATTCTTGCCCATTTTCCAGTTGAGAAAATGGGGGATTTTTTACTTCTAATTCTAGCAGCAGATGTGAACTTGTAAAGAGTTTCTGGCAGTAGTCATACTTCCTCATATAGAAAAAGACACAATTAAATTTGTTTATCCTCAGCATGGAATGTAAGAGTTTGGAAAGTCCTTCCTTTCAGGATCAGAAAGGATTGTTTATATTCTTCTTTGGAGGGAGCAAATGAAGGAAGTCACAGCCTTGCTTTTACAAAAGCTGAATACGGATGTCATGGATAGGACATTCTGGGGGCTTTCATACATACCATCACTAAGTCGGAGACAGCAGCACATAATAACAAAGAAAAAGATAATGTCACAGATCTGTTTAAAAATAGAATTTCACGTTATTCTGAGGAACCTAAACTGCAGGATCCTTAATTCCATAAGCAGACTTGGTCCTTCAGTGAGCGCTAACAACAGAGAATAAAAAATGGTACTTATTTGATTCAATGATGTGGTATGCTCCCGAAAATAATAATTGGATTGCCTTTTATTTGAATGGATTTCCTGCCTCTCTACATTCAGTCAATGGTACAGCCAACAATGATGGTGTTAAAACAACAAAACAGACTCACAACTGTAACGACAGACCGGAACAATCCTAAGTGTGGAGGAGATTGCATGGTGCATCAGCCAGCACTTCTGCAGCCCTGCTGGCTTGTGCCAGCCAGATACTGCCTCCAAGTTCCAACAGGAGGGAACATGCTCCCGCCAAGGCTGTTGTAGGCAGAAGATCCTCACAGGGGAACAATATCTGAAGAAGCAACCTAGAAGGCCTGAAAACTTGCAAATCCTCTGAGAAGCTGTATGGAAGATACATACCAATTGTTTGAACAGGGCTGTCCCAAGACATTTTGCTGCCTGAGTCAAAGGACACGTTGGCTTTCTGGGCTTGCAGCTGAATATTACTATTAATAATGGCAACGGGGTAGCATTGTGCAGCTCATTGGAATGTATCAGTCCAGTTTAGGGGGCTCAGGGCAGGTTTCCTGGGACACAGAGTTCCCCATATCACTGAGCTTCTGCTGCCTGCAGCGAACCATTTCAGCCTGTCTAATGGTAGGGCAGACCCTTGTTCCGTTTTGAAAGCTAAACAGTCATTCTACCTTTAGGCTGTTGGTGTTTTACTAATAGTCACTTATACTTGGTGTAAGAGAAGGGAATCATTGCAGGTAATGTGAACGTACTATTTTGCCATTTAGCTCAGGGCTCATTACTCCTCTGACTAATTTTGTGGTGGGTTTTTTGTCCTCCAGGTGAATTTATAGACTCTTCTGCTTCTGTACCACCACCTGACCGATGGGAAATAATGGTAGATCCACCCCCACTGTTTACAGACTGTGAAATGCATCTCCCGGTGCCTCACTCATACTCAGTAGAGGTAAAGCAACCCATGCAAACATGACCTGCTCTTGTAGGTACCCTCTCCTTCTACTTTTCAAGTCCTCTAAGGCTAGAGCTGTATATGAAACTGGTGTGTGAAGTGAATTCATTGTGGAACCGATTTCACCTGGTGGGTGGACTCCACGACTGGGTCATGGCTTGGGCATAAGGTGGGTCATAGCAGCAGGCCCACCACTGTGCAAATATATGAGGCGGGGTGTGGGAGAAGTGGGTCCGTAAATGCACGCTGGGACTAACGGTGGCTTCCAAGTTCCAGGTTTATGAGTATACAGTGCTTTGTTTATACTGAAGCAGAGAGCAGCACCTCTGGAAGTAGTCAGCAGTGGCATCATGGTGGCTCTAGTAGGAAACAAGGCATATGAAAACATTACACCCATACTTTTCCAGCAGAACTGGGCTCCCCAGGCAGCTGTTAGACCAGAGCCCATTTCTACTAGGGAACAAGGCACATACACCCTGTGGCCCACTGAGTTCCAGCACTGTTGGCATTCTTCCAGCAGCAGGCATGGGGCAGTGGGGCCTGGCCAAGGGTGCAAGAACTGCCAGAGGGGGAGCCCCCCTCCTTTCTTTGATGAAAGGAAACTGTTAGGCAGCTTATGAAATGGAGGCCATCTTTAAGTATTTTGTGCCATCCCCAAACATAAAGGTACGCTAGGTGTTGTTAGCTGGAAAACTGGAAAATGTGTGATGGTTTTTGGCTCAGCTTTGCATATATTGTTGTCCCCCTATTTGAATATATTTATTTTGAATTCTCTGAAACAAACCATAACTTGAGGTCTGATGTTAATTTGCTTCTTTCCCTGGTTTCAGCTCTTGGCAGAGAATGCTGTTTTTACTGCTTGAAACCTTGAAATAATACTTCAGTAATGGCAAGAAGTTGTTTCGACTGCTTTATATAGTTTGCTGTATGCATATCAACTGAATAGGGTAGCTGCCATGAGAAATGGTTTTGTATCCACCCAGAAGAACAAAGCCAGGCTATTTTTGCACTTGGTGACTGTGTTCAGGCAGGCAGAAAAATTAATTTAAATGCCTCTCTTTCCTATGCAATATCCTAGGTCAACTGACCCAATGAGACCTGCTTATGGCTTCAGTCTTGTACATACATCCTTGGGACTAAGGTCGACTGCATTCAGTGGGATATATTTCTGATCAAACATACATAGGATTTCACTGTAGAGTCAGCTGATTTGATATTAAGTGCCCAGTGAAGTGTTTATCTGCCATTGATTTAAATGGAAAATAAGCTCCTTTACATGGAACCACCTGTGAATTAAGCCTTATACTTCCTTGCAATGGATTTCCGTATATTGTTGAAAATGGAATGTTCCTATGAACCTCGTCCTATCAACCTCACTGTTCTCAGTATTCCTAATGATTTTATTATAGCATTTCTGGGATTTTGTAAAAGATAGAAATCAAGAGTTCACATCAGGAATATCCAGAGTTCACATCAAGAGGTCTCTGACCTAAGGAAGAAGAGATTTTATTTTGTGGGAATGTATGTTCTTTTTGATACGCTTTTTATATTCCCCATAAGGAGGGCATCCTGCTAAATTAAATAGACATGGTACCTGTAGTTTAGGGGAATTCTGTCATGAGAGGAGAGGAGAGGACATGGGTTGACTCCCATGTAGACTTTTTATAATGTTAGACTAGAATAAAACACCCATGTCAACGTTGCAGGAATAAAACAAGTGCTGGAAAGGATTGTTCAGTCGGTTTGCAGATCTCTCCCATTAGCTGGGATATTGATTGTCAATTTAAGCACAGTAGTAAAAATTCGCACAGTAGTAAAAATTCTAAATATAACATTGGGCTTATATTTCGAAAAAGCTGTTTTCTGTAATGCTTTGCTCTTTGTATTGGAATAATTTTTGCTTTTCTGACTTTGTGTTTGGTTCTCCATGACAGAAGCTTTCCAGATCATTTCCAAATGTTTTAGTTAACACTTAATTTTTTGTTTTGATTTCAGATTTGCTCAAATTGTAAAGGACGTGGTACAGTTTTGTGCCAAACTTGTAAAGGAACTGGCAAGGTATTTTATGATCATTCTTTTCCATGCGCTGCATCCAACATTGACCACCGACCAACGGAATGGCAACTATTGTCAAAATGGTTTTCCCCTCCTCCTGCATCCACTTCTGCACTCCCAAATCTTTTCTGGAAGATTGGGACACCCTCCAGAGCAGATCTGGGAGGGCTTCAGTGGGAGAAGAGAAAGGGGAAGCCCTGTTGAGTGCATTCTGCTTTTGTGATGCTGAATTCAAGTCCATTTGCCTTCTGCACAATTTAATGTAGAAAATGGATACATAAGAATTCATAAAAGAAACCATATGACACGGTGCCCTAAATTTCCTGGAGCTTTCTACATGAGGCTGCCAATTGGCCCTGTCTGCATTTGGTTTCACTGCAGAATTGAGATCTGAGTGTTCCCTTTCCTGTTTTTCCACTACACAACTTCTGTGAGACGTGGTGTAGCAGAATACACAAAAACACACAGGAAATCATACTTTCTTTTACAATTAAATGCTGCATTTTCCCTTGTGGGGAGTGAGAGTGAGAATGAGAGAGAGAGAAAATGAGAGAGAAAGAGAGACAACAAGCAAGCAAGCTCACTGAAGGTGCTGGTTAAACATAGAGGTTAAACACAGGGTCATGTTTGTTGTTTCAAGAGCCAGTAAACAACCATGAATGAGGAATGAAGAGTGCAGGATGATGCCTAGTGTAGAAAAGCCTCTTGGGAATGCAAAACAAGTAAACAAGTGAATGTTTGTTTTTTGAAAGGCATTTTGAAATGTACAAGTGGGGATCTCTGTGGATTATTGCAGTATGGCTCACTCCTATTCATTGGTCAGCCATGTGCCCCTGAGGATTTAGACTACTGCTAATCTGTGTGGGGCTGCCCTTGAAGATAGTTCAGACTCTGCAGTAAATACACAGTGCAGCAGCCAGATGTCTAACAGGTTCCAGTAGGTCCAACATATAATGCCATCTCTGGCCCACTTGTATTGCCTGCCTATATGCTTCTGAGCCTACTTCAAGATACTTGTTTTAATTTTTAAAGCCCTTCATGGCTTAAGAACACCATACTGAATGGAGCACCACCCTCAGCCTCCATCTACCTGGAACACATGATCTATATCTGGGGCCTTGCTCTGACTACCAACTTCAGAGGATGCCCAGAAAGAGCAACAAGGAGGAGGGCAGTCTCGGTGGTGGCTCCCCAATTATGGAATGATCTCCCCACTGAGGCCCATCTGACATCAATATTGCCATCTTTTTAGTATCAGATTGAAACTACCCTCTATTTTCAGGCATTTAATAGCATAGAAAGGGTTATGTCTGCTGTTTTAATTAGTCTAGTTTTATTGAAATGGCTTTAGACATTTAAACAATTTTCAAGCTTATATATTGGAATTTTATACTTTATTTTATTGTAACTGTATTTTTATCCCATGTCTTTTTATTGTACTTTGAGAAACTGTTGTCAACTGCCCAGACAGCTTAGAATATTGCTGTATTAGAATATTGGCAGTACAGAAAATAAATGCATAAAGAGTTAGCATTATGTACAAAGCAGGTCTTTGATCATGACTCATGATTTATTTTATTGCTGTGTTGCAAAGGAAATTTGTGACCAACGTTTGACTTCTTTTTTTAAAGGAAAACCTAACCTAACCTAACCTACTGGTCAGTTTCTTGGCAATTCAGTTTGCTTCAAATTAGGTTTTGGTACTTGTTTATATTAAGGGCAGAGCCCTATTGACTGCATCTTTAGTAATCAGAAGCCTCTGGACATCAAGATTTCCATATGTATAGAGCAGGGCCGAATGGGTGGCAGAAGTGACTTTCTCCTCTCTGCTCCCCTGCCCTGCAGATTTTGCGTGACAGACATATAAGCTCTTCTTGCAAGGGCACTTTGCAAGGGGAGGGAAGGAACTGGGCGGGGGCGGCGGCTCAATATAACTTGCAACCTTGCCTTTCTGGTCCCCTCCTTCTCCATCCATGAGAATGCCCCCCTTCCTCCTCCAAGTTTGCCTTATAGGTCAGACAGTCCTTTTCATGTCCACCACAAGATGGGAGTCTTAGGTCAAAAATCTCAGAGGAATGCAAGTCCCCAAGCCTTGTTTTTGAAGAGATATCATTTATATAAGTCAGGTTTAACCATTTTATCCACTTTGAAAATTGATTTGTTTTATAGAATATATATTATAAATTATATAACTACAATCAGGTTATATTTATATAATCTACTTTATGTACTTACTTTCATTTTATTTTGTTCACTTTGTGTTTTGAAAAGACACTTGAACCTAAAGTATACATTAGAAAATAGCAGAAATTATTTATATTTTACTTCTTCAAATGTAGAAAATCTGTTCAGCTTGTGATGGTACTGGAACAAGTTTGCTAGCAGATGACAACATTTGTTTACGGTGTACCGGTTCAGGAAACATTCGGTAAGTGGATAATGATAAACTGTACTGCCAACCAAATCTTTGGTTTTATTTTAGTAATAGTTTATATAACAGGCATGTATTGAATTGTCACCTGCTTCCTCAGTTTCTCAGCAAGGAAAAACTGTGATCAGTTCTTTTATATGTTGAGATCTAACCAACATCTAGGGATGCAGGTGGCACAGTGGTTTAAACTGCTGTACTGCTGTGTTGGTTGATTGAAAGGTCGACAGTTTAAATCCGCAGATGGGGGTGAGCTCCCGTACTCTGTCCCAGCTCCTGCCAACCTTGCTGTTCGAAAGCATACAAATGCAAGTAGATAAAAAGGTACCACTTCGGTGGGAAGGTAACAGCCTTCCATGCACCTCAGTGTTTAGTCATGCCGGCCACATGACCACGGAGACCGTCTGCGGACAAATGCTGGCTCCCTCGGCTAGGAAACGGAGATGAGCACCACCCCCTAGAGTCAGGCATGACTGGACTTTAATGTCAAGGGGAAACCTTTACTTTACCTTTAACCAACATCTGCCATGGATTTTTCCGCTTCACTCTCCTCACATAACTCCCTTGTGAGGGTAGATCATCTGTATCAATATTTTATTTTACAGAAGGTAAACTGAAAATGTGAAGAGGTTTGATTGTATTGATTACTTTGTATCGAGACTTCCCGTCTCGACTTCTGTAACGTGTTCTACGTGGGGCTACCCTTGAAGACAGTCCGGATACTTCAATTGGTTCAAAATAGAGCTGCCAGGCTGCTGACGGGGACTGGGCGTTGTGTTCACATGACTCCCGTTCTCCGTCAGCTTCACTGGCTTCCCATTGAAGTCTGGGCCCAATTCAAGGTGTTGGTGATGACCTATAAAGCCCTAAATGGCTTGGGTCCTGGTTACCTGAAGGAGCGCTTGCATCCATATATGCCCAGCCACCCCTTGAGATTGGCGGGGGAGGCCCTTCTCCGGGAACCCTCCGTGAAAGAAATTAGGAGGGTGGGTGCTCGGAGGAGGGCTTTCTCTGCGGTGGCGCCTAAGTTATGGAACACGCTCCCCAGAGAGGTCTGCCTGGCGCCGTCGTTATTTGCTTTTCGGCGCCAGGTGAAGACCTTTTTATTCAAGCGGCATTTTAACTGTTAATATTATTGGATTTTATCTGGCCAGGGCGGCTTATTTTATACTGTATTGTTGTATTTTTAATTTAATATTTATATTTTAATTTATATTATTATTATTTAACTTAGTGATGTAAGCCGCCCCGAGGCTTCGGCAAATGGGGCAGCATAAAAATGTTTTAATAAATAAATAAATAAATAAATAAAATTTTTAAATTAGTCTTGCCTTAATCTTACCTCTTGTGCAGAAAACTAATGCTGGAGTCTACACCAGCTCAAGTACTGTTGTAAATCAACATTCAATTTGGAAGCATGTCTGGTGCGTTGTGGACCATCTGGATCCATATCCTCCCCTAACGTGTACCCACACCCGTCCCTGGTATGCTTGTTTCTACTCCCCTCTTTCCAATGTTGGAGATTCCAAAAGTGGAAATAAACTATGGTGTAGATTTCCACAGTGTCTGAGCAGAGACTAAAATCCAAGGTTGGCTCTCTTCTTATGGGTCCTAAGATGCCATCCCAGTGACCATGGGCTTGCACGATTAATCTTTATAAAGATTACTCATCTGCAAAACAAAGACTGATATGATCCCAACATTTAGCATTTACACAATTGTTTCTTGGTGTTTTTTTCCTTTCTCTTCCCCCTCTCCTCCTGTAGTTGCTTCAGTTGCCATACCACTGGGTGGCGAAAGTGTTGCCGTTGCTCTGGGAAGGGCATCGTGCTATTTCATACTGAACTCACAATCACCTGGTAAGTTGAAAAAGCAAAGGAAGAAGGTTGTAAGCCCCCTCTGCATGTTAGTCCCATGAAAGGGGAAAACATGTAGAGTGGTTCTGCAGACCCTGCTTCTGGCCTTGCACCCAAGAGGGCTCATTTTTTCTTGTCCTCATTCTCATTTAAACCTGGGTCTTCTCAGTCCTAGTCCAACTCTAACCCCGCTGCCCTGCCACACACTAGATCTAGACACAGTTGGAGTATGAAATGGGAAAGCTGGGATACACGAAAAAGATCTTCATGAAATGGCTTCTCTGGAGCCAGAGCTCAACCATTGGGAAGACAATGCTTCTAATTACACTTGTTGGATACGTGCAGGCTACACCAGCATTATTGGGTTTAAGTTATTAGGTCAGAGGGTACAACTTCCATGTAGGGGCGAGCAACCAAAAAGAGCCTATGCAGAAGAGCAACACTTACAGTCAGCAGATACAGATTTCAGGGAGGAAATGGTTTTCCCATGTTCATCTCTGAGCCAAACTACATGGCACTAAATGCCAGTCAGTATTAATAGCAGGACTGGGGAGGGAAGATTTAAACCTTCCACTGCAGTCCCCGTGAAAATCCATCCAACTGACTACTCCCAGTACTGTTAGAAGGAGAGACACATGGTTAGGGTAAAAAGAGAAGTACAGTGCAAGACTCCCCTCCTCAGAGCATGCTTTTACTACGACTCCCCTGCTCTTCCTTTTTCTGGCATTCAGTGTTGGTCTGGAAATACCTGAGCTAATGGAACTATCATCCATCAGCACCAATTTGGCCTGACTTTTCAAAACAGGCCTTCCCTTTTCCCTGGGCTAGTCTTAGCGCAGCCTTGCATATAAGCTCAGAAGCATTAGTAGCCTGATTTTTTTTAAAAAAATGTATGATACTTTTTAACCTGATGCTGCATTTGTATAAATAAAAATGTGATCAACAAACACAACTTCCATTAATTAAACTTGCTTCAGAAGTATAGTCTAGCAAAAGTACTCATATAGGATAAGAGATTTCCTGTTTTGGAAAACTTTTGGAAAACAGGGATTTCAAAAAGTAATGAATACACTGCAATTTGAAACTCCTTATCTTTGCTTGGTAAGATCATAATCTCATCTTATACTTTCTCAAAAAAACAATGAAATGATGGAGGGCTCAATTTCAGAGCCCTTTCTACTGTTGGCAAGAGGCCGGCAAGGAAGGAACAGCCAGGCCTTTCTTAGAGCCCCCCTTCTCCAGTTTAAGTGCTTTTGCTAGATGGGCTTCTGAATTCTCTGGCTGACTTACCTTGCTGGGGGTGGAAACAACGGCTGAAATGTCCTTGGATCAAGTAGATCCAAGCCTTTCCTCCTCCCCGCCTGGCCAGCGGCACACTGCGTTGTCTTCCTTTTCCTCTTTCTGAGTTGGGAACTCCCCAGACTTTGGGAGCTTTCCATGGCAGCAGGAAGGCGTGGGGCAGGGAAATCCATTCCCCCCTCCATGCTCAAGCATGCGTCTTAAGAATGCAAATGTGTCTTTATTTCCATCTTTCAACAGGAGGAACAATATTTTAGAACACATAGCAGACAAGGATTGTGGCCTTCCATATTACCATTTTCAGGATGTGGCTGGAAAAGAAATATTTTGTGATGAACATACCTCGGTAACACAATTATCAACAATAATACCCCACTCTGTGTGTGTGTGTGTGTGTGCGCGCACGCACGCACACACACACGTGCTTGTGAGTGCATGCATGTGTGTGTATTCACCGCCATTATATTTATGTGTACTATACAATGTTATTCTTACACCCTGTGCTATGCAGCCACTGGTGCAAACAAAAAAGCAGCTCAGAACTGCATTTCAATGTGATGTGGAACACTTAACCATCCCACTGGAATTATTAGCAACATTTGGAAACTAATACAGATATTTGGATACTTTGGGACTTTGGGAATGTATAGAAGTAATTTCCATGGGCCTACTAGCTCAAAACTTTAAAAAGTTAATTTCTTCCTGGTAAAACTAGAAAGAAGGCAGGATTTCCTTTTCCGTTCTTCCTTATTTTTTAAAGAGCATGGAAAGTTTCTGTACTAATGTATTGTTGATCTTTTGCTGCACCCTGCATAGGAAGAGTGCTTGCTTTTGAGCTTCCTGCCCTATGCACTTGGGAAGACAGGTTCATCCAGACCTTTGAACACTGTATGGAAAGGGTGTTTCATACCTCACCCTTGAACCATTGTGACAGGAGAAGCAGCAATTGCAAACATTGCTTCTGCAAAAGTATTTATTTTCCTCATTTACTTTATCTCCTGTTCTTCCTGCTAGGAGCCCAAGGAGGTCTGTACAATCCTCCTCTTCCTCTCCTTTTTATCCTTAGAACAACCCTATGAGGTAGGCTAGGCTGAGATTCAGTGATTGGTCCATGAGCCTCATGGCCAAGAACAGGCTAGAACTCGGGTCTCCCAAGTCACAATCCAACACTATGGCACACTGGCTGTTTGTATTAATGGTACAGAAATCCTGCCTGCTAATTTGTAAAATCATCTTAAAACAGCAAGCACTTTTTGTTTACTCTCAAATGTTTAAAAATACATTGTGGGATGGTGTGTAACTTTACCTTGCCTTTATCTGTACTCCAGGTATTTCCTATAGTTGATTTTCCAGAGCCATCAGTTGATGATTATTCACGCGCATGCATTGCCCAGCACAAAATGCAGTTCTCCTCACAAAGCTTGCATCGAGTTGTGAGACAGGTAGGTGCCAAATGGAGCAAATGGATTCTTAAAATAGCGGACTAGGGAGCGGGGTTTGATCATCCAAAGGATTTTCTTTACATAATAATCTAAGGCTTATTTTTCAAAACAAGTTGTCATAAGTGGCTGGGGAGGGGAACTTTAAATACATGGGCAACCCACCAGATTCCTTTTCTTTCTTTTATGAAGAATTTTGCATACCTCAACATTATTACCTATGTGTTGAATATTTATAGTACTGGCAAGGAGAAAATATCTATCAAATAGGCTGTGGATTTAAGACAGGGATGCAGACTTTCTTTTCCTTATTAAAAATACTTTTTTATTTGGAAGAAAAAGCAAAAAGGGAGTTCCTGTAGTAAAATATATCAATGTACTGTAATCATTAACCTGGGATAGGGAAAATATAGGGGGAAGGACAGAAAGTTGTAGGGGGGGGGAACTAACATTTCCCTTTAAAATTTTGTCAATATAAGCAGACTGTATATCCAAATAAGAATCCATGTCACTTGTGGGAGGTAATAGTCAAAAGTAGCAAGAGAAGGAGACCTTCACGCCGTTGAGTGATGAGAGGTAGGTGATCTTCCAGCCAAGCTTCCAGGCCCTCACTAAGTGACATACAAAAAGCAGCAAGGCAAGTTACACAAAGTGTGTCGTAGCAACATCTGAAATACACATAATTTTGAAAAAGCTATTCCAAATAACCATGCCTGATTTTGTATTCAGTTCAAGGCAGAAACAAATAGGAAGGTCATTACATCTTACTAAACATCTGTATTGAAGGGAAAAGAAGCAAGTCAACTGGAAGGATTTCCATCATTTGGTGACCACCACTGAGAGGGCTCTGTTTCCGGGGCATGCCAGTCTAACTGATCTTAATAGCCAAATCTTAAAACTGACCTTAATGCTAGCTTATGGTCCTGGACTTGAAAGTTCCTTTTAAAAGACAGAAATAGACTTGCTGTGTGAGACAGACATTTTTCTGATACACTTTTTAGTACTGTTACACCCACTGAATCCCAAACCTACCCAGGGGTGTGAGTGTTAACTCCATGTTCTGTTTCTTTTGGACTAAATCACTGGAGACTTACATCGTTTTGTGACATTTTCACATATCTAGAGGTTAAGCAGAAGATGGAGATAAACAGCATTAACTCTAATACTGTTCCCCATCAGATTTCGTGCTGGCTGGGGATGATGGGACTTGCAGCCCTAAACATCCAATAGGCCCCAGATGGGACCATGCTCTCCCTCCCCCGCCCCCCTCTCTGTGTGTGTGTACATATTTTTTTTCTCTTTTGCAGAAGCAAACAGTTGAGTTGGTGCCAACCACAAAGGTTGAATATGAATGGAAAGAGAAACTCTATTCCTTCTACATTTATGGCAATGAGAATGAAGTATATACCACAGACTATCCAGGAAAGTGCTGTTGCTCTCTCATGTGACACAGGACAGCATTCAGCTTCCCAGCTTCTTGCAAGATTTCTCCATACTGCAAAGATGCTCTTAGGATGCCCGATCATGGGCACACATGGCTGGCATAGTTCGTGGCCGCTACGTGTGCAAAGCAGACGCTTGCCATGGGCACACAGCCCTACTTTTGGATCAGAGAGATGATGCAAGCTGGCTGCCTTGATGCGACCCGAGACCCCAAGCTCCTGCAGAATACCACACAGGACTTATGTAAGAGGCATCAGCTTGTTTTCTCTGGCTGTGCAACAGGAGACATTGGGGCGATCACTAAATAGTCCTATGTAGGACTAATAGTGCAGTTTATAAATTTTTTAAAAAATATAAAGTAATATACATTTCTTGTGGAAGTATGATCTACTTGGAATCAAATTAATCTATGTCATACTGGACGTCATCTTGCACAAATCTTTGCAATGGTTTATATTCCTCTTGGGTGATGGGTTTTAAAGCCCTCTGGCTCAAAAATGACAAGAAGGTAAGCCAAGGGAAGGGAGAATTGATAGAACTTTTTAGTGCATCTCCTGTACTAGACTAGTTCTCGCCACCTATGCCATTTCAGTGCTGTATTTACCACAGCCAAAATCTGCTTCTCTGGAGGAGGGTTTTTGAACCGTTTTAAGCCCAAGGGCCAAATCCAAGCTCGGAGAACCTCTCAGGACCCGTGTTCCAGTGGTGGGCAGTGCAGATGGCAAGAATGGCTAGCTGGACCTGAGACAAAAGGAGCAACTTTTAGAATGAGGTTGAAGCCAAGCAAAATCCAGACAACCATGAGGCCCACTCGGATGCTATGCAATGGACAAGCTGAGCACCCGATCGTGCAGTGCAATCCAAAGTGGGTTTTGTGACAGGAGGAGTGGTGGCAGACCTACCATTTGGTCCAAAGCTATGCTGGCACTCATTAGCCAAGGCAGATGGTAGATTGCCTCCCAGTTCCCCTTATGGTGCAGGTTCCACTCTGTTGATCAAAATGGAAGGGACTCTTCCTATACCAGCTCTAGGCTCCAGTCCAGATCCAAGGCTGTCTTCTCCTGTGCCTTGGCTTGGGGCCCCCTCAAGTTGCTGTCATCACTGCCTTGATGGATTTCCGCTTGTGGGGCTATCTGTGAACTGCAGGCTGAACAGCCCCACTCGTAGAACACCTCTCTGTGGGTGGAGTCTGGTGTTGGGGCGCTTTTGCCTAGTCTTGTCTTTCCTCAATAAGTTATATCTGGAGGCTGTGATTCTGCTGCCTGCACCCCGGTCTTGTGACGATGTGGAGGGCCTCCATGGAGGTGGGACGCACTCCTCTTCAAGCCATCACCCTCCACACGGACAGAGTGATAGACGCATGTAAGAAGGAAGCAAGGGCTGTTTAATTTCAACATTGAATGATTTGTAAAGATTGATGCTATGGAATGGGGCAGGGTATTGTCAGTGAGAAGCAGGTCGATAAACAAGAACAGAAGTGGTCTCTTTATGGAGAAAGGAAAGGCAGTTTTTCTAAGAACTGCATGCATCTAGCCTACTCTCAGTACTACTCAGGTACTTAACTATCAGAGCTTTGTGTATCAGCTTTTCATACAGACCTTGCTCCTGTGCACACAAGGATGGTATGGCCTACATATTCTGTCCCTTATTCCAACATGCTTTGAGTTAAATTCCACTTCATTTAATGGATTTAAACTGCTGCTATTGTTACAATTGTACCATTTGTTTTCATTGTCGTTCTGCAGTTTGAACTTTTTAAACTGTGAGCCACGATTCCTGTGGAAAGGTGGTAAATAAATTATTGTCATCAATAAAATAACAAGGAAAAGCATGGGCACGTACTTTCTTGGAGAGGGTATTATTAATGGTATTGCCAACAAAAAACGGGTCGCTCTAATTGTAAGCCACTAGGATTTGGTCATAAGTTCCAACTCGTGCTTAAGACTTACACTAGGCCTAGTACTGTCTCAGGCTCCCGCGGAGAAGTGTCCACAAGCTCTGCTGCAGGGGGTACGGTGTAGAGGATGGGTCCTCAAACTGTGGCTCGCAGGCCAGATCCGGCCTGCCACGCTGATTTACCTGGCCCGCCTCAGAGCTTTGGGACTCGCTTGGGGAAAACGATCTCCGAGCGAGTCCGGAAGCGCTGAGCCGGCACAGGTGCACTCAGTGGGGAGATGACCACGATCGCGGTCGTGCTGTAGGGCGGGGAGATGGCTGCGATCGTGCCCACCTTCCTTGCACAAGCAAGATCACGCCCGTCTTCCCCCGCAGCACGATCACGCCCATCTTCCCGCTCCCCCCATCACGATAGCGGACATTGTAGCTCTGTCCCTTGAATATAGACATGCTCTTCCCCTTCTCATCTTGGGCTTCTGCTGCAGCCCAGGCGAGCAGAGCAAGCATTTTTAAATTATTTTTAAAAAATTTGACCAATTTTTAATTTATTTTAATTTACATTATTTTTAAAATTTATTTTGATTTTAAGTAATTTTAATGTGCAGTGTGCATAGGAATTCATGCATATTTTTTCAGACTATAGTCTCCACCCCCACAACAGTCTGAGGGACAGTGAACTGGCCCCCTGTTTAAAAAGTTTCAGGACCCCTGCTGTAGAGTAATTTCACTGCGCCGCAGAAGGCACGAAAGAGGCAGAACCACACATAACTTACATCAGCCGTGTGACTGTCCAGTGATCTGACTGGCTTGTGCAGCAGTTTTGTAAGCCATCCAGAGACTTTTAGTAGTGGGACGACATATAAAAACTTTAAATGAATAAATAAAGCAGGCATTGGCAGGGCTCCGTGGAGGGAGGATGCCGCACTGCCTGCCGTAGGAAGACATGGGAGTGATGGCAGTGAAAGGATCAATTGCAGCATGCGCTTAGGATGCCCATATGGCATCATCCCACTTCAGTGGGAAAGGGATTCCTGCCCCTGCACAGGACACCAACCTCCCTGAGTAATTTTATTCGTCGTTATTTGTTTTTCGGCGCCAGGCGAAGACCTTTTTATTTAAGCAGCATTTTAAATGTTAATATTATTGAATTTTATCTGGCCAGGGCGGCTTATTTTATATTGTGTGTATATATATATATATTTATTCTAATGTATATATTTTAATTTTTATTTATCTAATGGATCTAATTTGTTGTTGTAAGCCGCCCCGAGGCTTTGGCGAATGGGGCGGCATAAAAATGTTTTAATAATAATAATAATAATAATAATTATTATTATTTTCACTGAACAAGAATGGCTGAAAATGAATCGGTCTAATATACTGCAGTCAGATCACTGAGCAGACCTTCATGTGCCCAAGAAATCTTTTCACATGCCAGCCTTTGTGTAAAAGTGCCCTGCATAAGATGAGTAATTACAGGCTGTGGGCAGAGAGGTGTAGTGGGTGGGGCCTGTGTGGCTAAAGGTCAGAAGATCAGCGGCAGAGATAATTCCACCAAGTCATTGTAGTCTGGCCTGCTTTGTGTAACAGGGCAGGATGCAGTTATGAATTCAAGCGATTCACATAACTTCATCTACCACCTGAAGCTTCTGTGATACTCAGATGCCTGCTACGTAGATACATCAAGAGTATTCCTTTCCTTGCACCTTGCACCTTTTTTCTTCTCATTAATATGCATTTCTATAAAATTAAGAGGAGACTTGCACTTCCATCCAGCATGGCAGATTCCAAAATTTTGGGAGCAATCACTTCGCACGTAATAGTATGTATTGTGAAACCCTTTGCAGGTCTACCCTGCCAGACAACCAGCCACCCAGAACACAGAGCTGTGTTCCACGTGGCACGTTTATTTCCCTTGGGGCCCAGTGGGGGATTTGAGGACAGCAAAGGTCCATTGTAACCCCACTTCTTGGAGTGTCGCAGCCCAGATCTTCTGGGGCACTGAGCTTCTATTGAAAGAAATGAACCAATCACACTTAACTCTGCTATGTGCAATTTAAGGAAAGCAGAATTTGGCCCTTAGAGAGCTCTTTCTTTATTTGATTCATATCCCACCATTTTCTTTTTTAAAAGAATTCATAACAGTTTACATAATTCTCCTCCTGCTGCTCTCAGTCTTATCCACACAACAACCCTGTGAGGGAGGTTGGGCTGAGAGTCTGTGACTGGCCCAAAGTCACCCAGTTCACTCCATGACAGATTGAGGACTAGAACCCAGATTCCCTGAGATCCAGACCTTCGCTCTTAACCAGTACATCACAATGACTTTCTTTTAAAACTCTCAGGGTCTAAACTTACTATGTACCTCCCATGTCAATTGTTTCCCTATAAACAGACCCTAATCTATAGCAAGTTTGGCATTTGCCACTGTTTATTTGTTATCTCCATTATCTCCAGAAGGAAATATTCGAGCACTGTTCTGATAAAACTCTGAATCCAGTGTTTCCAAGAAACCTGGTCATTTCTCTGGCTCTTTTTATTTATGCCTCATTTCATTGTGTGACCATACTGTTTCCTTTGCAAATATTAAAGATTGCAAAAAAAGTTCTTCCATTTCTGAAGCAGATAAATCAATAACAATGTTATCAGAGTGCAACAGGCTGGTTTGGCTTGGGCTGGTTTATGTGGTTGATCCCACACATCAGAGGGTGTGGGCGGTGTTTGAATAAGAATGAAACAGAGAGGACAGGTATTACAACTGGAAAGTTGCATGAAGATGCTAGCAACATATTAGTTCTCACATAATTAGTAAATTATTTGCAATCCCACTGTAAATTTATATATTGAATATTCTCTGAATGTTTTCCAGGTAGGTGAATAGGTAGCACATATTTTGGGACTGTTATGATTATTATTGTTGTGACAGTAAATGCTAATATATAGTGTCAGATGCATGGCAATGAATGGTCAGTGTTTTCTAACAAGCACCCTGCTGTAGCAATCAAAATCTGGCAGCTCACACACAGCAAACATCCATGTATCAGTTTCACATTTAACGTGTTTTTAAAATATTGAGGGCACAGCCCTGTTGCCCCCACAGCAGAGGCAATACTCCGTCCCCAACATGCCCTTTTTTCTCCTCCGTGACCCAGTTGGAACCTCTTTGTTTCACTGGGCTTTCCATGCCAGCAAGGAGGGTGCAGAATGGCGTCTCTGACTCTGGCATCCCAGTTCAGAAGTTGCGGGTCCTCAGAGCTGCAACCCCAAAGATTTTTATAGTCTCCCAGTCAATGTCAGGAGTCAGGCCAAACATATGAGTAGGAGCGATATCGACTTATTTTCTGCAAGAAATCCAATGGTAGCATGAGTTCCCCTAGAGAACTGATGGGAAGCAGGAATTGTTGGGAGGTGAATCCAGGAGGCTATAATAGTTATACTTCATGTTTTCCCATAAAAGATCCAGGTAGCGATAATTAATATTTTACATTGCCTCTCTTCAGACAGGAAAGGCCTGCTATTCTGTGTGAATACTGGAAGCATGGAGAAATGTGGCACATTTGGTTACTGTGAATAATCACAGAGAACCAATAGTTTGTTCTAGGGTTTCCAAGTCTCAGCACTGCATCTCGTGACGTGTGAAGCAGTTTCCAGAGCTCTGCCACTGTTCCCCATGTTGACCTGCGAGCTCAGCAGCCAGAGCGGCTGCTCCAGAAGCCATTTCAGCTGCTCCACTTGCCTAGCAGCAGCTGATTAGCTGCAGGTGAGGATCCGATTGGCTGCTTCCCATAGTGTCCTCCTCCTGGCAGGTGCTCTCCGGTGCCCGGCTGCCGCCATGTCCACCTCCTGGCCAACTGCCCAATTCACATGCCACTGGGCCAATGGCCTGCCTACCCACCACCTGCCCACCTGCAACTGCCCGCCTACTGGCCAATCACCTGCCTCAAGTGCTGCCTGGCCAATTGCCAGGATGTCTGGCTTGAGCCACAGCACCACACGATCCCTTCATGGCACCCGCCCTCCACCATCTCTGGCACACTGTCCCCACATCCCACGCAGGACCTGTTGCTTGGCGCATTGTCAGCCGAGTTCTGATCTTGGTTGGAGCCGATGGCAAATGTCTGAATTAGGCAATACTGATTTCTCCTAGTTTCCTTTTTTCCAGTCTTAAGTTTGGCTCATCCTGAAGACTGAGGATTTTTCCAAGTCTAAGCTTGGCTCCACTCAACAGATGAAAACTTTAAAAACAAGGTTTCCATGAAAATACATACATATTTTTATTTATATTTCTCCTAATATATACCCTTCCTGTGCAGTTTTGCCCAGTATAAATCCTCTTTTACAAGTCATTTTCCTATTATAATTCATTTAAATATTATTTTCACCAGTATAACTTTTTGATGTGCAAGTTCTCTAATATACACATTCTTGTACACATTTATTATTATTATTGGAGCACTGAATTGTAAAATTTGCTGAAGTGGATATTTTAAAGGATAACTGAGTTTTGATTTGCATATCGGTCTGAAATGTGAAATGTTATACATTCACATTAAAAAATGAACCTAATGAAATGTTCTCCCAAACCTTTTGCCAGACAGCTCCGGGTTCAAAGCACTTCTTGATGGCCAATGCTTTGTCCACTAAAATTGTACAAACTTACATCAGTGTCTCCAAGGCAGTCAGGGCTTGTATCCTACAATTGCATGGCTGTTACAGAGAAGTTCGTCCATCACGGTCAAGTTTAAACCAATATTTGTTTTACCTGTGGGTAGGATTCCAACTTAATTACACTTAGAGCTGGTCCACTGGAATCAATGGAACCTAAGAGTTACAGCTAACTCCAGTCCCGTTGATTTCAGAGAGTCTGCTCTAGGGAAGACTGAATCTGGACCCACCTGAGGGTCTGTGCCTTGGGAACTCCTTCCTACACAAAGT